GGTAGTCTTGAATCCAGTCCCGCAGTTTCTACTGATGGTATTCTGGGCATAGAAACATAGAAACATAGAATGTGACGGCAGATAAGAACCATTCGGCCCATCTAGTCTGCCCAATTTTCTAAAAACTTTCATTAGTCCCTAGCCTTATCTTATAGTTAGGATAGCCTTATGCCTATCCCATGCATGCTTAAACTCTTTTACTGTGTTAACCTCTACCACTTCAGCTGGAAGGCTATTCCATGCATCCACTACCCTCTCAGTAAAGTAATACTTCCTGATATTATTTTTAAACCTTTGTCCTCTAATTTAAGACTATGTCCTCTTGTTGTGGTAGTTTTTCTTCTTTTAAATATAGTCTCCTCCTTTACTGTGTTGATTCCCTTTATATATTTAAATGTTTCTATCATATCCCCCCGTCTCGTCTTTCCTCCAAGCTATACATGTTAAGATCCTTAACCTTTCCTGGTAAGTTTTATCCCGCAATCCATGAACCAGTTTAGTAGCCCTTCTCTGAACCCTCTCTAAGGTATCAATATCCTTCTGAAGATACGGTCTCCAATACTGTGTACAATACTCCAAGTGAGGTCTCACCAGTGTTCTGTACAATGGCATGAGCACTTCCCTCTTTCTACTGCTAATACCTCTCCCTATACAACCAAGCATTCTGCTAGCATTTCCTGCTGCTCTATTACATTGTCTGCCTACCTTTAAGTCATCAGAAATAATCACCCCTAAATCCCTTTCCTCATATGTTAAGGTTAGAACTCTATCAAATATTCTGTACTCTGCCCTTGGGTTTTTACGTCCAAGATGCATTATCTTGCACTTATCCACATTAAATGTCAGTTGCCACAATTCTGACCATTTTTCTAGTTTACCTAAATCATTTGCCATTTGGCTTATCCCTCCTGGAACATCAACCCTGTTACATATCTTAGTATCATCAGCAAAAAGACATACCTTACCATCAAGACCTTCTGCAATATCACTAATAAAATATTAAAGAGAATGGGTCCAAGTACAGATCCCTGAGGTACCCCACTGGTGACAAGTCCAAGCTTCGAATATATTCCATTGACTACAACCCTCTGTTGCCTGTCACTCAGCCACTGCCTTACCCATTCAACAATATTGGAATCCAAACTTAAAGATTGCAGTTTATTGATAAGCCTTCTATGTGCAACAGTGTCAAAAGCCTTACTGAAATCTAGGTAAGCAATGTCTACTGCACCACCCTGATCTATAATTTTAGTTACCCAATCAAAAAAATCAATAAGATTAGTTTGGCATGATCTCCCTGAAGTAAACCCATGTTGTCTCTGATCTTGAAATCCATGTGTTTTTAGATGTTCATCAATCCTATCCTTTAACATGGTTTCCATCACTTTCCCCACTACTGAAGTAAGGCTTACTGGCCTATAGTTGCCCGACTCCTCCCTATTACCTTTCTTGTAAATGGGCACAACATTCGCTAACTTCCAATCTTCTGGGACTACACCTGTTAACAATGATTGTTTAAATAAATCTGTTAATGGTTTTGCTAGTACACCACTAAGCTCTTTTAATAGCTTTGGGTGTATTCCATCAGGTCCCATTGACTTATTTGTCTTTACTTTTGACAGTTGAAATAGAACCTTTTCCTCTGTAAACTCACGTGTAATAAATGACTCATTTATCCTTTTCTCAACTGAGGTCCCTTTCCTTCATTTTCATCTGTAAATACAGAACAAAAATATTCATTGAGGCAGTCAGCTACACCTTTATCCTCTTCTACATACCTTCCTTCTTTTGTTTTTAATCTAACTAATCCTTGTTTTACTTTTCTTTTCTCATTTATGTATCTAAAAAATGTTTTATCCCCCTTTTTTACTGTCTCTGCTATTTTCTCTTCTGTGTGTGATTTGGAAGCTCTTATAACTTGCTTAGCCTCTTTCTGCCTAATCTTACACTTGCATTTTATGAATCGCAACAAATATCTCTTCCAATGTTCTATCTGAATATAATGTTACCAAGAATCTGTGTCAGTGTACGGCTTAGTTGGATAGCCGCTGTGAAGGTAGTAATCAAATCTCTGATACAGCTTTCAATGACCTTTGCTCTGCTGGTGCTACCCTGATGCTGATTCAGCAAACTAGGTGAAAAGGGCAGCACGATATCAGCATCTCTATCTGGAAGATGGCATTGAAGTCAAGTTGTTAAAGGAACACTATAGTATCAGGAATCAATGGCGTACACACAATCCATAGGCACTCCCCCCGACAGACACACATACAAAATGTTTGTCACCCTCCTGTTTCCTACCTTTTGGGTGCAGGAGGGTGACTTCCCCTGGGGTCCAGTGGTGGCTCAGGCTGGAGGGAGTCAGAGATGCCACTCAGACTCCCTCTCCTTCCTCCTGCACAGGCTCTCTCTGATAGCTGGAAGGAGTGATGGGCAGTCTCATCATCACAGGGGACCGGTCGCGCTGTTAAAGCACCGCAGCGCTGACTGGGGCCCACTGGAAATCCATCTCCATCGGGTGGCCCTAACAGGATGGGCCCCTTAACGTGCAGCCCCGGTCGTTTGCTATGCAGGCCGCAACACATGGCCCTATAGGAAAGCATAAGAGGCTATCATGCATACGCAGCAAAACTCCACGACGTACACCAGTGCAGCATTGACACAGGATGCACCTCTAGGGCCACTTGAGTGACTGCCACTAGAGGTTATTAGCCAGCATTGTAAACACTGCTTTTGCTATGAAAAGGCAGCGTTTACAATGCACAGCCTGCAAGGACAGGCTATAGCCACCAGAAAATTAAGTTGTAGCGATTCTGGTGACTACAGTGCCCTTTTAATGTTGACAAATGTAGCGGTGATCTCAGTCTGATCTTTACACTTCATGCGTTTCAATACTGTATTGGAGGCTATCATTAATCTCTAAAGAACAAGCATAATTTAATCGGGCGGGGGGGGGTAGGAAAGGGTGAATTTGGAAAAGAGCTTTTGTGCAGCTGGACTGATGCCGCAACAAGAAGTGAGTGTCTCTGGCCAGACAGGGAGGAGTGATGGGCAGTCTCACTCTGAAGAAAAGAGAGGAGCGTGTTTGAGGTGGCTAGAGGAAACAGGCATCAACTGTAGTTTGAAACTAGCCCAAAAGGTATGAGCTTTTCCTTGTCATGTGGATTTGATTTTTTCAGAGTTATGAAAATATTTGACTACTTTGGGTTTATTAACATTTTACTTTTGCAAAACAAAGTTTAACCCCTTAAGGACACATGACACGATTCCCTTATATTCCAGAAGTTTGGCCCTTAAGGGCTTGAAGGACCACTATAGTGCCAAGAAAACACTAGTTTTCCTGGCACTATAGTGCCCTGAGGGTGCTCCACCCTCAGGGACCCCCTCATGCCGGGCTCTGGGTGGGGAGGGGTTAAACTTACCTCTTTCTCCAGCGCCAGTTGGGGAGCTCTCCTCTTCAGCTGAATGCGCGGCAGGAGCTGCGCACGCGTGCGGCCAGTCCATAGGAAAGCATTCACAATGTTTTCCTATGGATGCTGGCATCTTCTCACTGAAAATCACAGTGAGAAGGGAGGAAGCCCTCTAGCGGCTGTCAATGAGAGCCACTAGAGGCTGGATTAACCCATTTATAAACAGCAGTTTCTCTGAAACTGCTATGTTTATAATAAAATGTTAACCCTGGAAGGACCTGGCACCCAGACCACCTCACTAAGGTGAAGTGGTCCTTTAACTAAACCTTGTATGTCCATATGCCAGTCCTACTATTACAAGTAGCATGTCTCATGCATTTGCCTGTTCTATTAAGATTAGCTATTTGCAGGTGTAGAATAGAGAGACAATGTAACCGTGTGGTATATACACAAGACATTTCCCAATGGAGGGAAGATAAGTCGACACATGATATTTGATCAAAAAACTCAAGTCAGTTGAGTCTGTTCCACCCCAAATTTTTTTTTTAAATGATCTCTTAGGTGCAGTTGAATGTCTGTTTCCTCATTTCCAGGATGCTATGCAGTCTAAGTCTTCCATGATACTCTAAAACAGTCAGATTTCCCCATCGAGGGCACTGATACATAAAAAAGAATCACAGTAAAAGGAGCAAACTACCACAACAAGAGGACAGTCTTAAATTAAAGAGGCAAAAGGTTTATAAATATCCGGAAGTATTACTTTACTGAGGGTAGAGGATACATGGAATAGCCTTCCAGCTGAAGTGGTAGAGGGAGGGAGTTTAAACATGCATAAGGCTATCCTAGCTATAAAGATAAGGCTAGGGACTAATTAAAAGTATTTTGAAATATTGGGCAGACTAGATGGGCTGAATGTTCTTATCTGCTGTCACATTGTATGTTCATGATTGGAACCTTAAGACCAAATGGACAATTTAGCACAGTTGTAGTGCCAGAGTTGTTCATATAAAAAGCTAAGAACCATGGGTGTTCTAGCCAACAGTGCCAGTCATTTTAGGAGAATATGTAGGTCCCAACGGTTTTAAAGTGCCTATACTCCTGTAGGTTTAAATTGCAGCAATGTGACTGCAAGAGATCAAGCTGCTTAACTAGTGGAACACATGGGTGCACCAGAAGTAGAGCCCCAGATATTTAGACTAAAAATCGGACCGGATTGCCTTAAAAAAAAATAAAAAAAATGCACGATCAACATCTTTAGATCTACTTTTTTGGAGATCACTCACCCTTCTATTAAGTGAAAGATTAGTTGCAGCCATTTACATCAGATACAAAACCAAGAACTGAAGTAGTAGTTTTTCCTGTCACTAGAATAGCAAAGAAACAATACAGCGTAAACAAGTGAAAATAGAAAAAGTTAAGACAAGTGTCTGAGGCTGATAAGAAAGGGCATGGCTCACCCATCCAATCAAACGAGGGCAGTCAGGAAAGGTTGTGTTTTATTGGTTTCCTGAGCAGAAAAATATTACCATAGCTACTTAGAAACAGCTGTTGCTAGACAGATTTCGGTTACTGCATGTTTACAGAGTTTGAACGTGACCTGGAGGAGTTCAAAAGTTTTAATGCTCAGAATTTGGAACATCTGTAGAATTGCAGCTCTTTAGACTGGGAGAAAGCGATGCAGCTGAACAAGACAGGATTTGCAAGAAGTGACTGTATAGCAGAGTTAGGGTTTTAATAGAGCAACACACAAATCAAATGCAGTTAACATTATTAAAGACTCAATTAATGCATATTCTCATTTTAAATGGTTCGTATGGGCTTATTCCTTGGGCAATTGAGAGTAACTGACAGCACATCCATTCTTAGTCATGTTAAGTTTACTCCTGGTAGGTTTCCTTGAGAAACTAAACACCTAGCACTTTTTCCAACACCTTCATGTTGTATTCGTTTCAGAAAGTCTTGCCTTCCACTTTTTAAAGTGGTCTTAATCCCTTTAGCAATAGTCACTGCTTGTGTGCAGGTAAAATGCAAACAAAAAATCTCAGGTTATGAATCTACTACTCAAAAACAAGTGCAACAAGTTTCCTCACAGAGGTCTGTTCCACCGTCATGCCAGTATTTGACAAAGCTACCACCTTCACATGTGGCATTGTCTATTGTAGTACGAGAACAAAAGGCAGATTAGGAGTATGGCAAAAAACTGAGGACTTCCTGAATTACAAGGTCACTTAAATTTTAACTTCTTTTGAAATGTGGACTATTAAGCCTTAATAAGAGATACTTCTAGAAAAGTGTTTGTTACTTGAAGCGTTAACTTCAATTTCCTTCTTGTAACAATTGGTCAGAAGATTCGCCTTTTTGGTGAGCTTCGTAAGGACAGACAGGAGACCCCGAAAGTGATGTTGAAATTGTTCTACGAGGTCACCAGTTTCTTCCTCAGCACACTGCTCCTCTGTAGACTTGCATGCTTGATTGATCCCCCACTTCATATCATGTCTCAGAGATTTAAGTAGAATATATGAATCATACAGGTTATTGTGCTCAATAATTTCTGTAGACTTGGAATGATCTTCATTTTCCTCTCTCTCTGGAATCATGTCCTGCAGCATGCTAGGCACCATAATAGTTTCGTCCATTATGGTTGTAGCTGTGTTGAAGCGATGGATGGCATCAAGTAAGGATTGGCGCTGATGGCTGTACTTTGAGACCTCCATTTTTCTGCGTCGATACCTTTGACTTTAAATCTGAGGGGTAAAATAAAAATAAAATCTAATAAGTAAATGCTAGATACAGTGGTAGTGCAGGGGTTGGCAACCTTACAGATATTGTGGACTACATCTACAATACTGATCTGACAGCCATAATGCTGGAAAATAATTGAGATATGTAGTCCACAACACCTGGAGTGGCGAAGGTTACCTAGCCCTGCTTTAATATGCATATTTAATATAGAAGCCTGCAGGCAACTTTCTGAAAATGTTATACTCAAAGTCACATTTCACATACAGAACATCTACCACAAAAACAAAAAAACACGTTCAAACTGAGATTTCAGATGCCAAACCCACTACATAAAGGAAACTAAAAACCATTTGTTAAATATTAACCTTAAATTAGAAAAGACACGTTCACCACTGCAATTTGGCTTCCCGTCTAATGGTTTTAGGTCTAGCTCCTCAGTTGTGTGACTCAGAAAGTGATTAAGCCTAGCTGAACAATGTTGACTTTAGATTATAAAAAGGTAACCACTTGTTTTTGGCCCTTACACCCAGACACTAGTTCTCTATACTGACTGTAGGGCTACCACATAGAATTTAGGGATACAGATACATATATGGTGGGGACCAAAACTTGAAATTGTAAAAATTTGATATTGAGCCAGGTTAATTCCCATCACACAAATTATACAACTGAAAAAATAAAATGCAACACCTAACAAACAGACTCCCAGGAATATTAGAGGATACCATAACAGCCAAGGGTTGTTACAGTATATTACTAAGATAATTGATTCTGGTACACCTAATGTGTTGCCCAGGAGTGAGGGAGTAGGACTGGCACTAGGCTGCTCAAGGGAAAAAAGTAGTATATTACTACCCATTATTTTTGCCTACAGTGTTACATAAGCAGGTTTTTATTATTTGGTCAGTGGACACGCCATCTGTCAGCGCTGAGCCGCGATCACAGCCTTCCTCAGCCACGAACAGCGACCAGTCAGGGTGACACCGCCAGCACGCACCAAACACCATGTCCTTTCTAGCCGCCAGGAACCTCATGTGGCGAATGCTATCCCAACAAAATTAGCATACTGCCAATCAACCTCAGCCGTGAATCCAAGGCTTTGCTTAAGGTGAACATGACCATTATCACCAATATTATAGCCATCGTCCATACAGCACTACATATCTGGTTTCTTTTTTGCTCTATAACCCCGGAGGAATACAGTTTGGGACAAAGGGGTGTGTTGCTGCAGCAAAAGGGAGTTCCTTACAGAGGCAATACCATATAGGCTCCAGCCCATGTGAGTGGTTCTAGCCATTTATTACTATCACTCACCCTTATTCTGTAAGCCACCTGCACTATATTTTCTTTTTGCCGTTTTGTGTGTACATTCAGATATATACTTTCAAGATTGTCATGGTACTGGAGGGGTGAGTGTACCCCCTTATTATTTATACCCATTATAGCACTCCACCTGTTGGTATAGAGGCTATACCTCTTTTCTGGAATATTTGTACTTTACTGTGGATAAGGGTATTCCACTGGTGTTGAGCTGCTTCTTCTGTTTTGGCACTTTAGAGTATCACTCACTATCTCTGCAAATAGATTTTTTTGTGTTAGGGGTTTAGTTTTTCCTATCTAATGTAGTATAGACATCTCAGATCTTTTGAAAGATTAAAGGTTAACTAGAGCATAGTATTCACCTAAAAGTCAATGTTTTATTTAATAGAACCATCTCCAGGATGCTCATCTGCAACTCCCAGATAATTTTAATCCAGTCAACACAAACAAGGTGTAGATTTAAAGAAAGATAGGGGCTGCGCCACAGGGAGTAATGCAATATATAGTCAATAACAAAGTCCAGTGGTATAAAAAGAAAGCCTTTAGGTTCACACCAGATGAAAAAAAAATAAAAAAAAAATACACAGAGCAGGCTGACTGCTCGATGGTATCTGCTCTGGTGGTATGATACCCACCTTGGATTTCTTGTTTATTAGCAGCTCTCTGCACTCCAGTACTCAGTGACAGGCTAGCCTGCTGCTTCCAACCTCCAAAAGGAGAAAAGATTTGTGTTTCCATCTTGTGTGAACCTAAAGGTTTTTCTACCACTGGACTTTGTTATTTACTATATTCCATTACTCCCTGTGGTGCAGCCCCCCCATCTTTGTACATTTCAGTTTTTGTGAAAGGGGGAGAGGGATCCCCTTTGTTGCGGTTGCTGCCTACCCCCTGATATATTAGTGCTGATCCATTTCTTGTGTACTTAAGGTGTAGGTTTGTAGCTTAGGATTTTATGGTGTGCCACTTCATGGCCAGCCTCCGTTACACATTGCCAAGACTGGCAGCTGTCACACACCCATTACCTATGTGTTAGTGTGATTAGAACAGACATCAAGAGCTAGGTACAAAATAAAACCTTGAACCCATTAGATATTGTGCAAGCCGAAACTAATCTAGAACAGTAATTTTACCATACTCCACTGAGCCCTTTCTTGCTCACATTTTTTCTTACAATGTACTCTTATTCTGCACTTTATATAAATATGAATTTTAAAAGTACATAAGAGACCTATGCTGTGCAGAGTGATACCCACTTAAACACCTGGAGGCTTACAGCAATATTATCCTCCAAACATGTGCTGTGGTCACATTCTAAGTGGAAATAAGCCAATTCAAGCTAACCTGCTTTTGCATGCTGGAACTATTTTGCCTCATTAACAGCATATCAGATAGACCTGTATTGTCATTTTACCCTGTTCCCATACACTGCACATTTCCAAAATATCATGATATGGACATCTGCCACTTTTTTTAAACTCCACCATTTTGTGCTTTTATCCTCATGATCTCTAATGCACCAAAATAATGCATTTGCCACTTTTAAGGGAATATTTAACAAAGTTTCCTTTTACGGTTGTGACCTCTATCCATCCCCATTGCTGCTACAAAGATAAAGGTTTACTTACCTCATTTCCAGTGTGGAGACCTTTGCTGCAACTACGCGCTCAGCATCAATCACCATTCCGGCTGACATCTCCCACATTCTCCGTCCAATCCAGCGCGTCTCAGAAAGGCATTGGACGATTTATATATGTGCAGCAAATGGTCAGGCTCTTCTATGACAGCATGTGATTGAAAGTTAGACTGGTCTGGAATTGGAAGCGCCACTAATGGCCATCAGGAAGACAGCTACTAGATGTGCATTTAACCCATCAATGTTAACATTGAGGTGTCAGAACAGCCAGGTTTTACATTGAAAGATTAAAGTTACAGGGCCATCGAAGTGGTCTGTCTGTATTTACTGGTCCTTTAAGCCTCTTTTGGATTTTTCTCTTTGCCCTACATACCTCATGAGTATCTAGTTTTGTGGACGTAATAAACAGTAAAGATGAGGGGTAATCCACAAAAAAAAAAAAAACCAAAGTGATAAGAGTACTGATGCAGTTATGAATATTCCAGCATTTAGGCAATGCAACAGAAGCACAGCCTAAAATGTAAACACCACTCTTTATACATAACCCCATTGTGTGCTCTAGTGTCACAAGTTAATACCAGCTGTCTGTATCACAGGATGCCCATTGGGAACATTGTATTTTGTATAAAAAAACTCCTGTGAGCTGTGCACGAGAGGACAGATCTATATGTAGGATGTATGCATTAAGCCTTGGTACAGTTTTCCATAAACGCCTCAGCATATTATGGATTCGCTCTGCATAGCAGCTCCTATATCATGACATTTCCTGGGAAATCCCTGCTTCCCTGCTCAGATCTGCTCTCATTGCTTGGCCCGCTCTGTGCCAGGCAGAGTGTGTCATTCCTGGCTGTGCTCCCAGACTAACGCAGACATTAGAAGCTCTGCACAGCAGGAGACTACTCCACACTTTAGGAAGTAATGAGGCAGAGGGATCGTGTTTCCTTCATACACAAGGGTACAAATAAAATAGCACTCGCGCACAAAACATCACCTGCATCTGATGCAGGCCTGACTTTGTTAAATTTGTTAGTTCATATTTATATACAGAACTCCAGTGTCTACATGGATCCTTCCTGGTGGGTCTCCCCAGTGTTTACAATATGTACTGAATGGCTGCCCTCAAACCGATTTCCCAGATTGACATACTGACCTGGTCAAGTCTACACTGTGGATTAGATGCTCAGTCAGTTTGCACATAGAATAGCAGGAAAACAGAATTTGCAGTTTTGAAACCCCCATATTGCATATACTTAGGGGTGTGGACATTTTTTTCAAAATCCCCTTTTGCAATAGACTAAAGCAGTAGCCCAACTACTTGTGCATGACAAGTCATGTGTCCTGATAATTTAGATTTGTGAATAACCATGTCAATGACCAGGGACCCCAAACGTTTAGATACACATCCCTCCCAAACAGTCTCGTCTCTAGATAGCATTCCTTAGATCTTTGCAAGAAAAATAAAAAGGAAGTCTAAACACATACCTCCCAAGTGCCTCTCTTTAGGAAGTCCTTATTTGAAGCCAAATCCTGCTGTCCTTTTCCCCCCCTCTTCCAGCCCAACAGCCCTCTCTTCTGTGTGCTCCATATATTTTGGTGTTCAGTTTCCCAGCAGTATAGTTCTCAGTAACGTGTCTAAACAAGATACAAAAATGGTCTAAGTTACATAAACTGTTATCAGCAAGTAACGAAATTACAAGATGTCGAAAGTAGAGCCACCCTGAAGCCATGCCTCCCAAAGTGAGGTAGTATTGAGTTATAAAACATGAACTACAGTAATTGAAATAAATCATAAATAGTTTGCATGCATGGCATAATCGTTTGATTCAGGGAAAGGGTCAAGTTAAATGTCATGTTTACAATTTAAAAAACAATTTGTCTCCTAAAACCAGTTTACGTACCAAAGCACATCACATGAGTGCTCCTGGCACTAATTACTACATGTTGCTATATAGTTATGGTGCTTGGATTCCCACAACCTCACACTCAGTGGGCATGATGTCTAAGCTGGAATCACGAGAATGTACAGTAAACATCACTCCATTTATAAAAAAAGCACAAGAGTCGACATTTCCAAATCAATATCTGCTGCCAGTTTGGGAAGCTATTTCATTACAATTTGATGAATACTTTTGCAGGTTATGGATCTATATTCAGGGCCAAATTTCCAATAATGCAGAGTCAGCAACTGTTTTCAGAACTGGTCAGCTTTTGTTGGAGCTTAAATGGGCACATAGAAGACGTCATCTCAGTGAGATGTCTGGGTGCTATGCCCCACTATTTTTAACCACACAACTGGAAACATTGACATTCTGCAGTCACACTGACAGACATCAAATGAGCTTCCTCTGGAAAAAAAAACCCGCAAATTTCGAGCAGATATATAGTCTAATAATCAACCTGATTGGCACTGTTTTTTGCACACATGCATGTCCATCAAATGGGAAAGCATTAGGTTGGCAGACATCAAGATGGAGGCAGGGCTGGCCACAGGAAGCAGCACAGCAAGGAGGAGTAGGTAAGTAAGCTACCTTTTGCAGGCACTCGGAAAGGGGCCTGTAAACTAAACTGCTACAAGACAATTATTACCATTATTATTATTCCAACAGATTCCATAGCGCTTTACAATATTATGAGGGGGGGATTTGACTATAAATAGGACAATTACAAGAAAAAACTTACAGGAACGAAAGGTTGAAGAGGGCCCTGCTTAAATGATATTACAGTCTATAGGAGGTGGGGTATAAAACATTAGGACAGGGAAAAGAAGTCAAATTAGGTTGGAGTGGAGCAGAGCTGGAGGAGAGAGTAGAGAGTAAGAGGCAGGTATGTGAGGTAGAGGTTAGTCTGGAAGGCCATAGGCTTTCCTAAAGAAATTAGTTTTAAGGCACTTCTTAAAATGATTGAAGACTAAGGGAGAGTTTGATGGTGGGAGGCAGGCTATTCCCATAGGACGGGAGCCACCCGTGAAAAGTCCTGCAAGCGCGTGTTGGCCATACAGGTATGAGCAGCGGGACCGAGAAGGGGCATACCTATGGATCTGTGAGGAGATACAAGAGGGGCTAAGATTATGCAGTGCTTTATAGGTATGGGTTAGCACTTTGAATTGACTCCTATAGGATACAGGAAGCCAATGTAAGGACTGAGAGGGGTGAGAGGACCGACTAGAGAGGAAAATCAGTCTGGCAGCAGCATTCATTACAGACTGTAGTGCGGCAATACGGCTATTGGGAAGACCAATTAGGAGAGAGTTACATGCGAGAGATTACTAGAGCATGGACAAGCTCTTTAGTAGCATCTTGTGTAAGAAAAGGGCGGATGCGGGCGATGTGTTTGAGGTGGAATTGGCATGATTTGACAGACCAGATGTGAGGCCGAAAGGTGAGGCCAGAATCAAATGTAACACCAAGACAACGTGCTTGTAAGGATGTTGTGCTGATATGGGTACCACCAATCTGAAGGGAGAGCGAGAAAGGAGGATTAATATTAGGAAGAGGAAAGACAAGAAGTTCTGTTTTGGAAAGATTCAGTTTCAGAAAGTGGGAGGACATCCAATCAGAGATAGAAAGGCAAGAGGAGACACGTTGCAGGACATCAGGGAGAGGTCTGGGGAGGAGAGATCTGGGTGTCATCAGCGTACAGGTGGTATTTGAATCCAGAAAAGGTAATAAGCTTACCAAGAGAGGCAGTGTAAAGAGAAAATAGAAGGGATGAAGGACAGAGCCTTGAGGGACTCCAACTGAGACAGGACAAACGGTGGAGGTATCATTAGAAAGGTAGACGCTGAATGAGCATTGGAGAGATAGGAGGAAAACCATGAGAGAACAGAGTCACAGAAAGAGTGATTGAAGAGTTGAGTGTTTTGTGTGGGGGGGGGGAAGAAGTGTCCTCATTCCTTTTTACAAAGTGCAGATTTTAATGAATCTTGTTACACCCCCTTAGCTGACGCTGACACACACTCAAGAGGAAGTTAACTGGCCAGAGCACCTGCCTCGCAAAGACTTCTCATTGAGCTGCATTGGGAAGCCTGTGATTGGACAGCCGCAGAAAGTCTGGGCAGTGTTAGAAGGGGAGGGCTTGCAAAGCTAGCAGTCAGATCTACAGTTATTGCAAGCTGTTTTTAGATAGATCACCAATGAAATTATGCATAATTAAAGTGCATGCATTTTTTATTTGTGGTACATCTACTAAATTGTGATTTTTAAAAAAGTCTATTTTGGCAATGGAGTGTCCCTCAAAGTGGGCTGGTGGAGAGACATGTACCAAGAGCCTTGGCCAGTATTCTCTATGCTAGATAGCAGAACTGCTGGAACGTTATAGAGCATGTAAAGTGAAGTGATGTCCCAGCAAGTCTAGTGTCTGTAGGAGGCTGGACTGGAAGAGATCACTTCCCATCTGCCCTCTAACAGCCTCTCACCCACGAAGTGACTTGCAGGAGGAGCAGGGACAGCACTGAGTGATGCACACTGAATTCCTGCAGCTTTAATATTGGTCATAGGACAGTAAGTGGATACTATAAACACAATCCCCAACGTTCAGTTCATTTTCAGTTTGGCGGTGGGGGAGCAGAATCTTGGGGCTCTGTGCCTACCTGTAACTGGCTCTCTATATCCCTAATCCCTGCCCAGCATGCAGTTATATGCTCAGACCTCTGAAGATGAAAGGGCTAGTATTGGAAGTAGCCAGCTATGGAAACTTGCATCAAAGTAGAGGGCTTTGAATTTAAGGACTTCGTTAGTGGTGTAGGTTAGTTAACTGGTTAGGGAGTCACTTTAATATACAATTACAATATAACACTATTAAAATCTATAGAATTGGTTTTAGTTTTGCAGGCATTTTGTAACTTCTTGTATTTGGATAATATACAGTGTTGGATTATATAGAAAATATAAGAGCAGCAAGATGATCATATTACTCTGCATTGCTGAAGACAGAACCTTCATCTCTTTTATAAAGTATTTTCCAATGCTACATCAACGCCCTATGTTGGCTACTTTGCTCCCCACCCACCTTGCAGCATGTCAGGGTGTGTCATAAAACAACTACCAGGGTGTGGGGTAAGAAGGTGACTCTGGGGCAGCGTTCTACAACTGAAACAGTCACCATGACAACTAATTGACCAACTCTGAACCTCAGAGTGTTCCCCACGACATCATGTTACAATGAATACAAAACCAGTGTCAGCAACAGGCCCAGCTTCTCCCTGATAACCTGCTCATTAACCAATTAACAGGAGAGTCGTTACATTTAGCAGAATCACCCAGTCTCCAATGTAACTACTAAATTCAAAGTACTTCTAGTTCAGTTGAGGTTTATTTTATTAGTCATACTCCAAGTGTCATAGGGAAAATAAATAAATATGGAACTTTTAAATCGATAACAACGTGTCTCATCGCTAGGATTAACAAGTAACTAAGGAGGAAATAGTTGACTTAGAGAGACTATCTCCCAATGCTCCCACCCCAAAACAACAGACAATAGAAATCTGCGCTGCCCCTGCTCTGCTGCATTGATTTCTACACCCTCCAAGCCAGATATATTTTTTCTACCAGCATTGAAAGAAAGGCAGAACCCCAGATATTGCAGAACTACAAACTTCCAACTGGTAAAGCATCATGGGGGTTGTAGTCCTGCAACATCTGGAAACCCCTTTGATTGAATGCTTCCCCACCGCAGTCTTACACTATAAGGAGAGACAAATGCAGCTAGTGATAGGAGTTGTGGCCCAATACAGAATGCCTATATCATAAAACACATCCACCTCCCTCTGTAATACACTTTAAAAAGAAATGCATGAGATTTCCAAACCTGATCTACAGAGCCCAGCTGTGTCTGCCTCCATAAGCCATCACACCCTACCCCAACAATGGCGCATCTATAGCATTTACCATTAGACTTGCATCCTTCCTTCCTCTTTGTGGCTCCCAGCTGCTGCTCTGCACAATACTTTCTACAAACTTGGCACATCAGCGCTGCTCTCCGCCCTCTAGCGGCCGTCCTGGCTGACTGCTCTATTTATGGTGAAACTCGCCCAGCGCCAGCCTTATCTATGCCCTAGTGCTGCTCTGCAATTGGCTCTTACTCAGCCCAACCCTGAGTCTCATTTAACCCCTTCAGGGCCATAAGGCCTCCTGCTGGGGTTGCTTTGTTTACAAACACAGAGTTCTGCTGAATCTAAAGTTGTTGTTTTTTCCTTTGCATAACGTTACAAAGACCCCAAAACACACTGTTAGGCCAGGCAATGCTCCTGGGTGTGTGAGGAAGGGGTATGAGAACATTAACAATGTATTAGTTAACTTGTAAAAACGCTCACATGTATGTTTGTATGTTGTGTGTGTGTTTGTGTTATTGTTAGTGTACAGTATCTCCTTATATAATAAAAACATTGTGTGTGTGTGTGTGTGTGAGTCAGTATGTTCTGTCTGCCTGGCATTCCATGCACTACCTCTAGATTGCAAGCTCTTTGGGGCATTGTCTTCATCAACCTATCCCTGTAACATTCTGTAATTGTCTTACCTATTGTTACATTACACTTTATAATATTGTAAAGCGCTGGCAATAAAAATAATAATTACACAACACTGCAGAATATATTGTTATTAGTATTTATATAGCGCAAACATATTCTGCAGAACTTTACTACAATACATTGAGGGTATAAAATGGTGCTTATTATTGCAACAATGTTATTGTTCTTATCTATGGCTCCATGACTGAGAGAGACAGACATACACACACACACACACACACACACACTCTCAGCTTTTTTTTTAAATTCTTTATTTTTGGAGTGCATGGAAATATAACAAGTTAGCTTGTCATGTCCCAAGTATATGACAAAACATATGTTAACAGTTGGTCAGCATGTGAACAACAAACAAAAAAAAAACAGCACAATTTTTATAGAGCAACATTCAGGTTAAGTGTTTCTCTCAGCTTTTTTAATAGGGGGACATCCTGTTTTCTGAAAGTGCAGCAAAGCTTTGCTATAGTCGCATGAAAACAGGATGCTTGTGAGGTGTCAGATACCATATGTGTGGAGTTCTGGCTGTACATTATAAAACACGCACAAAAACACATACAGGGTTACTTACTAAAGTGAGAATTCAAAGTGAATATCAAATTTAAGGCCAGAGCAGCCAAACTAAAAACATAACTGAAAGATATTTTTTCCAGTTATCTTTCCCTGCAGATTGTTCCTTTAATTAGGCAGTTTTGGTACATAGATCATACCCCTACAGTTTCACTGCTCAATTTCCTGCCATTTAGGAGTTAAATCACTTTGTCTGTGGAGCCCTAGTCACCCCTCCCTTGTCTGAGACTCACACAGCCTCCTTACACCAGGGGCGGAGCAAGGTCACACTGGAGGCACATTTTTTATTTGTGCCCCACAAATCCAGTTCCCTAACATTGCCCTAAACTAACTGCAGGTCCCTCTCCAAAGAGTTTATATTATAATAATAATATCATCCCTAGCAAGTGTCACTATTTAGGAGGGACAGTCCCTATTTTGCACCCAACTCCCTCCCTCCGTCCTTTTTTTGTAGGAGTTTTATATTGTTTGATTGTTTGTGTGTCTGAGTATATAACAGAGCTCCACAATAATAATACTCCCAGTAATATGTCTTTACTACAGTAAATGTGTTTTAAAATCAGTCGTGTAAAGAATATACATTAGTCTTGTTCTAAATTACATTTTAGTGGCATAAATTATTAGTAAGTCACCTACATTTTTTTTTAAAAAGCTCTGCCCTTGTCCAAACCCCAACTAACATCTCTAAAATTAAAGTATCCCTCTTTGTCCGTTTGTAATGTTGGTAGGTATGTAAAAATATTATTATTATTAATAATAAATGTCAAGGGACCCATACATTCTAACACCAGAATATCTGCTCTATATGAGTAGGTTTGTATACTGAAAGGTATTCATTAATAAGTGAAGTCAGGTGATTTTTAAGGAAATGCAATATTTGGGCCAAGGTAACAGACGTGGGAAAAAGAGTTAAATTGAACAATTTGTCCAGTTTGGTTATTTATTCCTCGAGTTTGCAAATTCATCACAATCAACTTTTGATGGGACTATTCACTAAAGTTAGAATTGTTGGTAATTCAAACGGAATTCAAAAATTTAAAGCCAAGCTAGAAATATAACTCGGTTATGCTTCTAGTAGGGCTGTTTACTCCATTCAGTGCCCCTCCAGGGCAACCCATGCACTGAGCCCTGGTGAAAATGCGCTGGGTTTAACAGGCTCCCAGTGTTTTGCAAGCTGTATTTGAGCACCTATTAGCTAGCCGTCCCTTCACGCAGCCTCATTGGTGGGAGGCAATTATTACACTTCTCTTCCTCTCAGCACACAAAGAGCCATGTGGAGAATAAAGAGATAGCAGGAGGGGAGCCAAAAGGGAAGATAAAGACAGAACCATCCATTCAGTGCTTTCCTATGGGTAAATTTGATGTGCGGCCCATTGTCGCACATGGGATCCTCTAGAAGGAGCATTGGATTGGACTGAATGTAGAGATTGGCATGCCTCCTCTGTGATTCCATTGGAAGAGGAGAGGGAGCAGCGGCACTGACAAAGGGAAATAAATACACTTTATTATTTTTATGCCAAATGGTGGGGGACATCATAAAAGTTTGTATACCTAATGCTTTAGTGCTCCATTTTTATACTAATTTTAACATTAACTAATGTTATCATAACAATGATAAGGTATTGGGCTCACAAAACGCCCAATTTCATCACCCTATAATTAAACTGACTTTTCCGCTTATTATAACAAAAAAAATAATAATTTATGTAATGTCAACTGTCCTTGACATTTGTCTACAGCTGATTTGAGTTTAACATTTAAACGAACACAAACATGTTTTCCTGACCCTATACTACTAAAAAAACATGCAAGCCCTACTGACCTCCCCTTAAAAAAACTAGAAAACTCACCTTATTTCCAGCGATGCGTAGGTCTGCTGGAGCTGGTTCCTCCCCCTATCTGCCTCCTTGGTTGACATAATTAGAATTGATTATCTCAGCCAATCACAATGTTTTCCCCTAGGAAAGCATTGGATTGGCTGAGATCCTGAATTCTGAGGATCTTAGCCAAGGAGGCTGGCTTGGAAGCGGCGCCAAACGCCACCCTGATAAATCAGCATTTCCTCATAGAGATGCATTGAATACAGAGTGGAGACGCTGAACGTTATGTGCAAAACTGACCCAGGAAGCACCTCCAGAGTCTGGCTGTCTGAGTGACTGCCACTAGAGGTGTTCCTAGGCTGTAATGTAAACATTGCATTTTCTCTGAAAAGACTGTGTTACAGCAAAAAACTTGCAGGGACTGACCAGGGCCATCTTTAACCCGGGGCAAACAGGGCAGCTGCCCCGGGCCCAGTTACTGGGGGGGGGGAGGGGGCCAAAGCAGCTGCCCCGTGAGCCCTGGTGCCCTCTATTAATTATTTTTTTCCACCATTGGCCCCCGGTGCACCCCGGGGCCCGCACACTAAGAAGGCCCATGCTCTAACGGCCACCCGGTGGGCCTTTGTAAGCAGGAGCCCTTTAACAGCGCGACCGGCCCCATGCTTTTCAGCAGTGCTGGGAGGAAGTGACAGCTGTACGTCACTTCCTCCCAGTGAAAACATAGAGCCACGTGGGAGAGATCAAGGAGGCAGTGAGGAGGGGGGCTGGGCAGGGAGAGTCAGCCCCTAATTCACAACAGCCTCAGCCACCACTCTGGACACCAGGGAAGGCACCCTTCAAGGTTGGAAACGGGAGGTAGGTTAAAAGTGTAAATTGTGCATGTGTGATTGTGTGTGAATGTGTGTCAGTATGTCTATCAGTGTCTCTGTGTGTCAGTATGTCTGTCAGTGTGTGTGTATGTCTGTCACTTAGTCAGTCAGTGGATGATTCTGTGTGTGTCAGTATGTCTGTCAGTATGTGTGTGTATGTGTCAGTATGCATGTTAGTGTGTGTCAACAGGTCTGTCAGTATGTATGTGCATGTGTGGAGAATCCATGTGTCAGCATGTCTGTCAGTGTGTGTCTGTGTGTGTGTCAGTATGTCTGTCAGTATATATGTGTCCGTCCGTATGTCTGTGTGTGTGTGTCAGTATGTTTGTGTGTGTCAATTTATCTGTCAATGAATATATGTATGCCAGTATGTTTGTGTGTATGTATCAGTATGTCTTTCAGTGTATATGTTTGTGTAAGTATGCCTTGCACCTCTCTACTTTAGTTCCCCCACTGTGTCGTGTTGAAATGTGTGATTGCACACCAGTGAGTGAGGACTGGTGGGGGCAGGGTACAGTGGGCCCAAGAAAATGCTTTGCCCAGGTTCCTATTATTATAATAGACGGCTCTGGAACTGACTATACTGACCAGAGCAACTACATTAAGCTGTCCATTTAAGTTTAATGCTAGGATAGATACCTATCAGCTTTCTAAGAGTGTGTTCTGTAGTAAGTGATTACTGTTATACCTACCTTTATTTAACACTGCAGAAAAACAAATATCCTATTTAGTCTATCTATTCCACCAAACATAGACCCTACATTCTGTTCCTATAGCTCGTCACAATCTCCGACTTGTTTCTGTTACAGTGTTTCCATTCAGCTCCTTTTGTTGCAGGAGTCCTTTTGTTACAATTTATGTGCCATTATGTCTCCAATTGAGACCATGGTTCAAGCAGTTTATTTCTATAACGTAAATAGAGCTAGTTTATTATTATTTTAAGATATTCCCTATATTTCTTTTTACCAGTTTAATACAGCGACATCATTATTATATGCTGTCATTTCACGTATTAGCACAATAGTCTAAGTGTCAAGGTGTGTTGTTCTCACCTTATTATTTATATTTTATGTTATGGGCTGTACAATTATATTTAAATAAAGATAACAAAACACATATGTATACACTGTTTTATACTCAATAGGCAACCCCCTTAGTGCTTTTTTCACACTTTTGGTATATATTTTAGTTTAACAGATCATACAGGTTTAACTTTCCATGTCCATTTATAGAGTTATTCAATAAATTGTAAATTGTTGAGAACTGATTCAGAACCCAGAACTTGTGTAGGGGGATTAGCTCAAATGGTAGAGCGCTCGCTTAGCATGTGAGAGGTAGCGGGATCGATGCCCGCATTCTCCAAAATTTTTTTTTTTTTTTAAATTGTTCTTATTACTTCAAGAGTTTCATTAAATCATTCTTCAAGATTAATGTATCATATAGATTTGTTTTATCTGATACTCCATTTTCTTTGTAATGTACATATTCCATATATCTGCACACATATTCCATAGGCGACTCTCCCCTTTTACACCACTTTTTAGAACAAAACACTTTAACTATCAGAGAGCCCTGCCAGACTAATACAGCTGCCTGTTTATAGATAAACCTTACCCCCCCACCCGCTCTTTTTTTAAAGATAAGATAAAATATTTATAATTTCTTCCCAACATCATTATATATTTACTTGATACTTTTGTGTTTCCTTTTTGTGGGAATCTATTTGTCCGCTCTTTTCCTTAGTTTATGTTTCTTCTTTTCTTATCAGTTATGGTCACCTTGGTGAGTTAAGCTTTACATTATTATAATATATATATTTTTTTAAATAATGGGGCCATTATGGTTGCTAATGTCGTAACTGGCAAGTGTCATTTCCCTACTTCCCCCCACTCTCCTCCCCCTCACACACTTTTTATTTCACTGCTAATAATAAAATAACTTCATATTATGTGATGGAACTGCAATAGCAAAAGTACTTGTACAGCTGCGATCATTGTTATAACACTACAAAAGGCAAAGATACCTATACAGTAGTGATGTATAACTTTACTTGTTACTCAATTTTGTCTTTATCTCAACCCCACTTTGACAAATTAAGTGGGGGGAATAATTACTGTGTTCTTGAGAATTTGTGGTTTAGTGAATAAACACATCACTGATATGATAGAACTGTCCTAGACTTAAGACAAGGCCAGGGCCTAACTAGAGTATTTAGAAAATTGGGCAGACTAGATGGGCCAAACGGTTCTTATCTGCTGTCACATTCTATGTTTATAAATGTACATAATTTTGTAAGGCACTGTCCCACTCAACATACTCTGTATTAACACTCTTTTTTCAATATGGCATTTACAGGGGAATTAGCTCAAATGGTAGAGCGCTCGCTTAGCATGTGAGAGGTAGCGGGATCGATGCCCGCATTCTCCATTTTTGTTTGTTTTTTTATTGTTACTTTATACTCTCCAAGTCATTTTTTTTTTAAAAGGAACAGTTACTTTTCTTTTTTTTTTACAAGTGCTACTATTGATTAATAGACAGGAAATCACACCAGTTACGTTTTTAACTGATGCTCCATTTTCACATTTAATATTCAGTTCAAACGTGCTAAAAGAAAATATTGTACTGTTCAATACACCAATTCTAATTCACACAGGGTTATTTACAGAGTTTCTCTGTATATAGTTTTACATCACTTTCATTGGGATTTATCTCAAATGGTAAAGCGCTCGCTTAGCATGTGAGAAGTAGTGGGATTAATGCCTTCCTTCTCCAAGTTATTTATTTTTTGAAATTTATTTTTAAGGAATAAAATATCTACAGTTGTAGATATACAGAATGCACAGTTACTGTTGTGCCGGTAACCCCTTAAGGACCAAACTTCTGGAATAAAAGGGAATCATGACATGTCACACATGTTGTGTCCTTAAGGGGTAAAGGACTACTCTAAGACCATAACAACCAGTTTAACCCCAACTTCTTCAATCCGGCACCTGATCACTCTGCCTTTCACTTCTGCTCCAGTTCCATGCTTTAATCAGGAAGCCTTGGGCAGAGTACCACTGGTAGGCTGAGACAGTCAAATATGTACCATCTTTAATAGATATACATTGTTTATACTCAATAGGCAATCCCCTTAGTGGGGTTTTCACACTTTTGGTATATATTTTAGTTTAACCCCTTAAGGACCAAACTTCTGGAATAAAAGGGAATCATGACATGTCACAAATGTCATGTGTCCTTAAGGAGTTAACATATTAGGCAGGTTTAACTTTCCACGTCTATTTATAGAGTTGTTCAATAAATTGGTAATTGTTGAAAACTGATTAGAAACTGATAACTTGTATAGGGGAATTAGCTCAAATGGTAGAGCGCTCGCTTAGCATGTGAGAGGTAGCGGGATCGATGCCCGTATTCTCCAATCTTTTATTTTTTTTAAATTGTTATTACTACTTTAAAGATTTTCATTAAATCATTCTTCAAGATTAATGTATCATATTATTGAAAATAATATATTTTTTAAAAAGCTTCTAAACAGAGACTCCTGTAACACACTCCATAAGAGTGTGCAAAATACAGACATCCATGGGTGGGCTCAAACCCCCAACTTTTTTGATCAACAGCCAAGTACTATATAGTGTCAACTTATTCTGCAGCGTGTTACAATAATATAAAGGGGGAAATGTAACAAGAGACGAAACAATTGCAAATTGTTAAAAAAAAAAAAAATAGGTTGATGAGGACTTTGCTCAAACGATCTGACAATCTCCAGGAGGATAAAGATACCCCAACACATCTTTCAAGTGCCGAAAGAAAACCCCAATCAATTTGTAGGAATGGGTAAAATAATTTCCAATATACATGAAATATAGAAAAAAAAAATACAAAAAATTATCACCTATTTTTGCCTCCCTTGATTTGTAGTATGCATCATCATAAACATCTTTTCAAATGAATCCAGCTAGGATCTGCGGAATGTAAAAATGGTGAAATGGCTTCTGTTATAAGGCTTTTGCAGACCACCCATTATGAGCTTGTCTCTAGGCTGATAAAACCTAGATTGTTTATTTGAAGCAGCGAAAGAATGTCCTAGTTAGGTGAGGAACTGACATGTTTATGCAGAGGTTAGCAATTAGGATTTCTGGTTTTCGAGTGCCCTCTGCTGGTCACAATAGTAAAGTAGAAATATGACTGCTTTGAGTACTTTATAATCTTGCATTCAATTCTAGGAGTTTTTGAGGAAGTCTAGAGAATTGCAAAGTATAAGCAGAAATGGGGAAAAAATCAGCCACTATATTTCCTGTTCTGCCATTTTAACATAAATCTGCAGTTTCTTTTCACGTTTTTAGTTTAGTGAATTAAAACCAAACTGCAGTATGTGAGATGTAGTACCAAAAGCTGCCCACCTGTGCTATTGATACTCAGTTTTTTCTCTCCCAATATAAAACTAATCCATCACTCCTCATTCCTCTCATCTGAAAGGTCTCCTGCTATACCGCTTACTGTATAAAGAAACTATTGAAATTAACTAAATCCTCAACACTGGCACAAAAGCAACATTTCAAGCCAGTTGTAGCATATAGACACTACATGGGCGAAAAAAAAAAAAAACAGCAAGAAGGACTTTAAAAAAAAACAACAAAAAAAAAAAACTTGTATTACTTTGCAACCATCCTCGAACGTGGATTTTGACAAGAAATTCAATAACAAATCTCAGGCACTCACTGTGATGAATCAAGCAGGTTTATTGGACACAGCAACACTTTGACCTATACCCAAGTTTTTATCAAGGCTTCATTAAGACCTGGGTAGAGGTAGAAACATTGCCGTGTCCAATAAACCTGCTTGATTCATGACAGTGAGTGCCCGAGATTTTTCCTTTTATAATTGTTCTTATGGGATTTGCTGACCCATACTCAGTTAGCACCCTGGGGTTTTTATGATTGAGTGCAGTCCCCCTTTTCCTGCTTAGAAACCAGTGTTTTGATCTGTTCACCATCAACATTGCGTGCAGCAGCAACCACAGCCTCCCAGACACTGTTCAGAGAGGTGTACTGTTTTCCCTCCTTGTAAATCTCACATTTGATGATGGACCACAGGTTCTCAATGGGGTTCAGATCAGGTGAACAAGGAGGCCATGTCACCAGATTTATGAAGGGTAATATTTGAAAAGGTTTTGTCATCCTGAATATATTAAGCTTTCAGCCAAAAGTGTAAAACAAAATTGCGGACAGTCCATTTATGTGACTACTGAGCTCATTTGTAGAGCCGAACTCACTTTTTGTTTTGTTGCATTTTTGCCTAAGCAGCAGAGATTAAGCGGCAGATTTAAATGACACTGTTTTCTGTACTCCCAGGGCCGGCCTTAGGGATGTACGAGCTATGAGGCCACACAGGGCGCCATGGAGCAGGGGGCACCCTGCGGCTGACACAGCTCACACATGGCCAGCCGGGGGTATAAAAAAAAAATATATATATTTTTGCGGTGGGGGCAGAGCTAAAAGCACCGGATAACAGCTGCAGGGGAAGCAGGAAGGAGTCTCTGCTTCCCCCAACAACCAGAATCCAGGAGCTGCATTGCCTCCACAATGAACTCCATAGGTAACTGTGTGATTGTCTGTGTGAGTGTGACTGACTCTGTGTGTGTGTGTGACGGTCTGTGTGTTTGGCTGTTTGCCTGTGTGTGTGACTGGCTGCCTGCCTGTGTATGTCTGCCTGTGTATGACTGTCTGCGTGTGTGACCGTCTGTCTGCCTGTGTGTGTGTGGCTGTCTGGGCAGACTAGATGGGCCGAATGGTTCTTATCCACCGTCACATTCTAGGTCTTTGTGTGTGTGTGTGGCTCTCTGTGTGTGACTGCCTGCGTGTGACTGCCTGTGTGTGTGGCTGTCTGCCTCTGTGTGTGTGTGACAGGGTGTGTGGGAAGGGGGGAAGGAGTGGTGGGGGGGGAATGGAAAGGGGGGCGCTGTGAAGATTTTTCGCACAGGTCGCCCAAAGGCCAGCCCTGTGTACTCCTGGCTGTTTAGGACTGAAATTTCCAATACTAAATGAGAAATAGATTGCCTTTACAGTTCATAACTGAATCTAAATAGAAAATTCAGCATCAATGCAGATTCTGGCATGAAGGACAGAAAAAAAAAAAAAACAACCTAATTTGCAATTAAAACTAAATCTACTTGCATGCATGTCGCATATATCTGCCTTCCCGTAAATATACTGAGGAATCCTTAGGTCTACTTGGACCTTTTTTTAAAAAAATTCTTTATTTATTCCAAGATTGGTCAACAGAATACAATACATGCATAACAGTGTTAAGTTGAATATAGACATAGATAGATATATATACAGTAACAGCGTACGTCGAATTACTGTCGGTGTGATCCACCTTGTGAATTAAAATGTGATTCTTAACTGCATATAGGTTGCGTTACTGTGTGTCATGCTGTATACTTTGTATTGCTATTGTAGCGTTTATCCCGTCCTAGTGTTTTTACCATTTATTGTAAAACTTAATATGTCAATACAGGCTTCTCATATGCCCGAGTTATGTTTCCCTCCAAAGTATAGATTTATCCGGGTACGTAGGTATTCCGGCTATTATATGCACTCCTTCCCATTATTATTCCAATAAGCCTGCTCTTTATTGTTTTTCGAAACAGAAGTAAAAGTTGGAAGGGTGGAGAGAAAACACTCTTACTTGGACCTTTTTAGCCACGTCTGCACACATTCTTGCTGCAGCAAGTGAGAATTCTTCTTGTAGGCACCTCAGGCATCCTCTAACATCACAACAAAAACAGAAAATATGAGAACGGACAAAAGCTTAATAACCTGTCCTTCAATAAGTGCCACTGATTCATTCGATTCATAGTAGTCATAGTAGCTAAAGCCTGTATGTGCATTGCATTTTGAAACGATGCACATAAAGAGTTTAACCCATCTTCTGCTGGAGGTGTAACTCCACCTAAGGCAGTGTCATAGGGGCAACATTAGCCATCCTGGAATTAATGTAAATTCTGTGCATTTTCCTAAGCACAGAATAGCATTCACAGGCTGAGTGGTCAGCCACACTTTCAACCAATATATGGGCGAGAGGATCAACTTCTGGCTTCTGCAGCTCCACAAGCCTTTGGAATTCACTCAGTGCCAAACAGGGAACCATTGCAAAATGGTTTGACCCATTACAGGAAACTGGGGCAAGGGTAATGCTGACATCATAAAAACTACATTGGCTGTATTGGTTAGCCCATAAACTCCAGCGGGACAGAGCTTATGGCCTAGATAAAACAAACAAACCATGGACTAGGATGAGCGGTTCTTGACTGTTGCAGTCTTTCCTCATCTAGGATGGATCTGGAATCTGGAGAACTTGCCTATACCCATTCTACATATTCAGAACTTTTTCAAAAATAATGACAATATTTTCATTCATAGATTATCCCACATGATAATGTTATACGGTCTATATAAATAGACTCAGTTTTAGACTCTTGATAAAACAAGACTCTTCCTATAATCTTGTGTTATCAATGTTGTTTAAGATGTGAGCAGGGGGATTTCTGAAAGGCTAACCAACGTTTTGCCCGTTCTCAACATGTGCGATTAAATAATTTTGGGTAGTTTGCATGATCTTAGGCTCCTTAACTCTAGCGGGTAATAAAAACATGAACCCCTTGCTCCCTGTCCACAGAGACATAATCTGCGCCTCATTGACAAGGCCTTAAGAAAGGCATACAATGTTGTCTGTGTGGGTTGCTGCTTTTTTAACACAGAGAGTGGCTGACAAGATTTGGGATTAGTGTGATATGCAATAGGTCTCGATTCCTTCCATCAAGGCACAAGGAAGCTAAAACCCGATCAAGGATTAAAAGTAACACTTCAGACCCCTAAAATACTTTAGCCTGCTGAAAAGCTTTATGTGTAAAAAGTATGCCCCATTTTTCCATTTTGGAAAAAGTGCAGATTTCAATTGAAATTGACATGTTTATAAATTCTACTAGTCACACCCACTGGATTTTCAAGCAGACAATAAGTTCTGTTACTTCCTGGTTTGGTTAGCTTATTTGCATTGAACTCATGAGGCAGCAGTTACTCAGAGCACCTATCTTGCAAAAACTTCTCATTAAGCAGCATTGTGAAGTCTGTGATTGGACATCCACAGAAAGTCTGGGTGGAATTAGAAGAGGAGGGCTTGCAAAAGGTTGCAGACAAGAGATCTGCAGTTTTTGCAAGCTGTTTGTAGATATAACTCCAATGATAAAATACATAATTAATGCATGCAAGTTTTCATTGGGGGTATTCTACCAAACAGATTTTTAGTTTGTATTTGGCCAGTACAATGTCCATCTAAGTGAAGGGTAAGTCAATTGTATTATTTATCCGTTCTCATAAAGTATGGTTAGGATTTTGTTAATTTTACCATGAGATGCAGGGGAATCTGTCTTTATACGGGATGTGTGTGTGTGTATATATATATATATATATATATATATATATATATATTTTATTTTTTTAAATTCTTTATTTTTCGTGCAGAGAATTACAAACTCGTCTGCAGAGCCACGACGGCACAACAAACCAATATAGTCAAACAGTTATACAATGTCATGGCAGAAAAGAGAAATGCACATTTTTATATAATGTAGTCATGCTTATACTGTAGATTTATATTTATATAGAAGCCCTGCACATGGTAAGTAGTAGTAACTAATGTCTAGAGTAACGTTATGCAGGGAATGGGTGGATGGATTAATGCTTAAGCTAGCGGTGAGGTGTTAGGGGATTCAGTGTGGTTCTTAAGTCAAACAAAAGATTTCACAACTTTCTGTGTGTATGACAAGCTGATCTAAACTGCTGCACTGTCAGAATAAGGCATAATAGGCATGTAAGGGAAACATATTACTGTGCTGTGGAGACCCATAGTGTACTTCCTCGTTTGAACAGTTGATGCCTGTAACAGATCTTATTTGATAGTGTGATAACATGCTATGGGGTTTAGTGGCCGGTTGATCTGGTGTCGTCACCATATTGTCGCTTATAATTAGTGTTAAGGATTCACTTAGGACCTGACACCGTGAATGTACTTATTGGGAAAGCTACATGGTTTGCAAACTAGTTCGATTCAATTATGCAAGGGTACACTCGAGGTCAGCGGGGCAGGTTGCGCCTAACTATGTCATTATATAGTTCCGCATGTATGAGAGTGAAAATGTGCTTACAGCCTGATTCTGGATGCATAATACACAGGTGGGTCATGATGCGTTGAAACAGGTTAGGCAACTTTGAATAAGATATAAAAACAAAATTAAAGTTTAAATGAAATTAGTATCCAAAGTATCTAGGCGGCTGTTAAGCTGAAAAAAGAGGGGGTCAAGGGCTGCGCTTAGGTAAAACAGATATGTTGAAATATATAAGATCGCGTATATGTAAAATAAACAGCGGTAATAAAATCAAATAAAGTTCATCCGGATTTTCTTAAAAATATAGAATAAAAACAGTCTCACTGATATGTAGTACCACGATATCAATCCTCAAGTATGGCTTTTACCATTTTGAGAAAACCCCAAAGGTGAAACGCGTAAATGGTTTTAATAAGTGTATTTTAATCAATAAAAGTTATTTTTGGTTACCTTTTAAAACTAGGACCAATTGCATACTTATTTTTATTGTATTTTATACACTTTCTTTTTACCCCTGGCATTTTATATATATATATTATTTTTTCATATATATTTTTTGTATTTAACACTATAGTTTTATCCACCTTTTTTTATTATTTTTCATTATTTTTATTATTCAATTTTTTACTTGGAAGCATATTCCGTCCAAAGAAATCCTTAGGTGGGGATAATTCCACCAGCGCTGTGGCAATAGAGCAGTATCCATCTGCTCCATTCTTGTAAGTATTATTCATTTATAGATATCACTTTGTTGTTCATACTGAGAGCACTATTTTGCTGTCTCATATATACTCCGTGGACACCTACCACCCGATACTGGAAAGGCGGACCTATCTTCCAAGCATCAAGAAAACAACGTATATGTGAAGTAGATCCTAGCCGACACCACAGGAATCCCAAGCCGGACAGACGGACCATCTAAGTATATCCGTTAGTGGGGATCAAACCACTAAGTGCCTCTTCTCCCAGAGCTGGCAATAAGCTCCACCAAATGTGAGTGATACATATTTCCTTTGATTATATACCACATCAGGACCAACAATATTTCACCATAGGCAGCTTTCTTTCTTGTTTTTTATCTTCACATATATGGACTACCTACCACACGGACGGAGCCATACTTGAGGATTGATATCGTGGTACTACATATCAGTGAGACTGTTTTTATTCTATATTTTTAAGAAAATCCGGATGAACTTTATTTGATTTTATTACCGCTGTTTATTTTACATATACACGATCTTATATATTTCAACATATCTGTTTTACCTAAGCGCAGCCCTTGACCCCCTCTTTTTTCGCATTTCCTACATAAGGGTTCCGTGAGGGATCTCCCTTTTTGGGTTGCTGCTCAATTGAACTAGCGCAGACTCTTCCTCTGTTTTGTTTGGCTGTTAAGCTGAGGCTAGGTGCGCTGCAATTCTGCGTTCTAGCTGTGTGTATCATGCAGTGAGACTCTGCGAGTCTTCCTCCACAGACTTGACTCGTTCCTCCACGCTGTGTATTTCTTCTCGCAGCATGGCAACGTCTGCTGCAAACAGTTTGCGGATGTGGCAGAGAAGGACTTTAATATCCCCTTTTATAGAGGGCAGCTCGTTATCCTTATTGGATGAGGGGTGGTGCAGTCCCCGAGTGTGGGAATTCATCTAGCTCATCCATCGCTTGTTCCGCGGAGGAGTCCGAGGCCACGTCGCCATGTTGTTTTGGCGCGTTGAGGCTTGAGGCCTCTGCGGGCCGAAGGAAGAGGTCTCCAAAGTCTTGTGCCCCTGTCGGTTTCGCAGCCCCCTGATGTTTGTTCTTCTTCCCCATCTTGATTTATTGAGATGGTGGTCGAAATAGGGTGTTTTAAAAAGGGGTTATTTTGCGGTTTCAGGCTTATTTTGTCAGAGCTCTGCTGAAGCACGTCTGCTCTGGTTAGCTGCTGGCTCCGCCCCCCAGGGAATCTGTCTTTAACCAAACCTGTATTTCATTAGGGAGTTTATTAAATTAATAATAAGACATGAAATTACTGAAACTTTAGGAAAAAAATAAATAAAATGTTGAAATACAGAAACATGTCTAAGTAGCAATAAACTGGCGCATACAGTGTCATCTTCACTGGAAATTGGGGTGCAAAAGAAACCAGAATTCAGATAGAAGTACCACATTAACAAGTTTTCCACTAAGTACATAGTACAGCTTTATTTGTTCATGCAGGGTGCCTAAAGAAACTGCATTCACTTATCAAATTTATGGCTTCGGACGTTCCTGTAACATTGATCTTGCTCACGTACATTTTGCTTATTGCTCTCTATCAAGTGGCAGCTTGAGGCCAATTCTGACAAAATAAACCAATTCAGAAATTAACACCAACCGAAACAAGGAGTCAATTTTAACAGCGATTTCAAAAAATTGTAAAAGTCAAGTTCCATCTGTTCTTAACGTATACTGCCTCTATTATATAATCATTCATCTCTATCCCATTCTCCCTTCCATGAACAAAAGATGTATTTTTCTTTCGGCTTCATGTACCAAAGGTCTCACTATGTGCACCTGCCTGCAATCAGTTAAGTGTCATTAAGTAGGTTAATGTTCCCTCCAACATCTTCCTATCAGGTTTGTAGCAGAATGCGATCTTCGCCTGTCGTCTCATTGACAAAGATTAGTTGTGACCTAATTCTTGTTTGCCACGGCTGTAAATATGAAACCTGCACTTCTAATTTAACGCGAGAGCAGAATATGTTTATACACTGGTCAGAATAGGCAAAGAACATTATATAAAATGCTGGAAATAGTTAATAAATTAAACTTGGTGAAACCGCACACGATCTAGAGTACAGAAATTCACTGAGAATCGTCGTCAGTTTGTTTCCAGACAGGGCCACGGTTGGTTTTGCTAATGTGCTTTTCTCAGAGTATCCAGCTCTGCAAAATTGGTTGGTGCTATCCACGTGGAAATTAAATGAATACAGGAAATCATTTGCAGCCAGTACCAAGTGAAGGCTGGGCGTTATCAGAAATAGTCACCTTTGTCTGGAGGCTTGTCAGATAAACCTTTCAAACAGTGCACAAAAATAACAGATAAACCATCTTCAGCCAAATGCCAACATTTCTAAACAAATTTAAGTCCTGCAATTAATTAAACTAGTTCTAAATCCTAACCAGGGTTATAATCAAGAGTCCCTAGTGCAATCATTTTATACTGACACAGTATGTGTGATATAAACATGGCTGTATCATGAATGGCCCCAAGGAGGTAAAGTTTGTACCAAGTGGTATGAGGCCTTATGTAAAAGGTGCTTTAAATACTGCCCTCTGGCAACCAGCACCGTTCTTATGGCCAAACCAACACCATGGATACTTCAGACCTCTATTATAGGGATACTAAGCACTAAACCAATTTCATCTTAAAGTGATTTTAGTGAAAAGACCCTGTCCCTGCATATTTGGCAATATAGAACATTGCCAATTCAGTGAAATAGCAAAACTGAAAATCTGATTATAAACACTCACACTTAAGCTCAGCGCTCAAACTCCTACACCTATTGTGTGGCAGCAACGACTATAGTATTCCTCAGCCCAAATACAAAGAACAAAACTAATTTATTGATTATCACCGAGCATCCAACAGGGAAAAAAAAACCCATCAGGTGAAGTGGTGATAAACTCATGCTTCTGACAGACAGCTTATTGGCAAAATTATCTACCATCATCAAATGAGTCCCACCATGAACAGCATTAGGTGGCCTAGATAAGCATTCAAATATACTTTACTGCTTCAGGTTGCTGTATTAAGTCAAAAACTTACACTAAGGCAAGAATTCTATGTGAATTTCAAATTTAAAGTCTAAAAAAAAAACCCCCCCAAAAAACAGCTGAACTGGAAACATTCTCCAAGTTAACTATACTGTCTGTCTGACTACTCTGGCCTTAAATTTGAAAATCCCTTTGAATTCAAACTTTTAGTCTAGTCTATAGTCTCACACACTTGTTCATAACTTACCTGGTACAAATAACTACAACACACTCCTAGACCAAAGAGGTGTATGAGGATCGAGTAAGAAAACATTTAACAATGGATTAGTTCACTTGTGAAAACACACCCGGTATGTACGCATGTATTTGTGTGCTTTGTATACAACTGTTGGTGTACAGCATCATTTTACATATTAACATTCTCCCACTCGCTTCTCTCTTTATGCTGCCAAAATGTAGGTTTCACTTTAAAATTGCTAAAAAGTTTTAGAAAACATACCATGAGTAAACTTTAAAAAAATAAAATAATAAAAAATAAAAATTTGAGAGACAATTGAACGTGACTGGTATAACTTATATAAGAAATCACACATTTATTGTATATAAAGTCAAGTAAAAAGGTTTCCATTGTTATACAAGATACATTATGAAAGTCTCACAACAAATGCAGCATTTAATACTGATAAAACAAATGGGCATGCTAAGCTCAGTATGATTCTGACCTGTCTAGGTAAATCTATTCCCTTTGTAGATTGTAAAAGACATGATGACAAACACAAACATATTTGAAACAGCATTGGCAGTGCCCAACACTGGCTGTTTAGAAACACATTTCCCTAAAATGTAAGCCAATACAAGTTCACTGCATAATGTAGGAAAGGAAAGCTATCAGGATAAAGTCAGTTAAATAATTTACCATATAAATAGGTAAAAGGCTCAGTCGCAGGCTGAAATCTCACCAGCCAGTAACATCAGTTAAAAATAGCAAAAAAAAAAGGAATATCAATATCCTGGCCTTCGCAAGACAGCACTTCCTGTAATTACAGCGTGAAAAAGCAATGAACCACTTTGATCATTAAAAATGTCCAAAAAAATAAAATCTTTGAGCTACATATAGAGATTGTGAGGACGGCGGACCAAATGTTTCATTCCTATGAAATACTATGTATAGCTTACTGGTTCAGATATGATAATAGCCATTGTAAGTAAATGGTTTGGGATGCAGAGGTCCTGGAGATATAAGGCAACTTTGGAAAAGGCAAATAATTTATTCCTGCATTAAATGGAATACCATCTTTAACATGTTCTATTTGATTGAAGGGGTAGTCTAAGTACAGCTTGCTGTAGTCACTATGGTGCCAGGAGTCTCAAAACCAATTTGATCAATCAACTGTTTGACACTTACACGGGTCCTGTAGGTGCATATCCTGTATGGGGTACCTATTTATAGCACCTATAAAGTACCTTTTTGGAGCTTAAGTAGGCTGGTGAGGAGAGGGTATCAGGAGTCCTCTGTAGTCTAGTTCTCCTCCCATGCTTGATAGAGCCGCAGGAACAGTTATAGAAGGTGTAAAACTCAGTGCTGTCCCAGCTACTCCAGTGTCTGTGTGTGAGCTGCACAGCAAGTGATCACTTCCCATGATCTGACATCTAAGAACTTCTCACACAGGAAATGCCTTGCATTAGGAGCACAGACAGCACTGAGTGATGCAAACTGTATAACAGTTCACACAGCTCTGTTATTAACTATACGAGGTTGGGTACTTGGCAAACAACTCTTCAAACTCTTGCACTCTACACAACATGTATAACCTATTCTCTCATCCCTAAATGTACCCTCCCACCCCCCCCACCCTAAAAAACGAAAACATAAAACCCTAAAAGAAACCCTTTCTTTACTGCAAAATCTAAAGGAAAACTTTAGATTTAGAATCTGCTCCCTCCCTTGCAACTCTCACCCAGTGGCAAGTAAAGGGTTATACAACCCTTTTTTCCCTTACCTGGTTCCAGTGCCAATGTCTGTCCCTTGGCGCTGGATTGGGCTCCTCCTCTGCAGACGTCAGACAATAGGGGAAATCTAATGCACATGTGCGGCAAAGACCAAACGTGCATTAGGCTTTCCTCCTAGGAAAGCATAGACCAAATTATTTACTCTGAGGATTTAGAGGACACTGGACGTCCTCACACAAGGCATATGACACGAATTGCAGTCTTAGCCTTGCAATGAAAACATTACTGTTTCTCTGAAATGGCAATGTTAACAGCTGCAGAGCTAAAGGGGTGGGGACAGGGACAGTGTACCCAGATCACTTCAATGAGATGAAAAGTTCTGGGTGCGTATAGTGTCCCTTTAAGCATGCTATGCCTAAATCTGAAACAAAACCTTTCACCTTAATCCTAGGTTTTACTCCTCTTAAAAACGGTGTATCCCAATTTTAAATTTAATACCACTTGAACCATAACCACTAATTCTAAAAACCTTTTGTACCACAACTAACTACAACTCCTCTCAAGCTTTTAATATTTTTAAACACCCTATGTAATCTAACTGATGTGAACTCTTGGATTAAGACAGAAAACATTGGAGAAGAGAGTGTCAAGGCACCAAATTACAATACATCTAAAGCAGCAGGGGAACTTAGTATGCATTCCAAAACAATTTCTTACGTCTGTAAATTTACTTTTTCAGAGAATTAGAGTTAAGGTTTTGTTAACACTCCATCTGGAGGAAACACACACACACTAAATGCCCCAGTAACAGGGCGTTAATCTCGTACATAATCAAATGCTTTACTGCTCCAGGTTGGCTTACATACTGCAGATCTCTGGGAGAAACCCCAGCAACTCTACTAACTATAAAAAGAGAAAAATAAAGATGTTATGAGCTACCTAGTCCTGAAGAGGTAAAAGCAGAAAAATTGAGAGGTTTTTGTTTTGCAAGATTGTATAGCCAAAGTAGGAGTAGCATGAAGTGTTTCCTTATTGCAATGATTTTTTTTTTTAGTTTTGGTGTTGAGCTGACTGTTCTGTAAGAATGCATGGATTAAAAAAACAAAAACAAATACATTCACCTTATAATTGGTACTGCAACTATCTGTACGCAAAACCCATTTTCAGGCTTGTCCTCTCAGTCAATTTTCTTCCCATAACATTCTAGAGGAAAATTACTAAGCGTGCACACATAGAGATGCTGAAAAGTGTATGCAAACTTGCTTATTTTTTTCTTTCAAATTTACCAGAGCAGTCTCCACCTGAGAACAGACAGGGAACCACAACCAGTTTAAGCTAACCTTTGCATATTTCTGCTGATGACCATAATTTGATTTTCGGCTCCGTTTCAACAAGGAAAACAGTAAATTGATTCCTGTAATAGTTACAGGCAGGGAAGGCCAGTCGGATTTTCTATGAATGCTGCTTCATAGACAGACAAATTACATGTATGCATGATTATCACATATAAACATTTCCTTGAAGGTTCCTTTTTTCTAACTAAAAGGAAAAATAAGATGTATGTGCAAGAGTCTAGTCTGGATCAATACTGTAAGTGATAGAACCCAATATTGGATCTATGGTACCAACAAAATTGTTCTTTATACGAATTGTAAAATAAAAAAATAAAAAAATTCACAAGCGTGTGATTACTAGACGAGTATGGAAGTAACATAATTCAATTCATAAAGTAGAGCATGTGCTATCAAGATATCCATCTTTCCACAAGCATTAGTGTATCAATCCGCAGATTAGTTTGTGGAATGCAATCGCTTATGCTAAAGTACAGATATCTTTAAAATATTGTCAATGTTAAGAGTAGAGTGCTCCAGAATTGAGCACCCACAGACAAAGAGCAAATGAGTAGTGAGGTAAAAAAAAAGAGTCCTATGCACTGAGCAGGAGGTTTTCCCAGGAAGATGTTGATATACGCCAGTGACAGAGTCTTCAATGCTTCAAATAAAATGAACAATTTCCTGGAAAAACTAAACAAAATAAAGCACATTACTAGAAGAGCAAATGTTCAATATTGCATTGAAAAATATCAACTTAAATGCACAAATTAAAAGGAAGAAAGTGAATAAAAAAATAAAATAAACACAACAACAACTCAGACATAACATTAAAGGAAATTGAATAATAGGGATCAGTGGATATCTCTGAACCCCATCACCAGTTAGACACACCAGGGGTGTCTGAGGACTTAAACCCAAATACATTATACAGAATTAAAGGGACTACTTATTGTAGATTTGTAGATTTATGTGTGAGGAGTATGTCATTTTACAAAAAAGTGCAGATTTCATTAGAAATTTACCCTGTTACACCCCTGATTGTCAACCAACCAACCCGGTTACTTCCTGGTTGTTTAGCAGCAAATGCCCAGAGTACCTGTCTTGCAAAGACTTCCAATTGAGCTGCATTGGAAAGTCTGTGATTGGACAGCCACAGAAAGTCTGGGTGGAGTTAGTAGGGGAGGGCTTGCAAAGGCTGCAAGACAAGTGAACTACAGGTTTTGCAAACTGGTTTTAGGTGTAGCCCCAATGGAAAAATGCACAATGAAATGTCTGCATGTTTACATATTAATTATATAAATTATATATATTAAACATGCAGACATTCAATTATCATCGTTTTTTGTATTTTGGTAGTGAAGTGCCACTTTATAAATGACATCAGTGGTAAAGCGCACATAGGACTGTGCTGCCAAAAGATAGCAAGAATTCCTGACAGCTGTCAATATCTAGTCAATTCTCTCACAATTTTAAATCAATGTTTTGTGAAAGTAATGTTTAAACATCAGCCTGGGGAACCACATTTTTAAATAGCACACAATTTCCCACTTAAAGTTAAAGGGACACTATAGGCACCCAGCTCATTGAAGTGGCTTGAGTGCAGTGCCCCAGCCCCCTTAACCCAGCAAGAGTTATTATTGCAGGTTTTTGTTTTTTTTTTAAACTCCACCTCTAGTGGCTGTCTACCAGACAGCCACTAGTGCAACTTCTGGATCATTAGGCGACTTTAGGACACCTGACGCTGGACGACTTGCAGCGTCTCCAGAATCCCCATAGGAAAGCAGTGGAAATCCTAATGCGAGCGCGGCCATTGCCGCGCATGCGCGCATTAGTTCTCCCCCGCTGGCTGTCATCGGCACTGGAGGAGAGAAGGCAGACCCAAGCCAGCGCTAAGAAACATCTGCGCTGGACCCAGGTAAAGTTACAAAAGTGTTTTTTATAATTTCTGCACCATGGGAGCTATAGTGCCAGGAAAATGAGTTTGTTTTTCTGGCACTAATTTCCCTTTAACCTGTCATGACAGACATAGGTTTGCAGTTTTCTAACCGTCTGGCTTGACTCATGTTATACAATTAAGCGTTTCTTCCTTTAATACTGCTGAAAACTCATTTATTTCCATTACTACCTGTCTCATGCTGAGAGCATTATTCTTATTTTCAATAGTTGTTAAACTTGCTGTAAGACACACCTCTCCTGCATACCCCTGTTTGGGAAGAACAGACAAGCTTCCCATTACAGGTTAAATGTCCCCGACTTTATGTTGGGCTTTATGGAATGCAAATAAAAAATAAAATAAATAATCTGATCACCATCACTCTCCATTCTCAGTTGCCTGTTCAAAGCTCCTGCATAAGGCATTGTGGCAGTTTCATGTTGCTCTCACACAGAGCCTGCCCCTCCTTCAACTTACAGACATTGCTTTCCCTTGGCTGAACCCAAGCAGGAGATATGCCCAAAGGATGGTTTTCCTTAGAACACATATGCCGAGCACAACCTCTATCTCTGTGCTCTTAGGCAAAGACTAAACTAGCTGGGAGGCAGGCAGTTTTTTTATATTTAATTTTTTTTAACCTCTGACTTTAAATAAATCTAGACACATTTGCCAGCAATTCTACAAGGCATAGATGAAATGTTCTTATCTGTGGGTTGCTTACTATAATGAGAATTTAAAGTGAATTTTAAATTTAAGGTCAAGGTAGCTGAACTGGAAAAATTCTCTAAGCCAGCTCTGCATCCAGTTCGGCTCCTCTGGCCTTAAATTTGAAATTCGCTTAAAATTCTCACTTCAGCAAATAATCCGGTCTAACATTTAAGATTAAGTTCTGTCATGACAGGTAACCTTTAAGGATTTGAGCACTTTGTTGTGACTTTAATCAAGTGACCCAATGTACATGAGGAAATAAGTTTTGGTGTCAATGGTGCACTTGTTTTTTGCTTCAATTTATCTTTTTGCTGTTCTTGTATAAAAAAATGCCAACATAGATCTTATTTAGCTAGAGCGTTTAGAAGTACAGATGTTGTACCTGAATACCTGCCGCATCAGGGTGAGTTTACACCATCTCATACTGGTTGTTCGTTATGTATCGGGACAAGCAGCAGGATAAAAACATTCCAACAAGCTACAAGAAAAAACAAACATACATAAAAACCACGCTTAAAAAGATATTGTACCAACGGAAGTAACATCCCTCAATAGCAGAAAATTTTTCCATAAAAATATAAATGAAATGTATATGTCTGCAATACAAATGATAAAACTAATAGTTTTCCTTTAATACTGAAAATAAAAGATTGCATGCAATTTTTTGATACTATTCTGGAATGAATACATACGTTAATTAATTAACAGTCAGACAGCAGTTTCACTGAAGCAGGGGTATTTACTTAAATGTATGTAGTACAAGATAGTACACACTGTGCTATAATCTACTATAAGTAATATACAAAATCTTTATGTTTAAAGAATAATAATGATGAGTCAATGGTTAATAAAGAAGAAAAATAAATGAAAACACAGACCATTTGTAAAGCAATGTAACCCTTGAATAAATAATTTCACAAGCACTGACTGGAGTGAAAGTCATAATACAAACTCTACACTGCTTTTCAAAAAATAAACAACATGATTCAAACAATAAAATAATGTTATTTAAACAGGTTTAGTCATAGGTGCTCACCAACACTGTGTAGTACACATGCCCACTGCTACTCAGTATTGGGTCATCGAGAGGCACTTACCTGGAAACAAGCTATTCCAAATGATATCCCAGCTACAATGCCCATTCTGGACTCCATCACTGTAGTTACCAAAGCTATGCAGCCCTATTAAAGAGCAGAATTAATGGTAATGATTTCATCTTTACATTTTTAATTTAACAATTATTGATGCTTTTATATTAAATCCCTGCTCTGCTTTACATTCTATTCAGAACAGAGTGACTCCCGGTTCTCTTTCACTGAACAACAAAATATGGAGCTAATAGATATGTACTGCACGCAAGGGATACTCTAAACACCATGACCTTTACAGGGTAAATGTTATGCTGCCAAGAGTCCCCTGGTGCTGCCAAAACAATTATGAAAGTTTTAACAATTTGCTAGCTCTGTTGGACAGCAATGCTAAAATGCAAGTGCCTAGTTCTGCATTAGCAGACCAATGCACACCCTAACTTTCAACATTTTAAACTGGTTGAAAGTGTCAAACCTTTGTTTTAGCATTAATGGGCAGACCAAAAGGATCAGACACCCCACATTGCTAGTTTGTAAGTGGTTTGATAGTTGACTCTGGGACTTCCAGAGCGCCAAGTATGTGCAGTAAATCTCCAAGGACTGATCTTGAGTTAAGCAGCTCTTGTCCTCTATACATTTATATGCTTGTGTATTCGCCAGCATAATGTATAGATTACGTCAATACCAATAGTGACATAATCTATACCTGCAATGAACTTGTAATTATTTGTGGATGACAGGTTCACTTTTCAATACATGGCGAAGTTATTCCTGCCAGATAAACAAGCGGTTTGGTCAGTGAGTCCGTTTTCAAAAATTCTGCTTTACGTAAAATTGTAGAGATCTCAATTAAGTACAGTTCAATATCTTCCTGAGAAACTTAATATTTCTCACTTCTACAGTTACAGGACACTTGCATACCTGTATTTTAAACTTGTTTCTTTAGTGTCACCACTTAATTTCCCTCCCCCATGTGTATGTTATATAAAAAAAATAAAAAAATAAAAAAAATAAAAAAATAAACACCGGGTTTCCATCTCCTCATTTGGAGAACGTAAGCACATGGCAGGGAATGCTGTGATACCCCCAAACAAACTGTGATGGCACTGCGCATGCACTCGTGATGTCACAGTATGTTAGGTTTTACAAACCGGGCAGTAACAGTCCAGCTCTCGTATCCAGAGGGCTTAGAGGCGTGGCTTGAAGCTGTGCCTTCGATTGATTAAAATGAAAGGTTTCGGGGATTTGACTGAAAGAACTATAACAACATCAATAAGATGAGTTGTTAGAATGCCTACAGTGTCCCTTTAACGGTTACGTGGCTGAAAGAGTAACGTGATCTTACTACCTAATCAGCTACGTAGAGTGATAAATAGCACATAAGCTACAAATTACATTTTTCCCCCACAATTCTGAGTGCATTCTGAAACATTTTGTTCTATTAAAGAATAAGAATAGCAACAAACATACAATGTCCATACATTTTGATGTTGCTACCCTAGAACACATTTAGCTTTCAAATGCTAGTAAGTGCACATATATGGATGGCCCTAAGCTCACAGTTCTATGTGCAGACAATAAGCAAAGTCAGAATACTGTATCTGCTATTATTAATTCACAAGTTAATAACCATCCTACGCCAAACCTACCTGTGGAAATACTTTGTCTTTGGCTTTTACCATGTCCTTCATGTCGGCTTCTGTGCAGTTACCTGGAAGGCGGCAACAGCTCATGGGGATACCATGCGCCTTGTAGTATGGCGTTTCACCCCAGTTAATGTAAGACTTAACTCCACAACACTGCAACTGTAAAAATAGAAATATATATTTATTCTGTTAAAACTACCAAAATACCACGAGTCTCATTTAGAATTCAATCAAATTTGAAGTGTAAATCAGATTGCTGATATTTGTGTGGGGTCTCTCTCCCATGAGTACAGGTCCAAGCATTGATTAAGATATTTAGTGGAATCAATGGATGTCATAAATGACTTGTTACTGAACATACCATGTTGAGAGTAGTACAATCTGTCCTGTTCATAACCATAGATAGGCTGTCAAGTTTCAAAACTCACTTCCACAAAACTGGATACAACAGCCAAAAATATTTTTTATCCGCCCACCAGTAAACAGATCTCTAGCAGTCAATACTAAGACCTACACATGGTGTATGTATTAAATCCATGGTACTTTACAAGTTACAATGTTTTCACCAACACTGATCAGATGGGAATGCAAGCACGTTACAGATCGTAGCACAGCAAGATTAGCAATCACTGACCAGATAACCAATAATCTCATTCTGTAATCAGACTGTGCTCGGGGGAATTAAAAATCATTGTAACTACAAGTTCATTTCTAAACTCTCAAAAGGCATTCTACTATTTAACTGGCCCTTTAATATAAGCACAACACATTCCTTACATTTCATCTTATTTCAAAAAGAAAAAAAAAAAAAACTGTATTAAGAAAAGCTCACATTATATTTATCAATGAAGATTTCAATAATTATGAATTAGGTTCCATGGACCGTAAAGTGAATTAAAACATGTCAGCCATGTGTATATATATATAATAAAAAAATAAAAAAAAAATAAAAAAAAAAAAGCCTCAGGGTTACTCACTAAAGTGGGAATTCAGAGTGAATTTCACATGTAAGGTCAAAATAGCTGAACTAGATAAAAAAAAAATTTAAATCTCCAAGTCAGCAATGGTTTTAGTTCAGCTACTCTGGGCTTTAAATTGACATTCTCTCTGAATTCTCACCTTAGTAAATATCCCTGTATGTGTCTCATGTGCACACCTTCAAGTGGCCGGGTGTTCCAGCTCTGCATGGAATGGTATAGATCTAAAAGATAGTATCACTACAAACCAATAAAGAACATTCTTGGCATTATTTGATTGTAGTTCAGGGCATTTTAAAGTTACCCGTTATGCCAGTATGAATGCTACTCACAGTCCTCTGAATGGTATCCACAGCCTGGCTTCTGGCATCACCGGTGGAGTTGTACTGTTGGAGAGCTTGCTGGTAGCCATGTTCAAAGCTGTTCTTTATCTACAAAGAGTTAAACATTTTAAACCCTAGGAAAGTGAACAACTAACTACTCCAACATTCAGACAGCTACACTATTTTTTTTGCCGGAGGAGGAAATTATGCTGAATTTTGATTTATTTCAATTCATACACCAGCTAAGTGCTCTTTTTTTTTTTTCATTGCTGCAGGTCTCAACCTTCATATTCAATAACCACAAGCCTGAGGAATTATCTGCATACTCATAGACAAACCATGCTGGTCAGTTGTGTGAAATCTAACACTCACCTCGTGTCTGAAGACCAGTCCTACAATGGCTGCAATCAACTCAACCAGGAATATAAGAGAGAGGAACATGGCATACTAGAGAAAGGGGAAAAGCATAAACATTAATACCACCAAGAATTTATTTTCTCCATGGACGCAGGCCTAAAATGTGCTCTGTGTGTGCGCTTAAAGAGAACTGCCTAAATCTTTCAGTGCAAGGAGTATGTACCCTTCATTCATATGAAACCAGGGATTGAGCACTGTGTCATTTTTTGCGCAATGGAAATTTCTAGTCCAGAATTACTTATTAAAGGAACAACCCACTTCCCAAATACAAAAGTAAAAATCACTGTTTAGTGGATATAACCCAAATGAAAACGTGCATGCGTTTAAGTATGCATTTTTTTTTCATTGGGAGCATACATAAAAACAGCTTGCAAAACCTGCATATTTGGTGTCTGCTAACTTTGCAAGCCCTCCTCTTCTAACCTCGCCCAGACTTTATGCGACTGTTCAACCACAAACTTCCCAGTGCAGCTCAATAAGCAGTCTATGCCAGGCAAGTGCTCTTGGATATTGTTGCCTCTTCAGTTCAGTGCAAAAAGGCTAGCCAAACCAGGAGGTAACAAGACCTGTTGTCTGCTTGAAAAGCCACAAGTATCAATTTCTATTGAAATCTGCACCATTTCCCAAAAAAAAAATAAAAAATTATATAACACTCGTCACACAAGTTTTTCAGTAATCTAAAGTGCTTTAGGGATCTGGAGTGTCGTTCTAAGCTCCTATTTACAATTTTCGTTTGAGGGAGTATTATTTACCAGGCTTGATGTGTTTTTACAACATATCAAAAAAACGCTTAGATCGGATTGGTAAAACGAAAGTTATCTTCGTGCCTGGTAGAGGTGGTATTGTCAATTTCAAAAGGGGTCATATTGATTGTATGCAATGTCAGAGCGTAAATTCCTCTTTGAAGCTGGGACCCCCAGCGGAGCTACAATTTAAGGCGTGATAAGTCACACACAAGTGGCCTGGAAGTTTGGTTTCAGCACAAACTGCACAACAGATTTTACATAATACAATTAACACAATAGCTTTCATCCAGCTCAACATTTTACATAGTAACTCAACAATAACACAATGAAAACCCATATTCTATAGATCATTTTGAAGTCTGTGACCAGGCCCATAGTCTGTGGGCAGGAGGCTAGCTGTTATGCCTCTCGAGCAGGCTGTGGCACAGGAGCTTCCTTGACACAAAGCAATGGCTTTTAGATTTACATGGCCTTTTACAGTAAAGCCCAGAAACGAATATGGATCTAGAGAAAATAATGTGTAAAAGAAAACAAGATAATCAAGAAAAGAAGCTATTTAAAAAAAAGTTCTCACCAGTTTCAGCATCCAAGTACTCCCCCGGCATGTGGCAAAGCACCCAAAAGTGCCCAGGAGAATGATGACAGCCCCAGTTCCAATGAGCACATAAGGGACGTTGGTGGCATTCTCATTAAGTAGAGAAAAATAAATATCCAGGCTGACTTTCCCCCAAACGCCAACAGTCAGAAGGATGACACCTGTGATCTAAAGTTTCATAAGAGTTACACAGAGATAAATATGTTTTATGCATTAATGTCAACGAAATGCCAAATATAACCATTATAAGAGATATGCAAACAGGCCTCAGACAGGTGATTTAAATTCCCTTCAGCATATTCAACATGATCAGCATAATAATTGATGAAGGCACTGGAAATATAGCCATTAATTTACTCTTCTCTAGTAATGTGGCTTTTATGCAGGAAAAAGAATGTGTGTGATATTTTTAGTTTTAATTTTGAAAGGATTGTGTGGCATTACTAAAAGGGGTTCACCAACCAGGGATTGGCAGCCTTGAGCACTCCGGATTTTGTGTACTACATCTTCCCTAATGCTTTGCCATTGTGGCTGTAAGAGCATTATGGGAGATGTAGTCAACAACATCTGGAGTGCCAAAGTTGCCCCTTCTACAGTAAGCAAAACAACCATCACAGCTCAGTGTACTGGTTACACAGCTAAAAATTGATCTACCCCATCCATTGAATTTCTGTAAAACAATATTGACAAGATATGGTAGGAGGACACGACAACAAGGCTCCCTTCTGCGGCTGTAAACAGTCCTCTTTTGGGTCACACGGTCACCGTTTTCCATGCACCAAAATCTGAGCAGCTCAACCGCTAATATGTAAAAGTTTTACTTTTGTACTAGCCATGAAAATCTGTCCACCCTTGGAGAGCAATGACAAGATGTAAATGCGGAGAGGCAGGTTAGCTCAATGCTTGCAGCTTATCAGTGTCCTTCAAGGCAGGATGGATTTGAACAGATAATATAGATGTGACACTTCTGAATTACCACATCAGTTGTTGAGGGATCAGGTTTTGTGTTCATAGAAAACCCTGGTCTTTGCCAAACCATTGCAAAATATTTGACAAACAACGAAGAGACAAAACTGAAATTCTCCTTGCATAATAACCACTATAGAAACAATGTAAAGATTACACATTTATAGAACCCTTAAATTATAAGAATATTTATAGAGAAGACATACTAGAAAATATTTATGTTTACAATAACTAAATAAGTGATCAATAAACAAAAAGGCACCAAGATCTAAACAGTCCATGCAAATATCACTTACTGCCAACTCCTCGATAGGATGGCCACGTCATATACACTTTGTTTTTTGGATTTTACCCCATGTGACAAACCAAACATTTCATAACCACCTGGGAACTGGCATCAATCCTTTGTACTTTCACACATGTGGACAACCACTATGCCATTTATGAATGCTATTTTCTACATGGAATTTTAATTACAGATAAAAACATTGAGAAAAAAAACCCTGGAATAATCTACTATCCACACTTATGTCTGGTTTTATGATAGAAAATAGTAAAGGTGATTTCACCATAACAACTTCAGCTTATTAACATTGTTATGGGGAAAGAAAGTGTGGGTGCAATTTTACCTTCAGTGCTTTAACCATAATGCAATGGATTAATCCTGAAGATGGTCTGATTATGAAGCTTGGTATTTCTATCAGTTGTTGTCCAGTAATAGGCTGGAACCATCAGGTGAGACAGCCTGTCACTAGCCACATGGCCAATCCCTAATATTGTGGTGCAGAGAGGAAGAAAGCCCAGAGTGTGTGTGAGGGGGGGAGGGGGTAGTTGTGTGGGGCACTGGAGGATCAACTTTTGGGGCCAACCGTGATACAATATTTAAACTCTGAAAGTAAAATTGTGCCTGGACAATCCTGTCCCATAACACAACTTGAAGGAGCTGTAGTTGTTATCGGGGTGGGAGTGTTCCTTTAAATACCAGCTTCAGCCAACTCTATGAAACAATGACATATTTTTGTCATTCGTGAAAAAATATGTAAAAAAAAAAAAAAAAAAAGTGGTCTGGACTAAACAGGATTTGCAGGTTCTGCAACTAACACAGTATAAAAAAAAAAAAATCCCCCCCCCCTCCTGCAGGGAGGAGAATATGATCTATGCTGGTCCAGTAGGAGTCAAAACTGCCTGGTGCTCAAGAGGCAGCTTAACTCCCTGGCGGTCCATTTTAAAAGTGTGTGGTCTGCACCACCAGCAGGTCCTGACCACAGTAATCATTCTCTAATAGTCCAGCAATCAGGGAATGAGACTGCAAGCTGGGATCCTGGCAGCTGCACCCTGACTCACTAGTGAGTGATTAGTCTGTACCCACCATAGGAGCAGACAAAGCACCCCCTCCACTGATCGCCAACATCCAGTGTAGCAGCCCCACCACTTGCCTGCAGCTAGACCTACTAAACAGTGCAGTAAAGGAAACGTTGAACATTAAAAGATGTCCATTTTTTTTTTTTTTTTTTTTTTAAACATAGGATCACATTTACCCCATAATTATCCATTAATTTATATGGCTATTTTTTCTTCAATTTTCAAAGCCAACATAAAAAGGCTTTCATATAATTGACATATGGTTAAGATAATAGATATTTTTGCTTTAAATAGCATACACTCAGTTAGGCATGCAATACTTACTTATCTCGGCATTTTCCAGCCAAGGTATGGCAGAAAGAGAAAGAAAGGAAAGGTTATCTCTTTTATTTAACAAACTGGGGCATTTGTAGCAAGCGCAAATCCATATCACATTGTTTTTCATTATCATTATTTAAGGCACCAGAAAAATTTGAAGGGCAATATAGGTGGAGGAGGGGGAGTCAAGAATTTACCTGGAGAGTATAAAAGTATTGTCCAGTTAGCTGTAAAAAAAATAAATCTCCAAATCATGGGTTACCAGGTCAGCTATTTTTGAGATTTAATTTCAAATTCCATGTGAATTCCCATTGGTTAAGTGTAAATTATTGTTACGAGTTCTTGGTGAGTTAACTGAAATTAATATTAGCATTTTTACAGCCACACTTTCCACAGTGCTTTACAAAAAGAAAATGCTGTAACTCAACAATATGTAATTGACATACAAATAGAATGTGTACAGACACAAAATCTGAAGACGGCCCTGCTAAAACCAGGTTACAATTTAGAAATACATTGCTTTGAATAGATTTAATATCAAACCTGGCAAGTTAGCTCTGTTACAGATCCAAAGAGTTTGTTTTTACATTTACAAAGACATACAAGAGAACTGAAGGGTTTTGATGGGACCTTTAAAAATCTCGAAGCAAACTAGCTGCAACGGCAAATCCAGCTTTACTGAATAGAAGACAAAACTAGTGATTTCATTGAAGAATTAAATAAAAAGATGAAAAGCATATGACCAAATGTTCGCTGTGGGCTTTGTTCAATTGCTATGAAACGACTACACAAAACAGAAAAGAAAATTCCCATTAACAGGGGACATGAGGGTTTTGCACTGCCACAATGTAAACATAAAGAATATTTATTGTGAAATTGGCTTTGTTGTGATTAGCAAGTTTAACGTTTACACAATTGTCATGAATCCCTGCTCTAGAATGCAGGGCTTCATATATATCTTTCTTTTGGGGCCAATTATAGGTACACGTAAGGACTTGACTTGTCCCAAGACAAGACATTTTTTTTCCTTTTGTCGCTTACAAAAGCACAACTCAGTCTTTTTAATAAAAAAAAATTTTTTTTTTTAAAGTGTTATGTACAAATACAATACAACAAAGAATCGTGACAATAATGTCAAAAGTATGCCTTCCAAGAGTAAACGCAGGAAGGAGGAAACTAAATAAAAAAAAAAAACAACTAGGTGGAGATTTTGAAATTTTAGAAAAATACACAAAACAAAGCTGCATTTTACCACCTAAAGTTGTGTTTACATAAAGATATACAAAATGTTGAACATACATTTCTTTCACTCTCATATTGAAAAGTCTATTTTGGAAAATTCTGAAGCATATTTGACATGCAATACTTTTAAAAATAAAATCGCAAAAGGGGGCAAAATTATGATAATTACTTCACAAAGTTTTAGTAACAACCTCCAGGACAAAAATATTTTCATCCCCATCCCTGCTAAAAAGAAACAAAAACAAATAAATCTCTCTTTCAAAGCTTCAGTGTATCAATTTAGGATTATACAACGTAATCATAAGATATGTCCAATAAAGAAAGAACATTGGTCACTTAATGAATATAGAACACTTTCCTTGCTTTGGGAAATTGGAAATAGAAATACTGTCACTAAACCTATTCTTTGTGCTACAATACAAAATGTACCCAGAATGAAGGCAAAAATCCATATAAAGTCATTTTCGACAACCACAGTTACCAGACTCACTATTAAACTAGCATGTACAAGATACCACGACTTAAAAAAAAGAAACAATACCCAATTTCAATTAGGCAGAGACGTTCAGGCATCTTACACCTTGGTGTGCATTTTAACATTTGTTTCATAATTTAAATTGGTGAGGCTCAACATTTTCTAATATGTGACCTCTATTTATTAATAACCACACTAAAAGCAGCTCAGTAGCCAGATCAAGGGTTACTTTATAAAGTTTGCCCTGGACTGCACCCATTACTTTATTTCTAATTAATCCGTAATTAGGAAATACTTAGCAAACAAGTCACTAGGACTAAAGGTTACAAGTCTCTGAAAAATGTGCTCATTTCAAATCCTTATATAAAACGAATATATACTTCTAACATGCAAACCAATATTATTAAGAATTTGATCACTGCCCCAGTATTGGCAATTCCACCAGGGGAATTCTGCCACTTAGTTTACAAAATGTTATTATCCTTCTTCTTCTCAAACAATACCCTATTAGACTCTGCCCTGTACATACTCATTTTGGGACCCAATGCTAACTTAACCCTGCACAAAATAGGTTTGCCATATGGAAGTTTTTATAAATGACAGTTTAAAAAAAATAATAATAAACCATACATTAGTAATATGCAGCGTCCAAAAACAACAACAAAAAAAAAACACCTTACGAAAAAACCTTCTGGTGTACAGATTTTAAAGTATCAACACTCAAAAGTTGCATTAAAAAAATAATAGAATGTCCTTTTCCTTATTTTATTTTTCTTTCAATAATGTTAACCGTTACTGAAACGTAATTCTCTGTTAACAAAAAACATTTCATACTTATCTGATTACTAAACTAGTATCACATTCATCCCTAGGTAAAATACCATTTTAAATTAGATTAAGGTTTTAGTTTATGTTTTTTTGTTTTTAGACTTAGGGTAAGGAACCTAATTTTGTTTTGTTTCTTTACTAAGGAATAGAAGTTGGTTTTATTTGGAAATTAAGAGATAAAGGTTTCTTACAAGAGGAAATGGTTAATATACTAATGAACTCATCTACATCTCATATTTCCCTTCTAAATATTAACCTAGTACCCCATAAACACCAACATATAACAACATTATGGTAGATTAGTAAGGCACATAGTAGTTATATTTTTTTACATTGATGAATAGTGTTGTATAACTTATTGCTTTCTAACAGGAGAGACAAAATATGCTCACCAGATTAACCCATCTAAACCCCATAATGGTCTAAAGGAGGTCCCCATGCTGGGCAGCAGGAGGTCCCCATGCTGGGCAGCAGGAGGTCCCCATGCTGGGCAGCAGGAGGTCCCCATGCAGGGCAGCAGGAGGTCCCCATGCAGGGCAGAAGGAGGTCCCCATACATATTCCTGTCCCAATAGAGGTCAATGTGCCCCATGGTAATACCCAGGGCAGTTGTGCCCTATCCTTACCCAGAAGATGAAGGTATAGATGAGCAGGACGCTCTTCAGACATGTTATAACGGGCTTAGTCTGGAGCCGACGTGAAGGAGAAGCCATGATCCCAGCTCTGCCAGCCGAACTACTCTCCTCTCCTCCCAACCGGAAATGGAGTGAGAGCCCACTGGAAGCAGCCAATCACACAGCGTAGCCCCCCCTGCATTCCGCTGGAGAATCCAGCAGCGAATCCAGAGCAGACCTTCAACCAGCCCCACGGAGATTCACGAATACTCCCGAAATCCACCGACTGTATCCGGAGATTCACGATCAGGGGGTTTTACTATTTCTAAGACTGCCCTGCAGGCTGGGGCGGGCGTGTTTCACTCCGGAAATTACCGAAATAAGGTGAAAGACGACTCTAAACAAAATAACCGAAGTCATAACAAAAATAAAAAAACACAAAAAAGCCCACAACAAACATCACAGATATTTTGAAAAACTACATTTAAAGAGTCATTGTTACTTAAAATAAAGTGTGAGGCCTCTTTTTGCAAACCTAAAACTAATTATTCATTGTAAGGTATGGGCTTCATACCTCCCAAGTGTCCCTATTTAGGACTCAAGTCCCTCTGTGTCTCCTTTATCACTTAAAATGTTACTCCAAGCAAAATAACCATGATTCACCACAGTAATTGGACAAACCGTTTAGAAATGGCTTGTCCCCTTACGTGGGTACCCACCAATTATCATTATTTTATTTATTATTATTTAGTATTTATATAGCGCCATCAGATTCCGTAGTGCTGTACAATGGGTTATATAGCGCCAGCAAATTCTGTAGCACTGTCCAATGACTGTCATTCTGTACAACTCTGATTCCAGGCTAGCTGATGGGCCCTATGACGACACCGGAAACAGTGATATATCTCCGGTAGCAGAGGGGTTACTCTCTGTACATCTAGCGTTTCGTAGCAAAAAGCTATAGCCACCATGACCAAAAAAAATCACTGCAGTGATCATGGTGCTTGGAGTAACCATTTATTGTCTCTCATTTTCCATATTGTTGGTGTATCTGAGTGTATAACAGTGCTTCACAGCAATAATGCTCAGAGTAGTTACATGGGCTGAAAAGAGACTTGCGTCCATCAAGTTCAGCCTTCCTCACATTTGTTTTTTTGCTGTTGATCCAAAAGAAGGCAAAAAACCCAGTTTGAAGCACTTCCAATTTTGCAACAAGATAGGAAAAAAAATCCTTCTTGACCCCAGATGGCAGTCAGATTTATCCTTGGATCAAGCAGTTATTACCCTACATTGAAAGATTATATCCTTGAATATTCTGTTTTTGCAAGTATGCATCTAGTAGCTGTTTGAACATCTGTATGGACTCTGATAAAACCACTTCTTCAGGCAGAGAATTCCACATCCTGATTGTTCTTAGTGTGTCTTTAAACAACATAAAATGTTTAGAAATCAGTCTATGTAAATAAGATTAACGGTTCTTGTTCCAAACCACAATTTATTTGCATAAAAAGTTAAAATATATCAACTAAAATTTCTCAAAACTGCCTGAGCACCATGAGTCTTGGCCAGTGTCATCTGTAGTCCAGTTAGCCTCTTACGTTTTACAATAGACCTGCAGGAACAGTTATAAAAACTCTAACCATAACCACTAATTCTGAACAGTTATAATACAACGTTAACCCCTGTTAAGTTTTTTAACCCCTAACAATAAACAACCTAAACTCTGATGTTACTAAACCGCCATTATCCTAAACACTTTATTACAGGCTGCATTAATCCCAGAGTCACAAATTCAAAAACAAGCATGGGCTGCCCTAGGATTCTGGGCCTACAGGCTCATGCCAGGTAAATCCAGCTCTGTACAGGTGTTTTCCTGATCGCTGTGCATAGAAAGGAGCATTGTATATTATGATTCTTGTTTTAAAGCCCATACATGGGTAAATGTGAGGTATTTCAATTTATAAAGTTTCTTTACTCCAATTAATGCCAGATAATCTGCTACAACCAGGCCAGAAATATGCAAATCTTGAATGTTTATTTATATTTTATCCAATTTTACTGTTGGAAATAGTTTTCCATTCTTCCTGTTTTGGTCATCGTTTTGTTTGTCAACTCACCATTACCCTCCATCTGTGTTTCTGCTGCAAGCATGGCTACTGCAAGCCTCAGGTTGTTGTTGGACACGCAGGTTTATTCACTAATGTCAGAAGTGCCAGGAATTCAAGGCGATTTTCCAAATTAAAGCCATTTTGCACTCCTGGCAGTTCTCACTTTAATGAATACTTCAAGTTCATCCTCTCTTGTCTCAAATAACTTCAATATAGTCTTTTAAAATGCAAAGTGGATTTCAAATTTTAGGACAGAACTGACAAACTGGAATTAGAGATTGTTTTCCCCCCAATTCTCTCCATTTAGTGAATAACCCTATAAGTGAGTTTCACCTTCTCTCTTTATCCTCCGGATTTAGTCTTATGGGGGAGGCAACCTCCGGCACTCCAGATGTTGTGGACTACATCTCCCATAATGCTCATACCTGTCATAATGCTGGCAAAGCATCAGGAGAAATGTAGTCCATAACATTTGGAGTGCCGAAAGTTGCTTAAGCAGGAAGCGTCTCTAGTGGCTGTTATTACATTGCAGGGTTAAACCTAAATTGAGGTGAAGTGGGCTGGGTGACGGTAGTGTTCCTCTAAGGGCAGATTAGCTGAACTGAAAACATAGATGACTTAGGAAATTTCCTCCAGTTTGGCTATTTTGAACTTAAAGTTTAAATTCACTTTAAATGCAATATCACACAGTGAGATTCACCAATAAGTGGAACATGGAATCCAACATCAGAAAAAAAAAAAAAAAAAAGGAAAAATAAGGTGCATAGTTATTATAATTTATTTATTTGTTGTAGAACAGTTGTCCAGATAGCCGAGCCGTCTAAGGCGCCCGACGATATAGGAGTTGGCAAGCTGTTCAATATAATTAAAATAATACTATAATGTTAGAAATACAAACAAGTATTCTTCTACTGGCTGAGTTCATCAATCCTGAAGATCTCAGCCAATCCAATGCTTCTCCATAGGGAAGCATTGGAAGGCTAGTGTGCATGCACAGCAAATTGCCACCTTGAGCCAATCAGCATCTCCTCATTAATTCTATGCATCTCTATGGGGAACTCCAGTGTCTTCATGCAGATAATCCCTTAGAATGAGACTAAGGTCACCAAAATCACTTTATCTCAATGAAGTGGTCTGGATGCAGTGCCCAGCAATGTAAACCACAGGCTGTATGTAGAAATGACTACCAGAGATGCTTTCTCTGTAATAACGGAGTTCGATTTGTTTATTAAGCCAATGCTTGTCATGAGGGGGGTGGGGGGACACAACTAAATAATAAAGATAATACTATGGTGCTAGGAATGCATATTAATGCTCCATTAATTAGAGCTCTGTGCATGTCCCTTGCTTCTCTGCTACGAACAATTATTTTTTATACTTGGGCTATCCCAATTGGTTTTCTTCATTAAACATATTTAGCTAATATTGGTTTTGTCTTACAAAATAGCTGAAATTAGTAATTCAAGTCAGAAAATTTTAAATAATATTAATAAAATCGACCATGAAGGGACTCGAACCCTCAATCTTCTGATTCGAAGTCAGACGCCTTATCCATTAGGCCACACGGTCACTTCTATGTATATAAATTTCTTTATCAAATTGCATTAGACCAGTGTTTCTCTTTGGAGAACATTCAACATTTTCATGCAGAGTGTGGAAAATACTGAATGTCACTCCTGGAAAGATTGCAGTGCTACATCTGGAAGTGCCGCTAGTTGCTTTCGGAGTAACATCCACTGGAGGTGTCCTTATAGGATCACTATAGGCACCCAGACCACTTCAGCTAGTTTTTACCGTTTTTTCTACAAATATATCAGTTTCAGAGAAACTGCTATGTTTATAATAGGATTAATCCAACCTCTAGTGGCTGTCTCATTGACAGCCGCTAGAGGCGCTTCCGCGCTTCTCACTTTGATTTTCACAGTGAGAAGACACCAGCGTCCATAGGAAAGCATTGAAAATGCTTTCCTATGAGACTGGCTGAATGCGTGTAAGGCTCGTGCCGTGCATGCGCATTCAGCCGATGACGGGAAAGGAGGCGGAGAGGAGGAGGAGAGTCCCCCGCCTTGAGCTGGAGAAAGATGTAAGTTTAACCCCTTCCAGCCCCTAGGGAGGGGGACCCTGAGGGTGGGGGCACCCTCAGGGCACTATAGTGCCAGGAAAACGAGTATGTTTTCCTGGCACTATAGTGGTCCTTTAATATGCAATGTAAACACTGCCTTTTTTCACAAAGGGCAGTGTTTGCAGTTATGAGGATGTATGCCCCAGAACTACATTACGCTGTAGTGGTTGTGTTGCTTTTATTGTCCCTTTAAATTTGGAATTCACTAAGAGTTCCTGACAATTCTCTCTTTGATGAATAAACCTGAGGGTGTTACAGCTCGACTAGGATAACAATAATTGGACATTAAAGGACCACTCTAGGCACCCAGACCACTTCAGCTTAATGAAGTGGTCTGGGTGCCAGGTCCTTCTAGGGTTAACCCATTTTTTTATAAACATAGCAGTTTCAGAGAAACTGCTATGTTTATGAATGGGTTAAGCCTTCCCCCTAATCCTCTAGTGGCTGTCTCATTGACAGCCACTAGAGGCGCTTGCGTGCTCCTCACTGTGATTTTCACAGTGAGAGCACGCAAGCGTCCATAGGAAAGCATTGTAAATGCTTTCCTATGCGACGGGCTGAATGCGCGCGCAGCTCTTGCCGCGCGTGCGCATTCAGCCCAGGAGGAGGAACGGAGGAGGAGAGGAGGCAGAGAGCTCCCCGCCCAGCGCTGGAAAAAGGTAAGTTTTTAACCCTTTCCCCCTTCCAGAGCCGGGCGGGAGGGGGAACCCTCAGGGCACTATAGTGCCAGGAAAACGAGTATGTTTTCCTGGCACTATAGTGGTCCTTTAAATCCAATGAAAGAAAAAGGATACACTAAAATCAAAAGGTTCTGGTATAGTCATTACCATTCTTCCTACTTTCTTTTTGCTGTATGTACAGTTGTCAGGATGGCCGAGCGGTCTAAGGCGCCAGACTCAAGAGTATAATCTCTTCCCTTCACTTGGGATTTCTGGTCTCCGAATGGAGGCGTGGGTTCAAATCCCACTTCTGACAAAATTTTGCAAACGGAACTCTGCAAGGTGTTTCACTTTCTTATTTGAAGGAACACTCTATTCCCACCTAAAGCACATCAACTGTATGTTTTTTAAAAGTATTAAAATTTGTAACAATTGTACCATCACAGGTATATCTTTATTAGATCACACAAATTAAATAAATAGTAGACTGGATATCCCTAAACACATAGTGAAGAATTGATGATTATGCTAACGCAGTGTACTAATAATCTTACTTTTAATAATGACAGCAGGCGAGTATTTATTTTGCATTAACTTTCTTTACTAACTCTATAGCAGCAAAGAAAAAACTGTTAAAAGAAAGAACCAATCAGAGTGAGTCAGAGTGTATATAAGTCCAAGCATAACCAATCATTTGCTCTTGACTAATGCGACATCACAAGTTCATAGTATAACAAACGTGTCAAATCCCACTTCTGACAATATTTTGCAAAAGGTACGCTGCATGTTGGTGAATTTTATTCATTGAATGAATACTTCATTCCCACCTAAAGCGCATTAACTGCATTGTTTTCAAAATGATAAAAAAATTTTTACAATTGTACACCACTGCCACATAAAAACGTATATCTTTATTGACCAATTTAGAGGTAGAATATTTAGGACTGGAGAAAAAAGGGCATGAACCCAAATAAATCGAATACAGAAAATATAAAGAACCTGAAAAATCCACGTTTTAATCTAAAATTTAACTTTTGATATTAATCCAATAAAAAGCGTCTATAAAATACAAAGTTTGAATCTAAAGTCAATATTTTATCATAAAGGAGCACTGTAGGGCCAGGGACACAAACATGCATTCCTGACCCTATAGCAGGGGTTCTCAACGTTAGTCTTCAGGACCCCCTACCAGTCCAGGGCTTAGGGATTACCTGGGTGTGTCTAAGGTGTTTAGAAACACCTTAGAGATGAATTGAATCAGTGCATCTCTATGAGGAAAGTTCTTAGCAGTTACAACACGATTCTGCATGCTGCTTTGGCTGCCTGGAGGCAGGCTGGTTTACAGGTCTCTTTCTTCCCCCAGCCCCTTTGGGCATCTGTTTCTGCCCCTACCCATTTGTATGTCTCTTTTGTCCCCTTCTGCTCCGCATGTCTCATTTTACCCTTGCTCTGTGTGTATCTTCCCTCCAGCCTTTCTGTGTATCTCATTCTCCCCCCAGCCCTTCTGTGTCTCGTTGTGCCCCTTCATCTCCTGTACCATTTTTCTGTCCCCCTCCTCTCCTGTGCCCTTTTTCTGTCCCCCTTGCTTCTCATGGAGAGGAATTGATTGGCATCACCCAAAGGGGTGGGGCAGCTGTGTCACGTCGCCGGATATAAGGTAAAAAAAATCTTACATTTTAAACCTTTTTAAATTCTAGAATGGGGGGCAACTAAATAGCAGCGTTTCCAAATTGGGGTTCCACGAGAACAAAATTGGGGTTCCGCGGCGATTTGCTTGTCGGGTGGCCCAATCATTTAAGGCCACCCGATGGGTATCGCTAAACAGGGGTCCGGTCAGGCACGCGGTCGTCTAAGCACTTCCTCCCAGACAGAGCACACCTGTTAGAGCACCGGCTGGAGGGAAAAAAAGAAGCAGCAGATATGGAGCACCTGGCACACCAGCCTCAGCCTGCAGCACTGAAGGAAGGAAAAAGGTGAGTTAACAGCAAATATAAACATGTGTATGTGCCTCTGTGTGTACCAGTTTCAGTGTGTGTATCTGTGTGCCAGTGTGTGTAACTGTGTGTCAAATACATACACAGACACACACAGATATACACACACCTTGACACACAGATACATATTTGTGTGCCACTCTGTGCCAGTGTGTGTGTGTATATATGTGTGTCAGGGTGTGGGGGGGAAGGGGGAAGGGTTCCATGATGTTGATTCACTATATCAAAGGGTTCCATGAGAAAAATGAATTGGGAACCCCTGGTGTAGAGAATGCTATGGTGTTAGGAATATATGTTTGTTATCCTAACGCTACAATTTTCCATTAATGAGAGCTCTGTGCATTTCCCTTACTTCTCTGCTTTGAACACATTTTTTATACTTAGGCTTTCCCAAGTAATTTCCTTTTATTAACCCCTTAAGGACACATGACGTGTGACATGTCACGATTCCCTTTTATTCCAGAAGTTTGTTCCTTAAGGGGTTAAACAACATGCATTTAGTCACTGCTTACTTAGCTAATATTGGTATTGGCTTACCAAATAGCTGATATGATTTCAAGTCAGAAAATTAAAACTTAAATTTAAAAAACCGACCATGAAGGGACTCGAACCCTCAATCTTCTGATTCGAAGTCAGACGCCTTATCCATTAGGCCACACGGTCACTTGAGTTCATGTCCCCTTATTAATTGGTGTGCCAAGTGGTATTTCCGTATAGGGTTGCATATAATAGATCATGGGTCCTCAAACTCAGGCCCCCCAGATGTTGCTGAACTACAACTCCCATGATTCTCTGGCTATCTATGTAATTCAAAGAATCATGGGATTTGTAGTTCAGCAACATCTGGGTGGCCGGAGTTTGAGGACCCATGGATTAGATTAATGCTTCTCTATTGAGAACATTCAACATTTTCATGCAGTGTCCCCCTATTAAAAAAGGCAGTTTTTGCATTTATGAGGCTGCATTAAAAGTATCTTTACCAGCAAACTACATTAAACTGTAGTGCTTTTATTGTCCCTTTAAATTTGGAATTCACTTTGGATTCCTGACAATTCTATTTAGTGAATAAACCTGAAAATGTAACACCTTGACTAGGATAACAACAAGTGGGCGTGAAATCCAATAAAGGAAAAAGAGTCCGGGGGGGAGCCTAACTGCCAAAGCAAGCGGTCGCATTCCTGAGCTCCTGAAACGAGGGCCCGAACTGTCAAAATACTGCCTCTCCTACCGATACTTTTGGGCGACAGCGGATCCCCATACGAAATCGATGGGGTATTCCGGGTACCCAAATCACTGAAAGCACCATCCACAGCCTCGAGAGACCTGGTGGTCCTGTTCCGCAGCGGGAAAGACAAAATGACACTACTGGCAGTCTGCAGAGAAAGGCTACTTCGAAGAAATGGCACTTAATTTCTATGCCGACCTCTCAGGCAGCACTCTGGCCTGGTGCAGAGAATTTAGACCACTCACGTCGGTCCTACAGCAAAATAAGATTCACTACTGGTGACACCTCTCTCATACCCTGACCATCCTCCATGGAGACGGGACCCACACAGTCCAAGACATCAAAGAAGCGGCAGCGATCCTACACAGCATGGGCCTTTCTGGAGAACCCCTGGGCAGAGACAAGCTACCCAAGGCAACTGAAACCCTGCACCACTGGAACCTGCTGACAGCTGTGGAGTTTGTGCCCGGACCGCCTGCTTCAGAACCCTATGCCCGAGCCACCACCTGAAAGCAGTTGGAACCTTCTTAAATACCCAACCACCTAGGCAACCAACAGGTTCTCTACCCATTTGTTCCCCCAAACCCCACCATGCCTATGGGTGACTTAGGCATGGGGAGTAATCTCCTGGGTTGATGACTACAGCAAGGGCTAGATAGGACAGAGGGACACACTTCCCACAAGCGACCAAGACCCTTCATTATGCTTGCCCATTTAGATTTTTTATTTGTACCTCGTGAAAATCATAACCTAACTTCTAGTATCACTGTTTACCTCCTACTGACAGAGCCACGACTATGCCTATACACAGGGGTGGACTGAGAGCCTTTGGGGCCCCTGGGCAAAATTAGATCCCAGGCCCTTTGAAGGCCAAATATAGGTGCATTAAATAAATGTTAAATATAATTCATAATACGGCATTCCTTTGGATGTGTATATTGTGAAGACCTGTGTATCAATGCATGTTTCTATTTGAGTCTGTGTGAATGCACTTGTGCATGTCTGGATGACTACATGTGCTTTTTTGTATTTAGTGTCTGTGTGAATTCATATGTGACAGGTGGAAGAGTGAGGGGGTACCTGGTGGCAGAGTGAGGGAGGGGTTGAGTGGTGGCAGAGTGAGTGGGGGTGACTGGTGACAGAGTGAGGGAGTGGGTGACTAGTGACAGAGGGAGGGAGAGGGGGTGACTAGTGACAGAGTGAGGGAGGGAAGAGATGACTAGTGGCAAAGTGAGGGAAGGAAGGGGTGACTAGTGACAGAGTGAGGGGATGACTGGTGACAGAGTGAGGGGGGGTGACTGTCACTAGTCACCCCATCCCTCTCTCTGTCACTAGTCACTCCCTCCCTAACTCTGTAACTGTGTCACCCCCTCCCTCCCTCTGTCCCTAGTCACCCCCTCCCTCTGTCACTAGTCACTCCCTCCCTAACTCTGTCACCAGTCACCCCCTCCCTCTGTCACTGTCACCCCATCCCTCCCTCTGTCACTGTGTCACCCCATCCCTCCCTCTGTCACTGTCACCCCATCCCTCCCTCTGTCACTAGTCACTCCCTCCTCAACTCTGTCACTAGTCACCCCCTCCCTCCCTCTGTCACTAGTCACTCCCTCCCTAACTCTGTCACCAGTCACGCCCTCCCTCTGTCACTGTCACCCCATCCATCCCTCCCTCCCTAACTCTGTCACCAGTCACGCCCTCCCTCTGTCACTGTCACCCCATCCCTCCCTCTGTCACTGTGTCACCCCATCCCTCCCTCTGTCACTAGTCACTCCCTCCTTAACTCTGTCACTAGTCACCCTCTCCCTCACTCTGTCACTAGAGTGAGTGGGTGACTAGTGACAGAGTGAGGGAGGGGATGACCAGTGACAGAGGGAGGGATGGGGTGACACAGTGACAGAGGGAGGGGGTGACTAGCGAAAAAGTGAGGGAGGGAAGGGGTGACAGTGAGGGAAGGAAGGGGTGACTGGTGACAGTGGGGGGGTTGATTAGTGACACAGGAGGGGGGGTGACTGGTGACAGGAGGGGGGGTTGATTAGTGACACAGGAGGGGGGGTGACTGGTGACAGTGAGGGGGGAGGAGGGGGTGATTGGTGCCTACCTGTCTCTCTGCTCCCTCTGGTCTCCCAGGCTGCTGCTCCTTCCCCTCCTGGGCTCTGTGTGATTGGAGTAAACAGGAAGTGATGTCACTTCCTGGCCCCGCCTCTCCCATCACACAGAGCACCGCGGGACAGGGAGGAGACCTGGCAGAGAGGCGGTGAAGCCGCCAGGTCTCATTGCGGGTTGACTTACAGAGCGGTAGGTTGTGGGGCCCCGCGCTGCATCAGGGGCCCCCACAACCTATCGATTAAAAAGTTTTATTTTATTAATTTTACAGTTTCAGTTGGAGATATCTCTGATCTGATCTCTCCAGCTGGAGCATGGCTGTGCGGCCAGGCCCCTGACTGCCTCGGGCCCTCTGTCCACGACCGAAGTGCCCGAGTGGTCAGTCCGCCCCTGCCTATACATAAATACCCACAGCACGAGGGATGTACCTATCAAGACGACACTACCTATATGTATGTAGTGCTTAATATAGTCCTTAAGCTTTTTACTAGAGCCCTCTAAAATCCAGCACAGCCTTATTGCATAGTTCCACGGAAAGGGTCAGACTGCTCGGATATAAGCAACTAAACTGGTCTAACACACAGTTAATCCACTGTTTACTCTTTTGCTGTTCCTTAAGCATGACATAACACAGTCAATCCAACTAAGCACTTAGAAAAATCATAATGGCTTACTCACGCAATTGTTTACTCATGATTATTCACCTTTTAAAAAAAGAAAATGTGCAAGTTTAATTAAATGTCCTATATGTGTTTATATGCTTTGTAATCTGCTGCTGGTTACCTGCTCTTGGTGCATGACAAGCGTTTATGTAACAATATGCACAGCAAAATAAAGAATTTAAAAAGAAAGAGTACATTAAAATCAAAAAGTTCTGGTGTAGTCATTACCATTCTTTCTACTTTCTTTTTAGTCTATGTACAGTTGTCAGGATGGCCGAGCGGTCTAAGGCGCCAGACTCAAGAGTATAATCTCTTCCCTTCACTTGGGATTTCTGGTCTCCGAATGGAGGCGTGGGTTCAAATCCCACTTCTGACAAAATTTTGCAAACGGAACTCTGCAAGGTGTTTCACTTTCTTATTTGAAGGAACACTCTATTCCCACCTAAAGCACATCAACTGTATGTTTTTTAAAAGTATTAAAATTTGTAACAATTGTACCATCACAGGTATATCTTTATTAGATCACACAAATTAAATAAATAGTAGACTGGATATCCCTAAACACATAGTGAAGAATTGATGATTATGCTAACGCAGTGTACTAATAATCTTACTTTTAATAATGACAGCAGGCGAGTATTTATTTTGCATTAACTTTCTTTACTAACTCTATAGCAGCAAAGAAAAAACTGTTAAAAGAAAGAACCAATCAGAGTGAGTCAGAGTGTATATAAGTCCAAGCATAACCAATCATTTGCTCTTGACTAATGCGACATCACAAGTTCATAGTATAACAAACGTGTCCGATCCAACTTGATCCAACGTGGAAACCAGTAAGGATGGAATACAGTCTTCTCCATCATCCATAAGACTTGTTAAACTGAAAAGAAAGAGAGACTAGTATCAGTGATACGGAACAGGCAGTATGAAGCAAATGTCTGTGTGTATATATATATATACAGTTGCAAGAAAAAGTATGTGAACCCTTTGGAATGATATGGATTTCTGCACAAATTGGTCATAAAATGTGATCTGATCATCATCTAAGTCACAACAATAGACCATCACAGTCTGCTTAAACTAATAACACACAAATAATGAAATGTTGCCATGTTTTTAATGAACACACCATGTAAACATTCACAGTGCAGGTGAAAAAAGTATGTGAACCCTTGGATTTAATAACAGGTTGAACCTCCTTTGGCAGCAATAACTTCAACCAAACGTTTCCTGTAGTTGCAGATCAGATGTGCACAACGGTCAGGAGTAATTCTTGACCATTCCTCTTTACAGAACTGTTTCAGTTCAGCAATATTCTTGGGATGTCTGGTGTGAATCGCTTTCTTGAGGTCATGCCACAGCATCTCAATCTTGTTGAGGTCAGGACTCTGACTGGGCCACTTCAGAAGGCGTATTTTCTTCTGTTTAAGCCATTCTGTTGTTGATTTACTTCTATGCTTTGGGTCATTGTCCAGTTGCAACACCCATCTTCTGTTGAGCTTCAACTGGTAGACAGATGGCCTTAAAGGACCACTATAGGCACCCAGACCACTTCAGCTTAATGAGGTGGTCTGGGTGCCTGGTCCATCTAGAGTTAACCCTTTTTTTTTTATAAACATAGAAGTTTCAAAGAAACTTCTATGTTTATATTAGGGTTAATCCAGCCTCCAGTAGCTGTCTCTTGACAACCGCTAGAGGCGCTTGCATGCTTCTCACTGTGAAAATCACAGTGAGAAAATGCCAGCGTCCATATGAAAGCATTGTGAATGCTTTCCTATGGACTGGCTGAATGCGCGCGGCTCCTGCCGCGCATGGGCATTCAGCCGAAGAGGAGGAGAGGAGGAGGAGAGCTCCCCGCCCGGCGATGGAGAAAGAGGTAAGTTTAACTCCTTCCTCTCCCCAGAGCCCGGCAGGAGGGGGTCCCTGAGGGTGGGGGCACCCTCAGGGCACTATAGTGCTAGGAAAACTAGAATGTTTTCCTGGCACTATAGTGGTCCTTTAAGTTCTCCTGCAAAATATCTTGATAAACTTGGGAAATTATTTTTCGTTCGATGATAGCAATCCGTCCAGGCCCTGACGCAGCAAAGCAGCCCCAAACCATGATGCCCCCACCACCATACTTCACAGTTGGGATAAGGTTTTGATGTTGGTGTGCTGTGCCTTTTTTTCGCCACACATAGTGTTGTGTGTTTCTTCCAAACAACTCAACTTTGGTTTCATCTTCATTTTCATTCATATTTTGCCAGTACTGCTGTGGAACTCCTCCTTTTTGGACTCCTCGCCCTTCCAGTGGCGTTTTGCCGGACGACTTTTCTCCTTAGAGGAGTCATCCGGCTCATCCGAGTCCTCCTTATTTTGGCGTTGTTTGCCAGCCCACTTGTTAGGTTCAGTGGCTGTTGGTATTACCTTAGCCATCGCCTTCCAAGGATGCAGCTACTGCTGCATTAATCATGGCCTGAAGGTCATTCGTATTTATTGTGTCCTCCATAGTTCGGGCACGAACAGGTATAGGTATTAGAGGTGAGGGGACTGTGTGGGAGGGATTTAGACAGGCCGTCGGCTGTATAATATTTATCGCTCAGTGGCATGAAATCGGACTCTTTAACACTGGGGCTCACCCAGGAAATCGGAAAATCTTTAATAGGTTCTGTTATGCAACACTTAGGGAATTTCCCAAATGTGGGCTCACCCCTTGCCAGCCTACTAGGTTACACCTAACTGGCAGTCCCACTCCCCAGGGGTAATGACACCAACCTGTATAGGTCCAAATCCGAATTCACCTCTGCAATTGAGTTGGAAATCCTTCCAAACGAGAGCCTCAACTTGCTGAGAGTTGTACTCCTACGAAACTGCAACCACAAAATAGCCACCGCGGGTCTCACGAGAGACCCTGGGTGGCTGACAGGGAAAAGCCCACGAAAAGCGATCGCGGCTGAAACTCACGAAAGACAGGCTACTGGGTGCTTTCAACAGAAAAGTTCACGAACGGTCGTTCGTTTGGTGACCCAAACTGCTGAATGCTCCTGTGGAGAAATCCACGCACACTTATATTAGTAGTGCCTAATCAAAAAAGTTATATATATTTGATTTTTGCTATTTATTTAGTAAGTAATGAATTCACATATAATAAAAAACGACCACGAAGGGACTCGAACCCTCAATCTTCTGATTCGAAGTCAGACGCCTTATCCATTAGGCCACGCGGTCTCCCATAAGGCTAGAGTCCTGTGTGATATGGGCAGTATATGTTTTTAACAATCGTATGTCATGTATGTTAACTTTTACATTACAAAACCTGTTTACGTAATCAAATTTTTTTTTTTTTTTAAAGAAAGGCTATGGAAACTTACTTCATGGCCAACTAATCTTCTGTGGTGTAATATGAATAGTGAAATAAGAGCCTGGGAAAATATACTTTCTGAAGCCAATAATTAAATCTAGCCTTACTTGTTATAGACTAGAGTTTCCCTCTCCCCCCCTTTTTCTAAAGCTAAATTATTATTTGATCTGGGGAGTTACTAATGTACATATAAGTCTAATAAAATCTGTCTAGTGAAATAATAGCTATGAAACATACATACACCTATACACCCTGTTGCCAAAGTGAAATAAATTGGTAAACTATATGTAAAGTAATACAAAAAAGCTGTAAAGTCAATTTGCCTAAACCAGACAGCCTAACAGCGGCATTTCTGCTACCATTAATGAAATCCAACCTTATATGTTAGTGAATTGAGGTTTTTACGTTCCACATAACTGCTCCTGCTCTGCTGGCTAGTATGTAGAGTAGACAAATAAACAATTATATATATGAACGAAATAATTATTTACGTCTGTATTTCATTTCATTTTGAAAGAATGCTAAAACCATGCTGAATTTAAAAAAAATAAAATTGTATGTCAGAAGTGGGATTTGAACCCACGCCTCCATTCGGAGACCAGAACACTCAACACTGAGCGAAGAGATTACTCTTGAGTCTGGCGCCTTAGACCACTCGGCCATCCTGACAGTTAGTTTTACGTTGTTGCTGTGAGTTATACAAAGCCTGCTGTGATGACTCTGTGTGTCTTATTATATGGCATGACTTGTGAATAGGAAACTGCATTATTCAGGAGAATGGGAATCTGAGACAAATTATTTTTGTACGAGTTTTGGACAGTTCGCCTGCTTCTTTTACATAACTAAGATATCGAATTAGATATCCGCAGTAAACGAGTCTCCGGTTTCTAATAGCATGTGTCCAAATTAACTGTCTTGTTTTGTGGGGTAAAAAAAAGTGAAATAAAAGTTTTATTGAAAAAAAAATTCAATAAGATACCGATTCTGAATCACAAATTAAAATAAAGAAGAAAAAAAAAATAATTTGTCAGAAGTGGGATTTGAACCCACGCCTCCATTCGGAGACCAGAACTCCCAAGTGCTGGGAAGAGCTATTACTCTTGAGTCTGGCGCCTTAGACCGCTCGGCCATCCTGACAATCTGATGAGCTTGAGTAAAAGTAGTGATACAATGTAACACCCGGCATACGTGCTTAATATAAATTATATGTACATACATTCAATATGATCATCTCCTCGTAAAGAGAAAGCTACATTTACATGTGATATTCGAATTGTAGTGAATTGAATTCCTAGTAGTAACAATTTGGCATTCTGTGCTGATTTGATGAAATATTCCAATTCAGCAGTAAAATAGTTTATAAATAAATAATTTAGTAAATCAACCCCGCCGTCTTTAGAAGCTTGAAATGTGTTTTATTCGTGCTTTGCTTAGCTGCAGTTACATTTAAATTTAAATACAATATGCAAAACCTGTGTTTTGGAATGGGCCTGTTTGTTAGGCTGCCGCATCCTAAACTAAAAGCACTAAATCCATGTACCTTCCCATACAATATGGAATACGGTACATACCCAAGGAAACCACCCTGTTACAGTGTATACCAGGGAAAGCCTCGAGTCTAAGCAAATTCTGGTCATCCCATAGTCTTTGAAGAGTAAATGGCTAGACAAATTGCTAGGGAAAAGCACGTGTTAAATGCCATATACACAGGATACCAGGGAGTTTTAATGGTTGGATCGTCACGCAAGTCTCTGTGGCGCAATCGGTTAGCGCGTTCGGCTGTTAACCGAAAGGTTGGTGGTTCAAGCCCACCCAGGGACGAGCACTTTTTTTTTTCTTCTTTGTGTTTAATTTATTTATGTATTGAAATAAAATATCAATCATATATCAAAACCTAAATATGAATATCTGTGATACCTCTCTCTGGACTAAGATATTTTTTTGAGCATATTAGCCCATGATAAAGACCAATAAAAGCACCAGTGATCAGCATATATTGAACATCACATATACACTCAATCGCTTAATTAGAAAGGTCGCAGGGTAAATATGTATGCAGGTGCTGCAACCCCTTACAATCTTAATGGGACACTCTGGGCACCAAGAACAGCTCCATCGCTATGAAGTTGTTATGGTGGAGTGTCCCGCTAGCTCCTAGTGGTCTTGTGGCAGAGTAAATAATATTAATGCTTCTGAGCTTAGACATCAATAGACTCCCCTGGGCAAGTGATAGCTATAGGGGTATATAAAATGTATACAAGTATATTTTATTGATCTCTACTATTGTTTTCTGATCAATTATTTGGTTATATTTAATATTCAGCATAGGGTTAATAAATCATCCCCTTCCATAGTATATTCTTATATTACCCCAATGAATAAGCCAAGCTGCTGTTTTGGCAAGCGTCCTCACCCCTCCTCCGCCCCCCAAACCTTCCCTCTCCCTTTGTATGAATCAGAAGGAGTCTGGAAGTTTTCAAGAGGCTGAACATCTGGGCTGAGCAGCTGGATCCTTACAAGACATCTCTAAACAAGGCTCCACACAGCACCAAGGATACATCTCCCATCATCTGAGCCAGGTAAGAGACATCACGCCCAAATGGTAACTCATGGCACAAATTAAACTCCTGCTAACTGTGACAGAGCTGACAACATAGTAATACACTCACCAGTTTAATAGATTAAAAAAAAAAAAGATGTGGCATCACTTGAATTTGACAAATAACTGATTTTGGTCACAATTTAGTGAGATTAATGCAAATGATGCAAGAACAGTAACTATAGCCGGTGAAGTTAACAAATATAACAAAACAAACATAACATGTTAAATATTTAATTCTGCATTATTTAATTTATACAGTGTGTGTGTGTATGTGTGTGTGTGCATGTCACACGTCTGTCTATCGATCAGTCTCAAAGTTGACCTGGAATGTGAAATTGCAATGCAAACAAATCAGAATTTTATGGGTTTGTTGTATCAGTTTTTTGTTGTTGTTATTGTTAGCCACTGGAATGCAGCATCAAGTAAATTGCCATGGCATTAGAGTGTTGCAATTGTTAAATGATGCTTTGACCCATAATCACTGTGTTTGAAAGCTGAGAAGTATGTATTAGACCAGACCAAACTTTTTAGATTCAATATTTCGATATATTTCCAAGACACCCAAAGTCAAAACAATTTTCTAGAGGGCAGGTTGTGTAAGGGGTACAGTGTGTGCAGGGGTGCAGTGTGAGGGGTACAGTGTGTGTATGACTGGGGCAATGTGTGTGTATGGGGGTTATTGTGTGTATGGGGCATAGTGTGTGGTGCAGTATGTGTGTATGGGGGAGCTATTTTGTGGTGTGGGGGCAAATTAATAAATATATACTTTTATTTATTTTTTTATTAAAAATAAAAATATCTCCCCCTCCCTGCTTACCTTTGCAGGGAGGGGGACATTTCCTGTAATCCCTGGTGGTCTGTGGGGAAGCCCTCGTGGTCCCAGTGGTGACAGTGAACTCTAGCAGCCTCAGGAGCTGCTAGTGTTCACTTTCGCGATATTTGGAGCATTGCCGTGGTAACTGCAGCAATGCTCCGAGCTCGCGAGAGGAGAACCCGGTGAAGCTGTATGTTAGAGCTCCCCCAGGCCCTGCACCCCCAACCCCCCACCCCCCTCCGCCGGCTGTCATCAAAGTGGTAGCGGGCATCTCCCTTCCGGTCCTGCAGAGCGAGCAGGCGAGAGCACAGTTCCCGGTGCTATGATTATAGCACCGGGAAAATATCTTGCGGCACCCCTGTGTGCCCGACATGGCGCCCCAGGGCTCCACGGCACACAATTTGGGAACCCCTTGATTAGACACTAATTTGTATAACTATACCATAGTTAATGTGTGTGTATATAAGTGAATTTAGATTTTAAAAAAAAATCAATTATATTTTTTATTGCATTCTGTTTATAACACTTAAAAAAAAAATGGAAGTGTGCAAAACCTTAGCTATCGGAAGAATGCATGTTAGAACAATCCTGATGTTTATATCTGAATCTCAAGCCATCCCCATTTTCCATTTCCTTGTTTTGACCTGTTCCTCTCCCCTTAAAATGAACCAGTGTTATTCTGAATTATTAAACCCTCCAGTACAATGCATGTGCATTGCTATCCTCTTCTACTAAAGCTTTCAGAATTGGACATAATTGTCAGAGTTCTTACATAACAGGACATCAGGAATGACATGAAAACTGGCAGCACACTATGTACAAAACTTGCTCATTGTTTGATTACTCATGGCAAACTCTGTGACTGAACTTTGCTTCATACTTAGAATGCTGATTAGCGATCCAAGCAAACAAGCAAAATTATTGTAAGTCTGAAGTTAACATTCACACTAATCGTTTGAGCCTGAATGTATATTACTAATATTATTATTATTATTAATATAGATCTAACATATTCCGTACCTCTGAAAAAATGTTTTTAAGGCAACGGATATCATTAGTACTACAGATTTATGGGAACTACATTTCCCATGATGTTCAGCTAGTTGGGAATTTAATTCCCTGACATCTATAGTGCCCGAGCTAGCCACGCAGGCCTTATTCCTTCCTTGTGTAGATTACAATTTATCAATGGATTGCACAAACAAAGTGAGTTAATTCTTCGCTCTCTGACTTGCACACTAACATCTAATTTTAAAGAGTCGAGTCTGATTGAATATATTATTTTTTTTTATAGCTAGAACATACAAAATACTCATTGCTTTAATTCACCTGCAATATCCATTTCCTCTTTGTGGATTGTGTGGGCCGACTGCCTAGAACAGCTGGAATTTTCCTGGAATCAAGACTTGTTACTGCTGTAGCTGCTATGGAACAATCAATACCTCTTTTACTGCTTGCACTCATCAAGCTGGTGACATCCCTGTATTATGAAGGTAAAAAGCTTTATCCTGTTTTATTACTGCTGAGTGCGATTGATGTTTTCCCACTTAATGCCATGGCAAACATTTCTGGAGAGGCTTGTAGAACATGTCTCAAATAAGGAGCATCAGGATTTCCTATTAAAAACTCCAGGGAACAAATAGGAAATTGTGATAACATACCTGTGGTATGCATACACATCATTTCAAGTCAATGATTCCACATCTTCTAAACCAGTGGTGGATACTGTTTTAAGACCACTCGAATTGTATTAATAAAGAGCACTGACACAAGTATTGCTAAGCTATAACAACATAACTGATCAAAACTATTCAACAAAACATTTTTGAACAGGGGTTTAGTCTAGTGGCCAACATTTCCTCATATAGAAGAGAACCATGCATTTCCACTTTGGAATTCAGCCTCTCTATATTTTATCACCAGCAAATGAAAGAGGGGTTCCTAGCAATGATTACTTTCTGAGAGACAATGAGAATGTAAAGTCAAGATCTTCAAACCTAAAAGTGAAGGCTGGACACAAAACTAGATATTATACAAGGCTGATTTATTGAAGAATGCAGTGTTTCCACTATAAAAAAACTTTCTCAATACTAAGCTGAAGCATTGCATTGTAAGCTTTAATAAGTCTGCCTTTGATATTATCCAGTTATGTGCCCAACCTTCTATTTGTACATTTGCTTCAGCCTGGTGGAGTTTCACACTATTTGATGTATGCCTTCTCCTTGTAGATGTTCTTTAAACTTGTCCACAGGACCCATTAGAAGTTCCTGCTGTACATTATTTTGCAAATGAAAGGCAGTAGCTCAATCATTTTGTATTAGACCCATATTCTTTGAGATATGTACTTTAATCCTAGCCTGTTGGTTGGTTTTTAGGTTTGATTTGAAACATACAAAGTCAAAGAGCCGAGATCAATATGTATACAGCCATTCTAAAAGAAAGGCAAAGCATATGGATCTTTGACCCATTGGACAGCTAGATAAATTGTATTTAGAATACAGTAGTTGTGAACTATGACAGTCTCTGGTAAATTATATCTAGATAACTGTTAATTTGTAGGAGATCATATACTATAGTATGCACAAGTCAACACATGCTAATTCTATTTGCTTATTCTCCCCCACCCATCATGAGTTGCGTCTAACAGAATATTAATCTTTATGTAAGAGGTTCACATGTATACTTACTCAAACAGGGTATTTTAAAGTCTTAAATAGGTTTTACATTTTTGAATCCTCATTATCTCATGGGAGATGATGCTGTAATGTTGACTCTCCCAGTGGCTGTTATTCAAGGCATGAAGGTAATGGATATTTTTACTATTGGTTGGCTGCTTTGAGTCATGCTGCATGATAAAACAGTTGGACAGACCCTCTACATAACAGCGTGCTGAGTAATCCATCACTATGTCCTTATAACGAGTTGCAGTATACATTCATGTATTTTAAAATCAAATAGCAAACAGCTTACTTTAGCTTTAATTTTACCATTTTGATTTTATTTTCTAAAATTCAGGGTTTAGTGATTAACCTTAAATTGTGTTCTTTGTTCTTTTCCAAAAATGTTTCCAATATCTGTATTACTAACAATCCACCAATGGGAGGATCTTACCCGATTCTCTATCTCATGCCTCAATTTAATAAGCTTTCCAAGTGAATCAATTATTTTAGAAAAACTTTTCAAATGATTTGTCTACCGACGTGACCATTAACGTCTATGGAAAGCTACAGTGAATAAATAGGAATTAAATTTAGGCCTAACATGGTTATTTGCTAAATTCATAATTTCCAGGAAGTCCAAGTGAAAGGGAGATCTACTCCAGGATGGATTTATTATTAACCACAAATTAAAAAAGATACTTCTCTCTGAAAGCCCATTTCCATCCCCAGGAACTAGTTAGTTTGCCAGCCAGTCTGTGGCCTCTGGTTAATATACATTTCTTGTGATGTTAATGTAGATGCACTTATGTAGGTAATACAGCCATCAATGTTCTCCATGGCTTGAAATGGTGGAAGAACTACCACTCAAGTGAATAGATATTGCCAGTGTCTTGTATTTAGATGAGCTGGACTTAGATCATTCATTATTCAAGCAATCGGAAAACTAGCTCTCGTGTATGTGTGTTTCTCCATATACCTGCATTAAAACGAGGGTTCTCCATAAACTTCTAGAATCCATTAGTTTTTGAGGAACATATCATCAGTTGTACATTTTCTTGTTCTCTTCCTGGTCGAAGGAACAGACTATAGTGTAGGTGCAATGGAAAGTGCATATTCTGCAAAAACCATGGACCTGATGTTAAGTCTTGGTGATATCTTTGTTGGTATGTATGATACATTCATTGCCTGGAGTGAAGAGATCGCCCTTTGCAGTGAATAGTAAAGGCTTTTACCTGATCAGGAGTCTCATGCTCGTGATGTGCACTAGATTTGCCCTGAACACTTTCTGACTTCCTTTCTTCTGATAAATGGGGTTTAGTGAATATATGTCTTTGTTTCCTCTCTAGGGATAGTGCAATATTCTACTGGAGTGGTGTAGGCGTAGCTGAGAACATGTGTCAGGTATAAATAGACATTTTTCAGAATTCTCTTGGTTTAGATGGCATTCTTGGCAAAGTGTCTTAGATCCGGTGGGACCATCCTGATTTGAAACCCGAGCCACACAGTACTGGGTTACGCCTCCAGTGTCTTGGTCAATAGACTACTGTGTGACAAAAAAATTAGAAAACATCTCTTTCTCTCTCTGCCCTCTATGTCTTTCTCTATTAATAACTGGGTTAGTATCTGGATGCAGCTATTATATAGATGCAGTTCCGTGTCCTGGCCTGTCTGAGATTAGTGTGAGTTTCACTCCTGGATAGAAATTTGTATTAGGCTTAGCAGCCCTCGTCTATTACTGATATACCAGGAGACATGTGCTGCGGAAACCGAGGCAGTGGGGTTTATTCACAATACTACAGATTGTAGAGAACGGAAGTCTGAATGGCAAAATATAAAATAGAACTGCTAATCTAGAAATATTATGCAACTCCTCTATAGTTGTAACTCTGTGATTTTAGCTTAAATACTAACATAGACCATTTAAAATGCTACAGTTTGGAATATAGTAAATAAGTCTGAGTGTGATCCTCGCTCCCCAGCATATCAGTAATGGGAGAGGAATTAAATTAAAGGGACACTATAGTCACCAGAACCATTGCAGCTTAATGTACTGGTTCTGGTGTCTATATCCTGTCCCTGCGGTGTTAGCACTGTAAATAGTGTTTACATTGCTGCCTAGTAACACCTCTAATTACAGTCACGCAGATGGCCATTAGATGTGCTTCCTACTTTCAGCATCTCCACGCTCTGCATAGAGGCATTGAATGTTCCCCATAGAGATGCATTGATTCACTGCATCTCTATGAGGAGATGCTCCTTGGCACAGCACAACGTTTTGCTGCACATATGCAATAATGTCCCAGTGCTTTTCGATGGGAAATTATTGGATTGGCTGAGATCATCAGTACTGATGATTTTAGCCATGGCAACAAAACTGTCAGGGCCAGCCTGAGAAAAGGTGATTAAAATCATCTTTTTACTGTGATCGGAGGTGGGCCAGTTACCTAAACAGCCAATTCAGGACTATAGTGTCAGGAATACATGTTTGTATTGCAATCGCTACCCTGGAATATAACTCCCACCGGTCTTAAACACACCCAGTCATTATGTCCCGATGCAGCCCTTAGATTAAAGTAACTATAGCCCCAATAGTGCCTCTAACGCTAGCCCTAACTCTGAAATTACAAAATCATATAACATAGAACATACATGATAACATTGTGGAGCATATGTTAAAGGAAAAGAAGGATACTTTGATGTTCTGGTTTATTATAATGTCTCCAGAACTCTTTAATGTCATTATTTCCCATAATATTCTTATAATATGACCAGTTGGATTTCATGAACCTGTGCAGCCACTTTAACGTCGTGATACTTTATGAATAGCAGTTTTTGTAACCCCAACATTCTCTCACTAAAATCTCATTTCTAGAAATTGGCCTTTCTTTGTCAGTAAACTGGACAAATGCTGTTGACTCAACAATACTCTATAAGCACTCCTTAATACTCCAGCGCTGTGGACTATAACTACTGCCATGCTCAGTCAACCTGTAGGGGTTCAACATGATGTAGTGTGTAATCACCAGCAGCTGGCAGTCCTGAATATTCCTGTCTTTGGCATAGAGGATATATTTTATTATTCTGAGCCCTTTGTGCTTTGAGGTTTCAGTGGGCGCAGACAGAAGCCTGCATAGGTTTAGAGAAATAGCATTAAAAAAAGAAACGGAGGCATTACACAGAAGACACTTGTAATTTTTTCCATATGTGTTTTGGGTTTGCAGAAGAAATTTTGTAAAAGAGCAAAGATCAAAATATTTCTTTCTCCATGACCATTTGAAGTCATTGTCTACCATGTATGTGTTAAAATGGTTAAAGGGATTCTCAATGCAATTTCTTTTGTGCCATTTACATTTGATTCATATTTCACTCATTAATAATAATCACTCACCCTTATATCATCAGGCTAATTTCCATATCCTAATGATCATTGCCAAATGAAATGCTTCTCACAGAGAAGCATTGTGTACCAGACAGTGCACACGCCACTTAAATAATTCCTGGTCCTCACAATATTTGATCAAATGTTATGCTTTTTCCTAAATACATCATCCACACATCACTAAACAGAAAAAGTGAATAAATATTTCCTTTTCTGAAGGCAGACGCACAAACAGATTTTTATAAGTAAGCTAGACAATGATTCACATTGCTGGGGGTTACCAACTAAAGTATTTTGCAGCTGTTAGCTTAAGCTGAGTGTTCAAGCCGTACATCTGTGCAAAATCAATCAACTGAAAAAACTATGCATTTAAAATGAAAGTGTGAATTGTATTACCAGCTACTAGACATTATTTTATTCTAACAAATAGATTGTATTTCTTTTAAAAATTAAACAAGTTACCTTTAGTGCATAACCTGCATAGGTTATGATGCTGAGAGTCAAATTTCTGTTTTTTAGGAAGTGTCAGCAACATCACAAATAATTAGAAACAAAGTGCCACTCCGGCCAAACAACAATTTATGGGAATCCGAGGACACAAATTTTGTGTTGAATCGTTCAAAAAAAGTTTAACACTGTAAAATAAGATGAAACCAGGGACCTCCAGTCCCCATAACAACTTCACTGGGATGAAGTCATTATTGGCCAAAATCGGGGTCACACTGTTCCTTTATGTTAAATTGCCTAGAAAAATGTATACCTCTCTAAAAAGTTTCCAGTAAATGGAACATTTATATACTACTGAAGAAGGTGAAAGAGAAAGGAAAGTGAAATGTTTCTCTCATTGAAGCAAGTCAAAGCAGAGGTGTAGGGTTCCAGCAAAGCCTTGCTTTTTGTTAAATTGTTTAAAAATGGATTGAAAGGTGGACAACAGTCATAGACACATTACCATTACATATCATTACCATTACAATGAGCTGTTGTGGTTATGGTGCTAAAAGTGCAGCTCCATTTCAGCATTGCGCATCATGTTACAGGTGCTGCTTTAAAAGCACATTTTATAGTGCATGTGATTGAAGAGCTGCCTAGACAGGTTAACCCATCACAGTCATCATGAAGAAGCATATATAAGACTATACAAGATATTTATTAAAGAGGCACTGTCACCATCTGGGGGCATAATTTGCAAAGACCCCTGACATCGCCGCTGGGGTCCGGTGGCCTGGGGGGGGCAGGAAAGGCAAGTCGATCTCTCACAGGTGCCACCATCTTCTTTTGGGCAGACCTCTTCTGCATGCGCAGGAGTACAGCACTGAGGATTCTCCATAGATAGAGCCAGTACCTTGTAGCTGTCACTGGTGACGGCTGGAGAAGTGGGGAGTGACAGTGCTGCTGTCAAGACGGTACACATATTTTTTTTTCTCCAAATTTAATAGTTTCATGATTTCATACATTTGGAATGTCATTATTCAGCTCAAGTACTGTTCATACTGCCAGAAAATCATGAGATTATATACATAAAATTTTCCATTCGGTAAATGTAACATGTACATGGAACAAGGAAAAAAAACTTGCTATAGCCAGCTGAACGTTGGTAAATAAGAAATATAAATCAAAATTAGGGGAACAATTAAATGTAGGAGGGAGGATATCAAATAATAACAAATACTAAAATTATACCTCTATCTAGATTACTTCAATTTCTTGATGTATATAAAAAAAGTGCACGTCAGAAATTTATTCAACCACCAAAAAGGCCATCATAACATAATACTGTTAAAAAAAAGAGAATATTTAATATACAATTAAAGTCACTGAAACTAAAAAAATACCTACTTAAAGGGACACTGTAGGCACTCAGACCAATTCAGCTAATTTAAGTAGTCTGGGTGCTGTGTCCCTTTTGCACTTAGTGCTGCAATGTTAAACATTGCCATTTCAGAGAACTGCAATGTTTACATTGCAGCTCTAAGTCTGTCCACAATGGCTGTCTACCAGACTGCCACTAGAAGGCTTCCTGAATCGGGTATCTGATGCTGGACATCCTCACGCACTGCATGAGGCCCTCCAGCGTCAGATTTTTTCCCCATAGGAAAGTATTGATTTAATGCTTTCCCATTGGGAGGTCTTTGTATTCCTGGCACACTTATAATATCCCTTTAACAGAGTGTACAGATAGGCCAGAACAATGGCAACAAAAATTAATCTGCCAGTCTTATCAACTGCCTTCCAGTTTTCTAATGCCCCTTCTACCTAAGCAGAGTAGTCTTCGGGATTGTCCAATTCTCTGGCATTCTGTCATAGTCAGGGTGAAGTTTCCATCCAAAAATGGCAAGATAGTGCATGCTAATCAACGGCTCGACTATGGTATAGTTTAAAAATATATATATATTTTAAATTGCAATTCATGTAGCTATTAATCCTGTAGTGATGCATTGTAAAAAAAAATAACAAGTATGTAAAGACTAATATTACAGTTAAAATTAAATATATCCATAAAGTCCCACTGCAGCCATTAAACTTTCTAGGGTTTATAGGATACGATGAGCACTTACCCAGAAAGTTATAAAAGCATCAAGATTAGAAAGGACTAAAAGTTACTTGCCCCCTTACCCTGGCAGGTACACAGCACACTCACCAGGACAGAATAGCTATGAATTGTGGTTATGGTAACTGATACATTGTGGGTTAGTGTGGATGTGTCCACACATATCCATGCGAGAAGAAAGCTTCAGGAATATAAAACTATGTATCTATCTTGGTTACGCTAAAGGAAGTGTACTTGTCATACTTGTTATATTATATACACATACATAATATTACACTGATTGAATATATGGAATACATAATATAACAATTTCAATACTAACCCATACGTGAAGTATATCTTTCAAAGGCCTGGTTATTATGTATTTTTTTGTTTCTTTCATGTCAGGCTCGGGATATGCAGCTGACGAGAGTTATAATAACGAAGTACACATTGAACAGCGCCCTTCCACTCCTTTTCTGGATTACCGAGGTAGTATTTTATTCGTATTAGTAAATGTAATTTATCAGGATTGGGTAACCGACATGTTATGGACTCCCTCTGCGTTATTCACTAAATCATGAATGTTCAAGAATTTACTGTGAATTTTAAATTTTAGGACACAATAGTGACAACTGCAAACATAACCGTCCTTGAGAATTTTCCAGTTTAATGGACCACTATAGGCACCAAGACCACTTCAGCTCAATGTAGTGGTCTGGGTGCCAGACCCCCCCTAGTTTTAACCCTGCAGCGGAGAAACTGCTATGTTTACAATGCAGGGTTAATCCATCCTCTAGTGGCTGTCTCTCTGACAGCCACTAGAGGCCGCTTCCTCGATTTACACCGAGTAAATCGGACTTATCTGACGCTGGACGTCCTCACGAAGTCCAGCATCAAATAAGACCCCGTAGGAAAGCATTGAGTAATGCTTTCCTGTGGGCGGGTTTGAATGTGCGCGCGCCTCTAGCCGAGCATACGCATTCAGCTCCACTCGGTAGCTCATGTCGGCAGGGAAAGAGAGGTTACCAGGGCTTAAGGTAAGTGGGTGAAGGGGTTTAAACCCCTTCAGCGCCGAGGGAGGGGGGCCCCGAGGGAGGGGGGCTCTCCAAGAACCTATAGTGCCAGGAAATGGGTTTGTTTTCCTGGCACTATATGGTCCCTTTAACCCCTTAAGGACACATGACATGTGTGACACGTCATGATTCCCTTTTATTCCAGAAGTTTGGTCCTTAAGGGGTTAAAGGACCACTATAGGCACCCAGACCACTTCAGCTTAATGAAGTGGTCTGGGTGCCAGGTCCAGCTAGGATTAACCCTTTTTGCTGTAAACATATGTTTACTTTATGGTTTTTCCAGCCTCTAGTGGCTGTCTCATTGACAGCCGCTAGAGTCGCTTCCGCGCTCCTCACTGTGATTTTCACAGTGAGAAGACGCCAGCGTCCATAGGAAAGCATTGTGAATGCTTTCCTATGGACTGGCTGAATGCGTGCGCGGCTCTTGGGACATCAGAAGAGGGAGGAGAGTCCCAGCGCCGAGGGAGCCCAGTGCTGGAAAAAAGGTAAGGCATTAACCCCTTCCTCCCCCTTCAGCGCCACGGGAGTGGGACCTTACGGGTTGGGGCACCCTCAGGGCACTGTAGTGCCAGGAAAACGAGTTTGTTTTCCTGGCAATATAGTGGTCCTTTAAGCTAATTTGGCTTAATATTTGAATTATTATTATTTACATAGCACCAACAAATTCTGCAGCGCTGTACAATGGGTTGACTAACAAACATGACAATGCACACTTTAGAGATTAACTCTCCTTAGCTATCTATAGGGCTTTTTCGCCAAGTGTCAGTTATGGAGAATTGACAGGACATCTGCACGTTTTAGGCCTGAATAGCCAAACCTAAAATACTGCCATGTTGGAGAAATCCTACAGTTTGGGTATCATGGCCTAAATTTAGCATTTCTCCATAATTCCTAGTTTGGTAATTAATCCATAAGCCTATAATAAGACAAAAGGAGCAATGCACTTAAACCCTGCCATTTGAAGTGTTATTTCAAGCAAATTTAGGGCACTTAAAATACAGTGATTCCTAAATCTATCACTATTCTCACCACATCACTCGCCCCACACACTGTTGATTTAAATGTGGTCATCTTAAAACATGACTTTCCATAACTGACAAGAACTGTGTAAACACTGTGATGGTTGTTTAGAAGGAGAAGCTATGGGGAAAGGATTGAAATGCAATCCTCAGGAGAAACATTCCATGGTTTCCATGGTGTTTACTCCATTAGTAGAAGTTTGACCCACAGTAGCCTTTTTGTGTATAACCCCCTGCGTTCTAATGGAATGTTTATAGATCCAGTCGCATTATAAATCTGTAGTGTGAAATCCCATATTCTAGGGGTAAATAGTTAAAAGGGGAAAGATATTATTGCCAGATGGCCGTGTTGTCCTGGATACAATGTGTTGTTCTAAACACATTGAAAAGAAAGGTTGATTGAAACAAGACACACTATGTATAATGGATGATTCATGGGTTCCCTGAATTAACCATTTACTTTCCATTGTGTATATTTTTCCATATAAGGGCAATGCCTATTGGTAACCATTTTACAAAGGTCAAAGGATTGATCAGTTTTTACAAAACATAGCTATTTGCATACTTTTATTTCACTATAAGGGAAATAGTATACCAAATATACCATAAATATTAGATCTGCTACAAAAGCAAGATGGCAGCTTCCTGTACTCTTTCAGTAGTAGAGGGTGTGGGTGCATGTCTGGTCTGAGATCTAGAGGATGCACGTCAGTTGATCTGAAGTCTGTGGGGGAGGAGGCAGTCACATTCATGTAGTATGTGCCTGCTACTACCGTTAGATCAGGGGAGTTAACTGAGGCAGCAAACCTCCCTGGCTGTTTGATTGACAGCCAGAAAGGTATTCTATAGTTAATTTATAGAAGTGTCGATTTCACATTGAAATTGGCACTTTTATAAACTTGGGTTAAACTAGGATATTCTTCACCCATAAAGCACTGCAGCAAGATGAAGTGCTTACAGGGTATGGCGTGTTCTTTTGTTAAGATTGTCAAGTGTAGGAAAAATACATAAGACAAAGTAGTCCTTATATCTTATACTATCTTTTTAGTGGAATTTCAGTGAAATTAAACACATAATTTATGAACATTTCATAAAGGTTTTATCTTGATAACACTAATTTTTTTACGGGGGAGGGGTGACTGAGCTGCTTCAATATATATTTCCAAAAAAACTAAACATTAAATGGAAAAAAAAGCTTAACAGAAGTTATAGTGTTTTTTTTTTTTATAGGGTTATTAGCTAAAGTGAGAATTGCATTGAATTCAAAGTGACTTTCAAATGGAAGGCCAAAGTAGTCAAACTGAAAGCATATCTGACTCTGAGAATTTTTCCGGGTTTAACTATTTTGACCTTAAATTTTAAATTCACTCTGAATTTCCTGCAATCTTCACTCTAGTAAATAACCCTGTTAATGTCTTGTTCTGGTACTGTGTTTTTTTTAAAGAGCAAAAGTATTTTTTATTTTTTTTTAATATTTCCTCTTATATATTAGAGCATTCGCTACGGTAAACCTAATGGAAAAAGTTATCTTTGTATTCTCACATTCTTCAAGCCCCTCGTTGGTGCTATGATTTCAACATTCAGGATGGAGAGGCTGCTTGCTATTCACCACGAGGGGGGACTTATCGTAGCACTCTCGGAACACGATGCCGGTTATCTTGTGACCAGGGTTACCGACTCCTGGGGCAGAGTTCAGTGCAATGCTTACCAAGCCGCCGCTGGTCCGGAAATGCATACTGCAGGAGTAAGTATACTGTATACAATTATGCTTGTTGCATGACTTATTTTTTACAATTGACATTTATATACTGCCAAGATTTTCCACAGTGCTTTAAAATATTACTATGGAGTATAAACAGCAAATAACAGTATAACGACAAGTGTTAACAGGAAAAGAAGAGGGAAAAAAAGGGCCCTCACCTAGCAAGTTTACAATCTAAGTTACAGACATATGATTTGGTGGATATTTTGTGTTAATAAAATCAAATAAGGTATTCACTGGGTAAATTTATGTCAGAGTAGATCAGTCATGCTCTCTTGGTTTTCATTCAATGTGTCTTATATTTACAGTTCATTTTATAAATATAGATATCATTTAAAATCATGGGCTTTACTTTCTGGATGCAATATTAGCCTTTGTAACCTCAATCAACTGGATTTACACATAGTTACAGAGCTGAAAAGAGACTTGCGTCCATCAAGTTCAGCCTTCCTCACATTTGTTTTTTGCTGTTGATCCAAAAGAAGGCAAAAAAAAAACAGTTTGAAGCACTACCAATTTTGCAACAAGCTAGGAAAAAATTCCTTCTTGACCCCCGAAGGGCAGTCAGATTTATCCTTGGATCAAGCAGTTATTACCCTACATTGAAAGATTATATCCTTGAATATTCTGTTTTTGCAAGTATGCATCTAGTAGCCGTTTGAACATCTGTATGGACTCTGATAAAACCACTTCTTCAGGCAGAGAATTCCACATCCTGATTGTTCTTACAGTAAAAAATCCTTTCCTTTGCCTTAGACGAAATCTTCTTTCTTCCAGTCTAAACGCATGGCCTCGTGCCCTATGTAAAGTTCGGTTTGTGAATAGATTTCCACACAATGATTTGTATTGGCCCCGAATATACATGAAAGATTATGAGAAAATGTGGAAATATAAATATATATTTTAGCTGGAACTCCAGAACAAATAGCTATAAGGGATAACAATATCTTCATTAACAGAATAACAACTTGAAAACAGGAAAAAAGAAATGAAAAAGCATATTGACAAGATTAGGAAACTTTTAATATGTTGTCAAAACTTAAAAAAATGATTGGCTTAGTTTCTGAAATGTATCCTAAATGTTTCTTTTGGTCATCATTTATGTACACCAGCCGTATGCTGTAAAAATGTGTCGCATGACTAAGAGGGTGTTGCGTGACATTTTCATTATTATACCAGTTGGCAAAATCAAATAGTTAATTAATTTTCCTATTCTCATCAAATTGCATTGGTGGCAGGACATTGAATTCTATCACATTTAACAAACATTCAGTCCCAGATTCCCTATGGGTGTGGGGATAAATGTTGCAGTTGTTTCATTTTTTTTTTTTTTTTAAACAGGGTAATTCACTAAATTTTGGATTAAAAGAGATTCACAAGGAACTTGCAAAATCTAGCACTTTCAGAATTATTCCACTGTGTATATTTTGACCATATATTTTTCTTCTCTGTTTGTGACAATTCAAAGCTTAATGAGTAACCCAGACGATATTTCTGTCCTACGACATGATGTATTTGATAAAATTCACCAATTACTGGACAAAAAATATCCTCCTTAATCAATGCCTCGGTAGGAATGTTAGGATTTGTAGTCCACCAACATAGGTAAGCACATGGTATGCAAACGTCTATTCATGGTAAAAGTTGTGACCTTGACAGATACAGTATGTTTAATTTTATCACATACACTGCGGATGGAGAATAGTCAATTTAACTGCAATTTTCTCACAATTTTTTGTTTTGTTTTAGAGAATCTGTGCCATGTACTGCCCGCACTTCCTCATGGATCCTACCACTGCTCAGATGGTGTATCTGAAGGATCTCGCTGCGATTACACCTGTGCGTCTGGCTACCAGATAGAAGGCGACCGTAGCCGTATCTGTATGGAAGACGGGCTGTGGAGTGGAGCAGAACCTGTCTGTGTAGGTAAATTTTCAGATCTATAGATTACATACTAAATGTGCTCTCGGTAGAATTTGAGTAGTCTCAAAGGCTGATAGAGGTTGGTAAGAAATTCTAAATTAAACAGGCTGTGGAATAAAGGAAGTATAAACATCAGATCTCACTTGACAGGAAGCGTTTAGGAAGGCTGTGCTCATTACATGCAGGGAGGTGCCACTAAGGCTGCATAGACAAAGTGATTTAACCCCTAAATTGCAGCGAATTGAGCAGTGGGATTGTAGGGTCATCTAAATACCAAAACTGCTTCATTAAGCTAAAGTTGGTTTGGTGACTATAGTGTCCCTTTTAACGCTAATGCTTTTCAATCCCTACCGAAGTATACAAATGATAAAAAAGTGAATTTTGAATTTGCAAGATATCTAAGACAATCTAAAGATGGACTCGGAACTGACAAGGACAGAACAAATTTAGGCCAGGCAAAAGACAGATTTTAAGCGTGGGACTGTATACTGATATTCTCTGATTAACTTGTTCATAAAATGTTCTTTTTGGATCTCTGAGCTGTATATATGAGGATCTCTGGTTTATATTGATGTTTTGGCAACCTCGATTCCACTGTAATTTATATCCATCAGTAGACGTTATAGCACCATTAGGCCTTGCTGAGTAAATCTGTGCTAGGGTTCAATGTTTATTAAAATATCTTGTATTCTATCAGATGTGGACCCACCAAAGATTCAGTGCCCTACTTCCAGAGTTAAATTTGCAGAGCCAGAGAAACTGACAGCTGTGGTTTACTGGGGCAGACCTCAAGTGAAGGATACAGCTGATGGAGTGATCACAAGGTATGATGGCAATCACGGTTATATTCACTAGACTGAGAACTGAGTATAATTGACCAAGGAAAAGCACATATGGGAACAAAACTATAAATGATAATAATAATAATAACAGTCAAACCTTTCCAATTTGACTATTTGCAAACTTAGACTTAAATGTCTTGAGTCTATTTTTATTTACTCTCTGTACATACATTTGATTGTTCTCAGAGTAGTGACATATCGCCCGAACTCAGTTCCTTTGGCTGATGTTGACATCAAAGCCAGTCTATATGTCTGCATTGTTATCTGGGTTCATTACTGAGACCAGCTATCGTTTAAGAAAAAACAAACAGTCGGTTGCTTAATGCATATATACAGTTAAAATCTAAAAAAAAATTGTTGTTGTTATGGTTTGTTTCTTTTCAACCCAGAGTTACACTCAGAGGCCCTGAGCCAGGTTCGGAGTTCCCGGAGGGGGAACATGTAATCCGGTACACGGCATATGACCAGGCACACAACCGGGCAAGCTGTAAATTTATAGTGAAAGTGCAAGGTGAGTATATGTGCTCAGCTCAAGGCATTTTAACTTGGTTTTCATTTCACCAAAATAAACCGCTATAAATAAATTCCCAGAATTCTTAGTTTAGATGTAAGCATCCGTTCCACTTCTATACACAATAGAAATAATTGATGATATATGATAATAGATACAGGATATAAATAATAGATGCTTATGTGCCCATATAGACCGACGCATTTTTTTTCTCTGCACAAAAAATTCGCTAGACTATGTATTCATATATAGGTGTATTTTTTGAGCCTTAATCTTCAGTTGAATATTTATTTTTAATGGCCTAGTGAGAAGATGCCCCATACTTTCTCCTCCCCTTCATGGATACATCACCTGTAGCTCTGCAGGAAATAACTACGGTGCAAACTGCGAGTACCTTTGTGAGGGAGGCTACGAACGCCAAGGACCAGCGTCCAGAGTTTGCCTGTTTAGTCAGCAGTGGGCAGGAACCCCAGCCACATGCACACGTAAGTAATTACCATTTCTGATAATCAATGTAAGGAAAAACCACCTAGCTGAGAAAGTATCAGCCAAAGCCAAAGAGGGTTTGATAAGCAAGACAAAAATCAACATGCAGCTATTTGCCTATTCTTTTAATAAGTACTCTTACTTTTATCTTGGCCATGCAAACATACCTTCCCAGTGTCTCTCTGAAGGAAAGTCCCTTACTTACACCAGAAGATTTCGGTCTCTCTTCTTGGCCCCTGTGCTCTCCCCCTTGATTTTCCAGGATCCCAGAATTTGTTGAGTGTATAAGTAAAGCACAGGGATCAACAATAATAATACTGACAATACTTTTAGTTAATTGTAGTAAATAACAATTTGGCATTATCATGTGAATTAAATAATTAGCTCATGGTAGCAGGTATGGCCAAACCCACACTAGCTGGGGCTGAAATAGCCCATAAATGACCTTGCATAACTAAAAATGTGTAATTAAAGTAACTTCAAGCACCATAACAACTACAGCTTGCTGACACTCTCAGGCAATGAATTAAACCTGCACTGCAGATTTTAGCTCAGGAGAGTTAACCAAGTCCCTGCTTTGGAACCTATGAATCTATGGTGTTAGTAGTGGAGGTGGGGAGCAGTGTCCTGCAGTCTCCAGGTAGAGTCAAGCTGTTCAAAATCTGTTTATCTTCTTACAATGGGGAGTTGGTATGGTGCTTCTGGCACCATAACCATTATAGTGAGCGGTAGTGGTTATGGTGCTTGGATTGTTCCTTATACGCTCTACTATTGGGGATCAGATATCTTGTGATAGTAAGGAGGTATGATAGGAAATACTTTAAGACTTGTAATTCATGTTCTGTTTCATTTAAGGCATGAAAATAAATGTTAATATGAACTCTGCTGGAGGTTTCATAGACCAATTCTTTGAGAAGCAACGTCTCCTGATCATCTCTGCCCCTAGCTCTTCTGACCGCTATTACAGGCTTCAGTCATCAGCCCTGCAGGTAAATGCTGACACAGCACTATATGCTATGCCTGTATATGCCACCTGCTGGAAAATAATGGGTATTGCACAAGAGAAACTAATCTATACTAAGAACAGGATTTAGCATGACTGTACCAAAATAACAAAACAAAAAAAAGGGCTGACAGTATTATGCAAACTGCAGACAAGCCACTAAAGTATTCATCCTTAGAATCCAATGATAAAGACAATAATATGAACATTGAATGTGCTGTGATCATGCAGGAGAAAAAAACAATATCAAATATCATAAAATTACCAGATGCCCCTAGTCAAGCATTACCTTGTGTAACCATATAAGTGCTGCAACATTAGATTGTTCTCAAGAACACACACAAAAGTTGAGATTCACAGGACCCAATAGTACGAATTAGACACCATTTAAATAAAAACAGTGGAAGGCTATCGGTGTTTAATAGTTATTCCCTTTTTAGTAAATCTTTGGCACACCAATGGCAGGCCAACCACCTGGGAAATACTTAAAATTGCCATGTAAATTCTACTGTTCCTTTGCAGACACAATGCCTACTCTCATGCATCTGCAAAGCCTTAAGTGTGATGAACAGTTTTCCTGATACTCTACAACTCGTAGTAGGATTTGTCTACAGTAACACTCCAAACATGCTTTTAGCAGGCTCAACCTACATGGGACTTAATTAGCTGATCAATACATTATTTGGGGCAGAGACAGCATATTCTTTATTTGTTTCTATGTCTGGGCTTAACCTCTTAATATAAATTTTAAAATCTCTGTGCTAAATATTCAAAACAACTAAATGTTGACTTCTATAAATTATGAATCACTAGACTAGATAAGATGTGACATGAGAGGGAATTTATCTTAAAGAGGTGATCAGACAACCATAGATCCCACATTTAATAAAATATATGGATATTTTATGTAAACATAGAAATCCACCATTTAGCAATTAAATTTCTGAGACTATATAAAAAAAGTTTTTCAGCATTTTGACAAATATTTACAGCCCCCTACAGTGATGATGGTGCCTGATGTGCCTTGGTGTTGCCAGTGTAATTTGTCAAATCATTTTGTAGTGGTTTGATAACATTCCTGGACCTGCTTAGCGCCCACAACCACATACCCTACTTCCAGAGTTCTTCTGCAACTGAATCCGGTTAGTTTTAACAAGCTTAGTGTCGCTCTCATAGGCTGGTTGAGAGTGTCATTTGATGATGAGATGCAGTGTAGGTGTACTCAGGTATGTTGTCAAACTGAAAATGGTTTTGAAAAATGGGATTAAGCCAGGGCACGTCTGGCAACATGACCATTAATCATGCAGCCGTGGCAATTAATTTATTTTCTGTTATGGTGGGAATCTAGGGTTTTAAATAGGAGAAAAGTAGGTTGGTCAAATGGAATTGGTTTGGATATCATCTTAGTTGTGTCCACTTTCTGGGGGGGGGGGTTACAGTTTAGAACAGGCCCACCATCATACATGAAGATAATACTTTGAAAATGTGGAAATTATCTCATAAAATTACCAAAACAGCATGCAAAGCAAGTTATAAACTCACGTGAGTCTGTTTCTGTCTTGGCCTTTGATAGCACAACTTGATACAAAACAAGTTCCAACTGAACTTTGAATAGGCTCCTGTCTTGATGCAGATTTAAATAAACTAATTTTAAAAACATGTTGTGCTCTCAATTTACTTTCATGAACATTTCTTTCTAGAGTGCAAACTGTGGATTTGAACAGCGACAAGTTGTCGTTGTTGAGCTGGTCGGAGAGGAGCCAAATGAAGTTGGACGTGTGCGTGAACAGCAACTTTCACACGACCTCATCGAACAGATAAGGTAATTATCTTGTGCAATAAGAGGATTGCTAATATAGTTTTTGGGATGTACGAAGACACATATTTCAAATAAGTAAATAGAATTTCTACTTAACAATCACTGTGCACACTACTGCGAACACTATGGAAAGCAGATGCAGTTAATATTAAGCTAGTGATGCTAAGGCTCTTAGGTTTCCCAAAATCACAAGGTTAGGCAACCTTTGGCACCCCAGATACTGTGCACTACATCTTCCACATCTCTTACAACCATGTTGGCAAAGCATCAGGGGAGATGTAGTTCAAAACTCTGGAGTACCGAAAGTTGCCTAACCCTGTAATAGAGCTTTTCCATTAAGTGATCTGTAGAGTATATCAGCATTATTTTGTTGCCATGTTGGTCTTTTTTGCATCAGTTAACACGTTTGATATATTTGGGTTTTTTTGTGTTGGGAGGTAGGTGCAATTTGTAATGCTCACTATATGTTATTTTTCAACAGACAAGCTCTTCACATGACCCGATCATACTTCAATATGGTCCTTCTTGATAAATATGGCGTAGATCGGGAACGCTACAGGGATCCCATTGGGTCTGATGAGATCTTCACATATATTGATACCTATTTACTGAGCTCCCAGGAGATGACTCAGCTGGAGGCTAAAAGAGAAAACTGTGAATAGTAAATAATAAAGCCATTCTGTATATACCATGTATGCTTACGATAGGTAAACGTATGGGACAATGATTGGCTAGATTCCACGAGTAACTATGTTTGAACATTAGCGCGATAAAACCAATGGCCGATGCACTGGAGGGGAAATCTATTCAATGAAAGTTGTCCTTAAGTGTCTTCCGAGGTCTAGGACAGAGGTAGGCAACGTTCGGCACTCCAGATGTGATTACAGCCATAATGCTGGCAAAGCATTCGGGTAGCTGTAGTCCACAACATGTGGAGTGCCGATGTTTGCCTACCTCTGGTCTAGGGTTTTCCTTTTTCATAACCCACCTGTTGATTAATTAAACTTCCACAGAGAGCTATTGATCATGATGAGGTGGCTTCCTGGTTCGTCTACCCATTTTCTACCCCATGGTCTAGAAATCTCTAAACAGCCAATCAGAAACTTTAGAACTAAGCTGCTTGGGGGAAGGCTACGAAAATCAAGAACAGTTGTTGGACTTATTGAAATACAATTTATAAGTATTTATTGATAATAAAAAGTATATTGTTGTTATTTAAAATAAATAAATAAACACAGACCTTGGGTAAAATAGGATGTATTTGACAAATATTTAATAACACTGATTTATATTAGTTTTAAATTCATTATTTTGTAATTATTTTTTTTCCTGTCTAAAAATCAGACAGGTTTTTTGTTATTTCAAACTATGCATATTGACTTAAACATTACTTACCAGAACACACACAAAACGTACATTCTAGTGATCATACTTGGAATCCTTGGAAGTGAAAGGGTTAAAACATTTACTTTAACCCCTTGAGTGACAGCCTTGTAATGTTTAAAATGCTGTCTCACATGGTGTGAGTTTTAAGAGGTTTCCTCGTCCACCCTGCGATTTTAGCAGGGATTGGATGAAAATACCTTGTACCCTAACAGTCAAACAAACTGAACCACCAAAGTGCAAATTGCACTGTAATCAGATGTTTTATAAACTTTTTGTTATAGGAGATCTGAGTCTGACACATACAGCAGGCCCACAGATTCTTTTTTTAGATTAATCTCTTGTAGTTTTTGGAGATCTTTAATTGTACAGAAACAAGTCTGAAATTGTCCCTGTATGGTCTTCAAGCATCTTTCTTCCCCTCTCTTCCTGAGCTTTCCAGCCAGCAGCATCTCAGGCTGTGAGATTTAAGTAATATCTAGCTGCTATAGTGATAACACTCCCTGATCTCAATATATTACAGGTGAGAATACTAGTGTGTGATCTAAGTGATTGCAAGCTACTACTGTGTGACTGCTACTCTTCTATATCAGTGAGAAGAAGAGGTTGTGCTTGCTCAGTGTAATAATGCAGATAGCATACCTCCCAAGTGTCCCTATTTAGGAGTGACAGTCCCTATTTTGGGCACCTATCTCTCTGTCCCTATTTTCTGGGATCTCCATATTGTTGGTGTGCCTGAGTGTATAACAGAGTTCCACAGCAATAATACTCCCAATAATGTGCCTGAGTGTATAACAGAGCTCCACAGCAATAATACTCACAATAATGTGCCTGAGTGTATAACAGAGCTTCACAGCAATAATACTCACACTAATGTGCCCGAGTGTATAACAGAGCTCCACAGCAATAATACTCCCAATAATGTGCCTGAGTGTATAACAGAGCTTCACAGCAATAATACTCCCAGTAATGTGTCTGAGTGTATAACAGAGCTTCACAGCAATAATACTCCCAATAATGTGCCTGAGTGTATAACAGAGCTTCACAGCAATAATACTCCCAATAATGTGCCCGAGTGTATAACAGAGCTCCACAGCAATAATACTCCCAATAATGTGCCTGAGTGTATAACAGAGCTTCACAGCAATAATACTCCCAATAATGTGCCTGAGTGTATAACAGAGCTCCACAGCAATAATACTCACACTAATGTGTCCTTGAGCTGCAATTAATGCGTTTAGAATTCAGTCTGTAAATATAACATACATTGTTCTTTTTCTAAATTACATTTTAGTTGCATAAAAATTGTTATTAGTAAGTCACCTAAAATTTCTCAGAAAAGCCCACACACCCAAAAAACATCACTTGTTTAGAAAGATGAGATAGTCATATAACTGGTTACACGACTATTTGTGACCTGACATATCTGCAGCTAACGTAGTCTGCGGAAACAGTAATTGTGACCAAGAAATGTCAAAGAAAAGTCCCCTCCTCCTTTCCACCCCCTACCAAAAAAATGTCACCTTAGTAACAGATGTGGTAGGACTATAACAAAAAAAATGCACATTTACTTCCTGACACATCTTGCACTGTTTAGCACCAAATATGCAATCCCGAAATGCCTTTGGTAAGCAATTTTAGGGAGTATCCCATAACTGGCCTGCACAATCCAATAATAAAAAACAAAACAAAACAAAAACATGTTTGTTTAGTGTTTTCATCTCAGTAACTGCGATTGCTCATACACACCCAGTATACTAGATTTTTGTTTAAAAACAATTAAGCATTTTTGTGACAACCATGCTCTTACCAAATAAATAAAAAAATTCCTGGCATTTGTGGGATTCCAAAACTGGAACACAATATTTTTTATTTTATTTTTTATGACATTTTTATCCACATTCCTTGTACACATTTTATTTTCAGACAAATTTTAGAAATTTATTTCCCTCTGTTTGTTATATACTATTCCTTCTAAATTACTATTTATGCAGATTTATATAATATCAAGTGAAAGTCGTATCTGTTCTTTTAATAGCAGCATGTAGGTTTCATTGGGTAACAATATGACAAAACTTACCTTGTCTATGGTAGAAAAAAAAAAGTCTAAATAAGTCATTATGACAAACGAAGGGTTAAACTAGCTTTATTCCAAAATACTGTTATTCAAATAAAAAAAAAAACCAAAAAAACACTGCTAAAATTGCTGTGTATCTACAAAAATTTCATTATATGTTACACAGTTTCCCTGGTGGTCTAGTGGTTAGGATTCGGCGCTCTCACCGCCGCGGCCCGGGTTCGATTCCCGGTCAGGGAACATCATTTTTTTTTTTCACAATTGGAGCTCTCCTTGATGTGCATTTTTTTTTTTTTTTAAAACATCTAATGACTTGTACCACCACGCATTTTGTAAATGTAATCCTGTCTGCTTTTCCTTATAGAAATTGGGCAATGAGTTTGGTTTATTTAAGAGCTCCTAAGTACTATTACTTTAAACGTCTACTTAATGACAGGCTCAACTCTCTGCTTGTGGCTTATATAGAGATTATTTTCAGTGGTTGCAAAAGCTATTTACTGTTTCTCTTTACAGACTGAATGCAGGAAAACCCTGTCTGGCTTGTGCTCTGCTCATTACATCATTGTGGGCAGCCTAAACTAAACCTTTCCATGACTTACCCTTGGCAGGCACATTTTGGTTAAATATTGTCTGTGCATTTTTCCAAAAAGTAAAGAGAAAAGTCACAGCAATCTGTTCCACAAGAATTAATGCTTTTTCCAGAAGCGATAAAATACTTTTATGATCTCTAGAGATGACACTGGCTCTACAGCTGCTACAATATCCCTCACTCCCGCCCCCCCCCCCAAAAATAATAATAATAAATAACAAAAATTACATTTGAAACTTATGTACACACACAAATGCACTGTACAGCCAATATCCTTTTGTCTGTTTTGCCACCTTAGATAATTTGTTCCCATTCTTCTATTTGAATAAATGTCTGACTTTCGCTATGTGTTGATTGCCTTCAGTGTGAGGATTAAGTTGAACTGGCAAAGACATGTATGTCTGTTGACCCAAGTTTTGCACATACTGAGTCATCCTCATTCTTAGACATACATAGGACAGACTTTATAATCTTAGTGTCTCTGCAGTCGGAGACACTTTAAAGGGATTCTATAGTGTAAGATATACAAAGGATTATAAACCCTTTTTGTACTCACCCGATTCCAGCGCCGATCTCCCTCAGTGCTGGGCTGGCACTCCGCCCCCTCTGATAAGGAGGGGGGGCTAATGCGCATGCGTGTCGAGCACTTTTAGCCCTCCCCATAGGAAAGCATTTCTTTAATGCGGTCCTATGGGCATTTGACAGACGCTGGATGTCCTCATGCAGAACTTGGGAGGCAGTGGTGTATCCTGGTTTTGCCCCACTACCCCCCCCCCAGGAGCCGCGCGCATTCAGCTAGTCCATAGGAAAGCATTCTCAATGCTTTCCTATGGATGCTGGCGTCTTCTCACTGTGATTTTCACAGTGAGAAATGCGGAAGCCCTCTAGCGGCTGTCAGTGAGACAGCCACTAGAGGCTGGATTAACCCTAAAATAAATATAGCAGTTTCTCCCCTTAAGGACCAAACTTCTGGAATAAAAGGGAATCATGACATGTCACACGTCATGTGTCCTTAAGGGGTTAAAGTGGGAAGGGGAGTGGGGTGGCAAACACAGGGGTACACCCCGGGTACCAAATGCTCTAGGTACAACAATGGTTGTGGCTCTAGGTGCAGTTTAAAAACAGCTTGGCAAAAAAAAGACATCACTCACAGTCTCTTTGTTCGATAACCACCAACCTGAAGTGGGTATGTCCCTTAGAGTGTTCCTTTAAAAAGATCCTTAGGTCTTTGTCAGTGGTTGTCCAACCTTTGTCAGTGGTTGTCCAGTCACTATGTATTAGCAACATTTAGCTAAGTAACCTAGGTACATAGCCAATTCCACTACTTTATGCATGTGGGATCATGGTGGATTAACAGAGGCGGGAAAAAAAGGAAAAGAAAGGGAGAATAGGGTAGGATGAAAGAGGGAATGGTGCAAGTCCTACTTAGGAAAATATCTATAACCTAAAAAAAGCAAATTGAAAAAAAATTAAAAAAAATTAAAAAGGGACTGTGCTACCTCTGTTGTATGGATACCCTCAGAGTACAGGGAATAGGATACTCTACGACGACGAGGCGGGTCAAGGGGTGGACCTAGAATCGCCATGGCAACTAGTTTTCTCAATTGCAAATAAATATAGCAAAAAGAAGTTCTGATAAAATAAAGGAGATTCAATTCAATAAAAGTAATTAAAATAAGTCACTTTGGTTACCGCAACAAGCTATAGATTATACACATATATATGAGTATCATTTAATTGTTCAACTAATGAACACTGAAGGCTCACCCACATGGGATGGGATAAGAAACAGCCATTAAATACAGAGAACCTTTACCTGCAACTTTGTCTCGGTTATAAAGCCTAGCACAGGCGAAACGCGTTTGAACAGAGTTGCTATTCAAAAGGACACCTTTGTCACCCTGTCTTACCGACAAGAAACAACTAATGTTGAACATTTAACAAATTGTAAGTTTATTATATAATTTTCTATGGTTGGCCATCCTTTTTTATGCACCACATGAGAAAGTCTGCTATTTTGTGGAGAAAGTTATTTTAATTCTATATATGTTGTTATTTAGAGCATAGTTTGTTGTAGAGTATCATATTCCCTATAATCAGAGGGTATCCCTACCATAGAGATAGTGCTGTGCTTTTATATTCATTATTGAATTCCATTACTTTAGCCTAGACAGGCATATTATTGCCAAGCCAACGTTTGCTAAATAAAACTCATTGATCACACAAACTCTGTTCTACACAAAAAAAATAACAAAATATTCAGTTTTGAAACGAAATACAAGTTTAAATTCCACTAATATGTAAGTCTGGAAAATCAATCTCCTTTAAACTTGGGCTAAACACTTTAAAATGCAAATGTCTCCCCTTTGATTAAGAACCAACTCATACCAGCAACACAAATTAAAAAAAACATGTGTTTATTTTTCATTTAATCTAGAACATCACACAGTTATGGATTCCTCCATATTGTTTATTAAAGCCGGACTTTGTTTACCAAAGCACTTAAAAACTATTTTTGTTCAACCAATACCATTATTCTTAACCAGCCATGAGCCTTGACAATTTTGGAAAGAGAGTTCACTGAAAGCTGAATAATCAAAAACTAGTCTGCCTTACCATAGACAGATACATAATCTTAAGACATCAGTTAAATGATCATGCACAAACATTGTATAGAGGAAGTATGGAAGATAAATGGTTGGGCGTTCTCAAGTGTTATTTAAATCACATCTGTCACATTGAGCAAGGTTTGATCTGCATGAAACCCAATTTAAATGACATATTAAAAAAAAAAGCTAAGCAGGTGGATCATTAAAGATATCATCAAATTAGAAGGATAGACTTGTATGTGGAACCTACATATGGGGTTGGGACGCGGCAATACAAGATAGTCCCAACAATTAAAGGACAGTATAGTCACCAGAACCACTACAGCGTAATGTACTGGTTCTATGGTCTATAACTGGTCCCTGCAAGCTTTTCAATGTAAACGCTGCCTTTTCAGACAAAAGGCAGTATTTACATTGCTGCCTAGTAACACCTCTAGTGGCAGTCAATAGAGATGTGTCCTATATTTTCACAGCGGGGATGCGAAACCTAAACAGCTACTTGAGCACTATAATGTTAGGAATAGAGGTTTGTGTTCCTAACACTAAAAAGTGTTCCTTTAAGTAAACATGGAATTTTTAATGCCAGATAGATGTCCAAACAGGTTATCATCTCCAGGTCACTCGACTAGATAACATGTTTAAAATTACCTGTCAGGACTGTCATTAAATAAGAAACCTGCCATTAACTCGCTATCAATAGTTTAACGAAGCATCGAAAATGGGGTAAAGGCTGGGACGCCAACTACTGTAGATTATGGTTCCATTAATGCTTAAACAATCAGTAGGATGCAGTGCACATCAGCTGGACTGCAAGATCTTGCCTAACCTGATCAGGTCTTTGTGGTCCATTCAGGTAATCGCAGTGTGAGCTGGAGATAACCAACACAGCAAAGAACTTAAAGGAACCGGACGAATGATAGAACGTAGGTCTAGATGATAAATTGGGTCATATCAATGTATTGGAAATGTTGTGTTCTTAGTTTGTACTAGGTGTTAAAAGCATCAAGGTATGGCAAATCTGGATTTAATTAAAAATATAGGCTTCGGTTTGTAAGTTTATATATAAATAAAGTAGTCATATTTTGTTCTTCTACTGGAAGATCCATATCGAGAGAATTAATGTTTTTCAAGGTGTTCATTAGCAGCAGACATGATGAGGGAAAATTAAAAATTCACAAAACAAATATTCTTGTCTAACTTGTGAAGGGGAGATGATAAACTCATTGCGTGATAGCTTGATTATTTTTGGCCTTCTGGATTCTATCACTCAATGAATTAAACTTAAAGGGACACTGTAGGCACTGTATCTGCTTCATTTCATTAAGCTGATTATAGTATCCAGAGTTCCCAAGTTCCATAACTTCATTCAGCATTAAACAGTTTTTCATATTTTTATGTTTCAAGGCTAAATTAGAGTCCCCAGCAGCCCCTCCCCTCTGTGCTGCTTCGGTGAATGAGGAAGTAGAATGAGGAAGCAGCAATGGGCAGCTATGATTGGCTGAAAGTGTCAGCTGTCTGTTTTTAGCCTATCAGAGCTCCAACTAATGGTATGAAGGGTATGACTACAGGGAAGTGTGTAATCTCTGCCTTGGCCACACCTCTAGAAGAGGCTGGACTGTGGGTGGCCTTGATCCCTTATTTAGTGTTAAACTGCTCTAAAACGGTTTAACATTGTATGGAGAGACAGTGGCAGGAGATTCCAGGAATCATAACCAATTCAAAGAGATTAAATTATTATAGTGAGTACAGTGTCCCTTCAATACAGAACTAGTGTAATAGTAACCAGTGACTTATTGCACATAACGCACATTAAAAAAAAATAAACAGACAAAAACAACAAAATATGTACACTTCTGTTTAGCGACATAAAATATATATTTATGTTTTTCTTCCCAATTGTATTATTAATGTACACTGATCTAAAATATGTAGATCAATGGAAAAATATTAAAAGTTTGTCTTGGTTATAAATTTGATGAACACAATGTCACGGGTATGTCCCAGGTGCTCACTGGTTCACTCTGGCCATAGTAGGACGAAGTGTCAATGTGCCCTCAGCCCAGGAACCAGGATACTGTCTCATAGTCTTCCAGAGATTCAGCTCCTCTCCAGTGGAATCCATCCAATCAACAGGTTGCCCATTGAATAAGCCTGTAAAGAAACCACAATTGGTTTTATGGTCACAAGAAGTCATACTGCATTATAGGGTGTAACCATCAAATGCACCTTCCCATCGCTAAAATTATAGGTTTAAAATTAAGCTGATATAAGAACAAATCCTTTAGTTAAACATGATTTACAATAATCGTTTGGACCATAGCCCTTTAATTCAGGAGATCAGATCTACTTTTCAGAAACTGTTTGTATAAATGTCTGGACCTGCCCATTAACAGAACTCTCCAGCCAAGCATGAAATACACTTTACATAATAAGCCCATGAGAAAATCTGGTTATAATTTCCTAGAACAGCTTCAAGACTCACCACCTATTTATTGTTGTTTTCAAAGCTTAGTTAGGCAAAGGGTTTTAAAGTATACACTTGTGTCTGGACATGTGCCTCTTCAGAAAATGTGTGTATCACAGTAAAAATTTTATATGTAAATCCAAAAGCAAAAGGGGTAAAAACCTGTCTAGTTCATGCACTTTGTTAATCTTTTGGAAAAGAAAAAAAAAAATAGATGATCGATTTATAGAGGAAAGTCACTAAGTGTTGATTTTTTTATTAACAGATCAAGTGAATAGTGTCCAATAGAGGAGGGAAAAATAGAGAAGCCGTAAATAAAAAAATAAAATAAAATATTATATATATATATATATATATATATATATATATATATATATATAATATCTCATATTTGTAATTATTCACACACTTTTGGTTCCACTGATTCAATTCCCAAATCAATTTTCCAGTAATAAAATTCTGCAAAGTCCCATATGGCCAAAATGCAGGCATCCCAAAAAACTTTCTATTTTCAGGAAAAATTGTTGGACCAAGCAAACTTTTTTAATTGTACACAAGTCTACTGGTTACGAAGCCTTACTCACCGCTGCCATTGCTCAGTCTCACTCCCCCTAAGAACTCGTTGCTAGATAGAGGCTCCCGGTCCCACACGCTCAGCTCAAGACACATGTTTTGTAGGTCCTCTGGCTTGATCCCACTGTACACAATAGTGTGATTATAATGAGGATTAAGGGTTTTCTTCACAATAGGGGTCTTTCTTTTTGTGTTCTTATTTCGAAGGGGTAGCAGGTATCTGCATCAAAAAAGAGAGAGGGTGGTTCATTCATTTAAATCCCTATATAAGTAAATACTGTTATTTACAGTTTCTTTTGGAACTATTCTTTAAAAAAACAAAACATCATGGAACCATGCAATTAAGTTAAATAGGCACCATCAATTCATTATATGTAGACATAGTTTTGAGTTAAAGGAACACTATTGTCACCTAAACAACTTTAGTTTAATGAAGCAGTTTTAGTGTATAGGTCATGCTTCTGATGTTTCACTGCTCAATTCACTGCCATTTATGAGTTAAATCACTTTGTTTCTGCTTATGCAGCCCTGGTCATACCTCCCCTGGATCTGAGTGACACAGCCTCCATAAAAACAAAAAAAAATGGTTTCACTTTCAATCAGATGTAACTTAAGTTAAACAATTTTATCTCCTGCTCTGTAAATTGAACAAATGTAACTTTAATTTCACACAGGAGGCTCTTGCAGGGTCTAGCAAGTTATTAACATAGCAGGGGATGATAAAATCTAAATTAAACAGAACCTGTAATAAAGGAAGGATAAACATTAGATGACTCTTTACAGGAAGTTTTTAGGAAGGCTGTGCAAGTCACATGCAGGGAGGTGTGACTATGGTACATAAACAAACTGATTTAACTCCTAAATGGCAGAGAATTGAGCAGTGAGACTGCAGGGGCATGATCGATACACCAAAATGGTTTAATTAAGCTTAAGTTGTTTTAGTGACTATAGTGTCCCTTTAAGCTGTACAACAATGCATTTGCATTCATAAACTGAAATATACAATAGAACCATGGTAACCTACCCCTTGACAAAGCTGTCCGATGTTCCTCCTGGTTTGACAGCCGTCAAATTTTTGGCTTCCTTAATCCAGACGTGAAGTTCTCCACCATCGCTTCCTTTAGCTGGTGAGAAAAGAAATTATAATGAGAACCAACTAATAGTGCTCCAGACACACTTCTCTAATTAAAGGATAAGAACATAATAAAGTTTCAACAATCAGTAAAACCATTTCCAGTAGTTGTTAAGGGATCCTTAACTAAATCCTGGGTTTAAGCAACCCGAGAACAGTGGTTTCCACTTAAGCCATTCTGAGCCCCCCCCCCCCCAATAAATGTGTGATGCCGCAAATTCATTACTCCTGGCAGTAATGAATCAACATTTTAATAAAAGTTTTGAAAAATCATCTTTAGCCAGAATGCTAGGTTTTCTCAATTTAACGAATAAACTTGTCGTTCATATTGTTAAAGTATTTGTCCAATTTTGTATCACCCTGAAAATATGGTCTAAGAGTGCGGAAAATAATTACTCTAGGTACCTAGACAACTGCCAAGTATTTGAGTGACATCCTGAGGTCTAGATGGTATTATCAAAGTTTATTTTAGGCTTAGTTTATTGCATTTAAGCGATAACTGAAGGTACCAAGGTTTTACTCGAAGCAGAAAACGATTAAGATCCCACAGTGTCTACGTATTTGACCAATTTGGGTCTCCCTTCATTCTTCACAATGATATGATGAATGGGGCACAAGAAAATTGCCCCCAGCAATTATTTCAGCCAGCCTATTTTGTGCTTCCTCTGTTGTCTGGAAACACAAAATGGAGGCAGACACATGTGGCTGTGGCATTGGGGGATGGGACCATTCTCTGCCCATATCTTGATGACATGTTATTTTCCACTACAAGTAAATGGATAGTAAATTCTAGTACCACCACAGTTTAATGCTTGCGCTTTGTGCTTGCAATCTCAGCAATGTAGTAAAAAAAAAAAAAAAAAGTTACCAAGGACACCTCTACCAGCTGTCTCTCAGACTTCCCATTGCAGTCCTTCAAATTTTGTAGCACCGATGTTTCACATTTCTGAAAATGCAATCTGCTCACCAATGCATTACATTAAACTAATGCATCTCTATGATTAGATTGCAATTCCTGCACAGTAGATCCCCCCAACCCCCAATTGCTTTCTTGTCACGGATGAAGTCAGCCAGGGGTGGAGCGGTAGTCATGGCAAGGTATATAAAGGTAAGTAAATACTGTATTTAACTTTTGGAAGCATGTGTGGTGGGTGGAGGCACGCGAACAATAACTTTTTAAATACATGCTTGTCTTTCCAATGTTAAGTGTATTCCTTTTTATTAATTATATTATAATCCTGCCCCAGTGACCTAGATGCTCAGCACAGTACTCCCATATACTGGTATTGGAGAACACAGATTGACTGAAATCTAATCATTTAATTGTGTATACTGTGGTCTGCAGCATCCCTGAAGTTCCTGGGTTTACCATTTGAAAGAAAAAAAAATGTTGTTTGTTTATTTGAATTTTGGCATTTTAATGCAAAATGTATTATCTACAAAATCTTTATTAAAATATGAGGTCAACTACAGTATAATTTAACATTTCATTACATTTACCACTGGCAACTTCTTAAACTCGCCCATCATCAGGATCTCGCTTCTTCTCTAGATTACCTTGATTTCTATGCCTTTGGCCAGTGCCTTTATTCAGTTCACTACAGCCACTTGTCCCTTTCAATTAATGCTCTGTATCTACATGTTAACCTACTTTTTCTCCTCTCGCTTCCACTTGAGACTTTTGAAGGCGGAATGTACTTCAAAGAGACGACCAATTCCCCTTTGTCGTTAGAGAAATTTGCATCCGCATTTCCCTAGATGGAAGACAGAACTATTAGGAGACAGGGATAATAAAACAGAATAGAATAAAATTGAAGAGAGAAAAAGAATTGCTAAAAAGACATGTTGGCTTCAAATCCATTCTATCAGGTGGAAATGGTCTGGTTTTGGACGATAATGTTTTTTTTTTTTTTTAATTTCAGCTGGATTTAATACCAGCCATACAACTAGTAGCTTAGGCTGATAAATAGGCCTTTTTAATGGCTAACCCTGTTGGTCACTAAAAAATAAATGAAATAAAAGCCTATGGGGGTCAGTATGACTCCCACATTAGTACAAGGGAGATTTAACATTTCTGCTAGTGGCTGCTCAATGTACTAAAAGACAAGTGACACGGCAGCTAAACACAGCAGGTAAGGGCTTTATTAATAAAAAATAATATAAGGGGCTTATGCCCCCCCATTCATTGGTGGCAGGCGGGGTGTACAATTAAAGATATAAGTTATGTTCCCCTAGTCCATAAGCCCCTAGCCAACTCCCCCAATAATAATGCTCTGATCAAATTAAAGTGTTCTGACAAACAAGTCTCATTTATCTCGAGACTTGCCATGGGAATTTTCCCACGCAATTCTAGAAATAAGCGAGACCTGTGTGACAGAGCACTCTGACTTAAATTGCATAGCGTGGGAAAGAGCTTTTCTCACTATGCAAGCTCCGTTTGCACAGAGCCCTTGATAAGTCAGGTTGGATTTGTTTTTGGGTGTTGCGTTTTTTTCCCGGTCATTTTTTTGTGATATAGCCCAAAAACCAAAAACAAAAAAAACAACCCATGAAGTTCTAATGTAACTTTTTTTTTTTGTAGATATACCATTCAAACTATTTTTGTCTGCTCGTAAGTCTGGTAGGGTTTGTGGTTTGTTTGTACAATGCGTGAGGTTGTATAACTACAGACTTCAATGAGTTGGCACTGTATTGTTTGTATGTCCATGTCTTTATATTAAATGGACTGGATATTTATGTGAATGTACATGATTTTTTTTTTCTGTTGATAAATAAAAAAAAACCAAAAAAAAAAAAAACAACTAAATAAAAAGCTGCTTTGACGCCACTCTCAGGTGTTCTCACTGGGCATATGGAAACTGAAAGATGTCTGTGGTTGAAGGGTTCCATTAAGCTTGAAAAAGTTACAGTTCCATCTTGGTTTGAATTTCCCCACTAATTTGAAGTTTGTGAGTTTACAAACTACAGTAAATATCAGAGTTTGAGGATAGTGTGTGAGTTTATTTTCAGGAGTACAGGTTGAAGGATAGGCATACATTACAAGAGCCCTGGATTCTATGGTAAAGTCTTGATTTGGGGGTTCTGCCCAACTATACTGGGTTTGCTCCCTGATGCCTCACTTTTGGGCACACCAGAGAAATGTGCCCCAATAAGTGCAGAGAGAAAGCATTATTAGATGTGGTTGCAGTGCGGAACCGGAGATCAAGGCCTACAGCCCCTTTAAAAGCACACCAACAGCACTCTGCTTACAAGTAGCCCTGAGAACGGATAGCAAGAGTTGCTGTGTGAAATTGTCTTTTTCCGAGGAGGCTCGTCCCTCGTTGTGTCACTGCTTGCTCCACCCTCTGCCCCTCAGTCGTCACGTCCAGTATTGGTAGATATGTATAAGTTCTAAACACATAGCCCAATCAGAGCCTCACCTTTCCATGCAGAGGAAGACATTCATCTGTCACACCGTCAAAGTTCCAGCAGTCCATGGGAAGGTTCACCTCCCCAAGGAATGTGTTTCTCCCAAATCTATCATGGTGCCAGACTGAGAGCTGCAGGGTTCTCATAAGCAGAGTAGATTCAGGTACGGAGTACTATGGAAGAAGAACATGAAACGTATGACCTTCCATAGTTAGGGCAAAACATGTTTATTATGCAAATACATTACATAATGTCATGCATCATCACATTTCCTTAGAACACACATTGTCGTACCACATTGGGATAAGCATAAATATGTCTGAGCCCCCAGATTACCTGCAACGTTTCATCAAACAAAGGATTTGTTGTGCTGCGTTTAATTGTGGTTTTGCGTTTTCCTTGGCGAGATTTGTCAGGCAGAAGATAAGACTTGACGTATCTACAGGGAGACATAACAAGGTTATTGTTTCATATTTTCGTGAAACTAAAAAAGAGTGAAAATAAGCCAGACACATTGCAGCAGTCCTGTAACTCAATCTTGCATACCTAAAGTGCATTTTGGTCTTCATGTATAATATAGCACTTTTATGCAGGGATGTTTCCTGAACAACTGTCTGAAGATAAGCCGTAAAGCAGAAACATAGTACTCCCTAACTTGATAGTAATATAGTTTTAACATATGTTATGGCTCTTCGGCCTCAGCAAGAATCAAGGAACAAGGGCATATATTTTAGAAAATATTTCAGTTATTCACTGAAGTCTGAATGCAGTCTTTGATTTAGTCAAAATAAATTAATTTCAAGTATATTTTTCATTTAAAAATTGACAATCTGGTTGAATTTACCACTAACACAAGAGTGACACACTGCACGTTGTTTTTTTTTTTTTTCCCCATGTACTTTTTGAGCTTAATGAATTAAGTGTCTTTCTGGAATAGATCCAAAAGAACAAGTGACTGTATGACTGTCATTTATCATCAGTATCCACATTATTTTTGCTTCAAGGGAAAGGGAATCTTACAGAGAATTATTGGCATGTTTTACAATTCTGCTATGCAATGCGTGTGAAAAGGCTACATATCCTTGGCTGTCCACTCCAGGATCACAAATATATTTAGTATCTCTAAACTTGTATTATACTCGTGGATCTCACAGATAAATTGTGCTGAATGTATAGGAATACCAAAGGGGTAATGTATTTTAAGACTGCCCTTATGAAGACAAAAGGGATATATACACATTATATATATATATATATATATATATATATATATATACACACACACACACATACATACATACACACACACACACACAAACTATAGACATACATACACATACGGATATATATATATATATATATATATATATATGTAAAGGATAAAGGATCCACCCACACACTAATCTTAGAGAAATATAAAATTCTTTATATACTTTATGACAAGGATGCCCACCCTTTTGCCAGAGGATTCTTGGAAATTTTGTCTAACAACAGCTGGACAGCTGATTAATTACTGTCACTTACGGATTGGACCTCCTCTTTATATCATCCCCGTAGGCCAAGTTCCGGCATTCTTTCACATGAATGGTGAAGATCTGTACTTTAGCATCATATTTTAGGGAGAACATTATCTCTCCGGTTATGACCACGTTGCCAAAGTCGCCAGCCTCACTATAAATGCTCATCATGCTTCCCAACGTGCTCTGTAAAAGTAGTAATTGCAGGAATTGAAATGGGGGGAGGGTGGGGCAGGGGGGAACCAAAAAACACACAACAGAATATTTTTCTATTCTCCTTTCCGATTTTGGGCTCTCAAATTGCAATATGACCATGTGCAATCTTATTAGAATGTCCATAAAAAAATTATGTTAATAGCTTCATGGTGCGATGTACTTTAGTTACAATGACATAAGGACCTCAAGAACTTTGCAACATGAGGTTCCGGTGGCATGTGGAAACGGAGGCTTCCAATAGGCTAATTGAAAATTTTCAAATCCATTCATTTGCTCCATACACCACCTTAGAACTCTAGCAAGGCTATTACAATTGGATACAATTAATGTGGCATTCTTACTGTGGACGTCCCACTGCGTAAACTGCTTCTAGAAGTTGTCATGCGATGAATTTCCACCAGGTTATCAATATCTTCATCTTCTTCTTCCTACGTGAGATGGACAAGATGAGCCAGTAAAATCTCAACAATTTCAATATTACTTTAATTAGCCTATTTCCTGCTCCAAGAGTCTTATAAATTAAAGCAACAACAAGAGAGACTCCCATTAGGTTGGTGGTGACGGTTGGTGGTCTGGTTTATAAATAAACAATTTATTTTAAGTAGCTACAGATTAGTTTTTTCTTCTAACGTGTAATTTTTATTGACGGAAAGATTTAGTTTTTTTTACAACACAAGATTAAAGCATAAACATTACACACACGTTCACTGGTAAGACCTCACTTGGAGTATTATACGCAGTACTGGAGACCGTATCTTCAGAATGATATTGATACCTTAGAGAGGGTTCAGAGAAGGGCTACTAAACTGGTTCATGGATTGCGGGATAAAACTTACCAGGAAAGGTTAAAGGATCTTAACATGTATAGCTTGGAGGAAAGACGAGACAGGGGGGATATGATAGAAACATTTAAATATATAAAGGGAATCAAGACAGTAAAGGAGGATACTATATTTAAAAGAAGAAAAACTACCACAACAAGAGGACATAGTCTTAAATTAGAGGGACAAAGGTTTAAAAATAATATCAGGAAGTATTACTTTACTGAGAGGATAGTGGATGCATGGAATAGCCTTCCAGCTGAAGTGGTAGAGGTTAACACAGTGAAGGAGTTGAAGCATGCGTGGGACAGGCAATAGGCTATCCTAGATATAAGATAAGACCAGGGACTAACAAAAGTATTTAGAAAATTGGGCAGGATAGATGGGTCGAATGGTTCTTATTTGCCGTCACATTCTATGTTTCACATAAGAATACACAAATGAACAGTGTAGCATTTGGTTATATTAGAAGAGATGCGATTAAGGTGGTATTCATTTACAGTACTGAAAAATTAGTAGCTACAGATTTTATATAACAATTAAAAAAAAGAAAAAAAAAAACCTTTGCAAAATATTGTCTTTCATGAATTAGTAAACGGTCACGTTTTGCTAAGAGTTTACAAAAAAAGTTAGAGCACTGTAATGATTTTCCACTACATATAAACACTAGTCATAACTCTGTAAAATAATGACAATCCCTCTCCTGCAAGGGAATTAATTCATACCATTTTACCAAACTTTACATTTAAGAAAATACTGAAAGACAATAAAATGTATAGCTCACAGTCGATAATTAAGACGTGTAGTAAATTTAAGAGGCTAAAGTTCACTGCAAGAAACCAGACATCACTTCAACGGTTTCTATTAATAATAATGGGGAAACAATTTACTTTTTTTGCTGACAAAAAAAAAAAAAACACAGATTCTATATGTATTCTAGAAAAAGATTTAAAAAAAAATTAAAAAGTAAAACTAAAAAATTAGCTCAAGTGGTAATGAATGAGGTATAAAGAGAAGAGTTAGAATTGACATAAGCTCCACCCCAGAAAAAAAATTATAGCTGTGCAAGAGTAAGACATCTTAACAATACATGTAAAATGTAATGAATTAGTAATAATCTTAATAGCAGGTCACACAAAAAAACCATAAAAACCGAAACGCATAGTAATGCAGCAATATATTTGTTTCTTGATCTATATAAGGGAGTGAAGTCACACTCACACTTACAAAATTACTCAGTGTTTTAAAAGAATTTGCAATGGCAAATTAATCCTAACCTGTTTACACAAATAAACCACCCTTTTTGGAGCAATGAATGAATAATGCATATGTAACTACACCTTCATCATCCTTCATTACTTCTACATTGCTTACACGTTTCACCTTTGCTTTTTTTAATCCATCAATCTTTACATCTATCTATTACAAACACACACGCATATCCACAGGTGTGCATTATTTTGCCAAGTTTTGGAGCCCTCACTAGCTCTTAAAAGTGTGAGTGCATTATTCCATTCCAGTCATATTAAAGAAATTCCTAATACTATAGTGCCTGTGCGGCTGTTTAGGTTTCTGGCCCCCGTGAGCTCGCTCTGAAAAAGTGATTTTACTCACATTTTTTCCTGCACTAGTCTCTGTAGCTGAGATCATCAATTTTTATGATCTCAGGCTAACCAATGTTTTCCCATAGAAAAGCATTGCGAGGCTATTGCTTATGCGTGTCAAAACATCATGCTGCTCCAGTCAACATCCCTTATAGAGATGCCTTGAATCAATACGTCTCTATGGGGAACGTTCAGTGTTTCCATGCAGTGTGTGGAGAAGCTAAACGCCAGTGCTGCACACTGTGCGGCACTAACACAGGAAGCATCTCTAGTGAGTGACTGCTACTAGAAGAGTTACTAGGCACAAATGTAAACACGGCCTTTTCTCTGAAAAGGCAGGGTTTAGAATGAAAAATCTGCAGGGACAGGCTATATACACTAGTACCACTGCATTAAGCTGTAGTTGTTCAGGTGACTATAGTGTCCCTTTAATTACAGACTATGTGCATGTATGAAGCGGACCGATGAGCTTCAGTACTTTAAAAACTGACAAGGTATTTTGTACTAGAAACAAGTTTGTCACTTTTTGAACCTCATGCTTCAGTATTGGTCATAATTCAAAAGATGTTCAACAGTTGTGTTACACCTGGCACAACTCAGGCACAGTGTATTAACTCATACATGATATTAACACCAATCTTTTACTATAACAATCACTTCAACTTCAGGTTTAAAACATATTTTACAGTTCTATGTAGCAGCAATATTGGTATTTAAAAGATGACTATGTCATTGTGATGTCTGTGATTACACTGGTTGTGAAGCCTTTCAAAATGGAAGGCCTTAAGGAGAAGTGCATCTAGTGACGGTCTTTTTGACAGATGCTAGAGGTGTGTTCTCGAAAAAATAAAAAAATTAATGTTTTACACTATCAGAAAAAGGGACAGCATCTAAGCAACAAATCCACTACATAGAGATGTAGTGTATTTGGTGTTGAGTGTCCCTTTAAGGGGGTTAAACTAGTACATGCATGGGGTCATCAGATCTACTGAATTTATTATGACATAAGGATTAATAGCTGCAATGGACTGACATAACACATACTGTTTCCACGTTAAGCCCAGGTACAGATTTGCTTCGATCTACCAAAGTGCTTTCTGCAGGTGGAGCCTCTCCGGGACGCAAATCTATCACGGATTTACTGTAATCTGAAAAAAAAACAAAAAAAACAGCACTTTAACACATCTATAATTTTGGGATATTTAAATTATTCTAGAAAAAATAAATAATATTTGAATAAAAAAAAATATATATATACAAGTGAGGACAGAGGATAGTTTGCTATGAAAGGGTATTTGCACAATACCTGAAGGCTTTAAAACTTTGCGAGGATTCTTCTTAAATAATGCATCACTTTCATCTGCAGATCCAGCGCTCCGGTTTCCTAGACGGATCTCCTTAAAATACACAGAGATTTTGTGAAACAATTAAGTACACAACAAGAAAAAAATGATACCAAGGAAAATGTGCTAGAAATCACACTCGACAAATGTGGTTATTGCTTATATATACACACACGTATATAGGTCATTCAAAATTTCTGCCTATATAGAACTAGATGATACATCCTACTTGTCCATCACCCATTCTGAAAGCACAAGACCTTTTTCAAATAACTGTGCAGGTCACAGAGGTCTGAACTAACTTGAGAAAAGGCTATAGATGAAATCTGTACAGAAGGTTACACAAAACAGTACAAAAATATTATAGAGTTTATTCTAAAAAATATTTTATTTTAAACAACCATAAAATAATTTTTATATAATAATTCAACATACGCTACACCGATGTACAACAAAAAAAATAAAGCACACCAAAGTGACAAAAGAGAAAAAGAGGTCAAATGGCATTGTGCTCCCTAATGTATTGAATCTTCCAAAAATATAAACTTAAAAAAATAATAATCAAGTGTATTCATATTTGTGAATTAAAATGTAAGCCACATTGTCTACAAAACCTGAAATTCTTTGTTCACATATATAAACTTTAACATGATCTTTGATGTCCAAGAATGTACAAACTGATAAAGAAACCTACTCCTTCAGAGTCAGACTGGTGACGATCTCGGGATCTCCCCGGAACAGTCAGGGTAGCTACATTCGCCCCACTAGTTTTCTTTGGCTCCTGTAGGGTTCCCGTCTTTTCCAGTGAATTTTTCCTAAAAAAATTATTACAAACAATCAATGAACCAACAAAAAATAGGAAATTGCTCTGTAAATGAGGTGGGAAAGCATATTGGTGGAATTTGTCAAAATCTGTGTAAAGCCACACAGAGAAAGGGTAGTATTTTATCCCAGCAATATAAAGCTTCATTATTCACTAACCTATTCAGAACTATACAAGTCACATGTAAATATATATATTATTGTAAACACATAGGTAGAGCGAAAACAAATTTTACAGTTCGATTAAATTATATTGAAGGATCACAAGGAATGCATCTCAGCTGCAGATTGGAATAACATTCCACACCTCTAGACACTTATTCTTGCCTAAAGAAAAATGTTATTTATTGAAGATGACACAGGCGGAGCATAAGTTACCAAAGGGTAGGGTAGGGTACCAGTGAGCCATGAAAAGTTTGCACCCCTGTACACATTAAATAGAAACAAATTACAACGATCTAAAACACAGTGGCTGATAATCTCCTCATGGGTATTGATGCATATAGAATAAATAAGGGGAATGGAGCTGACACGACACGTTGATACAATAAAAGTAGAATTTGTGGTATGTACAACATAGCCCTGTAAAAGTTTCTGGAGTACAATATTAAATGTATGCCTGCACTGATGCACGTAAATAAGATTGTGAAGAATTTTACATTTTAATCACGGTCAGAATTGTTAGCAAATGTACAGACTATTTTTTTTTTGTGGGTTTTTCAAATGTATTTTTTTTTTGAGGGGACAGGGTTCAGAGACAGGTTAGTACACAGCCAGGGCAGAGGATTGGCTGCCTCCCCTGACACAGCTACAGCCACGGGGAATCCAAATACGGTGTTGACCTCTGGGGCCAGTAAAATTCAGATTAAATACTTGGCAGAGTGTTTCTCTGGATTAAAAGTAGATTTTTTTTGTCAATAATATAGTGTTTTGTCCTCTGATAAGCTTAGTGATATACGCTCCAACCATGTACGACTGTCGTGGTTACATATGATTTGTTTAAAAAAAAACAAAAAAAATCCCCATCTAAAAATTAAAATGTAGCCCCTAGCTCATGTGTCCATTCTTGGCAGGGGAATCCTTCTACAATTGTACTATTTTTCATTTTACATTCATATTCAGGCATTATGTACCCTTTAAAAGTATCACCCCCATGCACCATAATCACTACAGCTGGTTGTAGTCGTTCTAGTACCAGGAGTGGTAAATGTCATTTAGAAAGCAGTTTTAGAACGGTGACTGTATTCAGCGGATATTTCAGGACCACACTCATGTCACTCAGTCAATGAGTGTGCCTTGTTTATCTAAGCCTAGATTAGCTAAACTGCTTAGCTAGAGCTAGACTGCCATGGGCACACGGCAGTACCTACATAAGTTATCAGAGCATTCTAAAATTTAAAATTACACTGGGATGGCTTCAGGACACTCCTGGCACAATAACCACTACCTCGGTTATGGTGCTTGGTGTGTCCCTGTAAGCAAGCAATATTTTAACAATTTGGCTTTTAAACACCTTATACATTGTGAATGCAGTTCAATATTACATACACACTTTAATGCACATACATATACCACATGATCTGTTATTTTTGGAACACAGATGAGGTTTTTAAACCTCATATTTCACAATTTACATATCATTCTGTAAATTGCTGAGTTTCCAAAAAACTAAAAAATCAGTCACTAACTGAAAACTGACCAGCTCATAATTTCTAAATCTGAGGGTCAAAAAAATAAATAGATCAGTTTTTAAATTCTTAGCACTCTATTTGGCATGATGTAATTGATATAAAACTTTTCATGGGAAAGAGATTGCTTTACAACGAATATTCTCATTGAAAAAAAGAGGTGGACTCACCTTGAAGTGGATGGAGTACTTTTCTTGGAGTCAATTTTGTAACTATTCAGACTCATCTGCTCTGTGGATTCAGTATCACTTCTCTGGTCCCTGAGATCTGGAGAACTGGTCACCATGCTACGTAGCAAACAGAAAATGGGGATCGTTTGTTAAAGGAATAGAAAGGAATACCAAATATTGCTTTCCACGTCTTTTCAGTAGAAAGAGTAAGGACAATTGAAGTTGAACTCTAAGCACCAAAACAACTTTAGCTTAATGAAGTGATTCTGGTGTCTAGGTCATGTCATGTAGTTTAACTACTCATTTCAACAATAGGATGGTTAAGTATAATACATCAGATCATAAACACGTTTGGCTAATAGCCAAGCTTAAATGTGGAGTATTAATCAGATGTTACAAATAGATTATTTAAAACTAAAAAGATTAATTGAAAAAATGTTGGGCTTACATCCCATGCATATAAATGGGATAGTTGGTCAGTGGGTAAGTGTAAGTGGATCCACATGGAAAGGCAGTATCGCAGAGTCATGTGGCAAAATAGGCCTCTGAGCGGCATCCATCCTGAAAAAGTACGCCTCAGTATGGTAGCCTTGCAGAATCATGAAAGTCTTTCAGTAGAGGCTTGGTCAACACCCCAGTGGGTACTGCGATATCACTCACTTTTCTAGACGGGGATAAACAGGGACACATGCGTCCACAGACCGCGGAGAAGATGAAATCAGGTAGTATTCTATGAATCCAGCCCAATGCCCATCAGGCTCTGAGGTTGCTATTACCTGGTAATTACCTGATAGATAGGGCAGCTTATCTGTTAAAAATAGATTGTTTTTGCTAGATGAAATGCTTAGTGTCAGGATTTTTCCTCCTGAAGCACCACTACATGCACCGGTCTCAATTGACTGCCAGTCCCCTTTATAATAGTGTACAGAACTGCGGAATAAGTTGTTGCTATATAAATGCCAATGCTTATACCTCAGCAGCATGTTGTGGGAGAACCAGTTCATAAACTTTTACCAAAACCTGTTGCAAAAAAAGCCACACTCTTCGTACAGATATAAAAGCTATTTAAATTAACATTGGTTTTCAGGCAATGCAAAGGGCAATTATTATAATCCCAGTACTGCATTGACATGTTTATAGGCCTAAATATTATTTGTCTTGGCAAGGTTGTGTAACTGAAATCTGATAAAAGTGGTATTATTGTTGTACTTTCAGTTCCCAAGGTAATATTTATAAAACAATGCCACAAATAGAAATATTTATGAGGGACTTATTACATCAGAAACTAGGATAATGCTAAAAATAATAATGAATTTTTTGTTAGAAGAAAACATAACTGATCTTTCTCCCAGTCTGTATCAGTCACATCTAAAGCCTCTATTAACATCTGTCATAGAGAACAAGAAGGTTATGTTCCCACAACCCCACCTGTTCATTAAAGGGACACTATAGTCACCAGACCCACTACAGCTGGATGTAGTGGTTCTGGTGTCTATACCCTGTCCCTGCACACTTTACAATGTAAATGCTACCTTTTCAGAGAAAAGACAGTGTTTACATTTGTGCCTAGTGGCAGATCCTTAGACGGCCACTAGCGGTGCTTCCTGTGTCAGTGTTGCACAGTGTGCAGAACGGGTTTTCCATGTCTCCACACTCTGCATGGAGGTGCACTGATTCAATAAATCTCTATGAGGACATGCTGATTGGCGCAGTGCTGCGTTTTTCTGCGCATGCGCAATAGCCTCCCAATGCTTTCCTCTGGGAAGGTGTTAACTTTGCTGAGATCATCAAGACCTAAACAGCCACACAGGCACTATAGTGTCAGAAGACATGTTTATATTCCTGACACTGTAGTGTTCCTTTAAAAAAAATAAATAAAAATAAAAATTAAAAAAGTTAACCTCTTGCTGTATCACTTTAAATTCATTTTAATGTGCAGCTGCGCTTTGGCAACACCAGGGCCCTTTTAGACTCTCTGTAACACTCTCCACAATCATGTTTCTGCTAGGTTCCACAGCCTGTTTCCAGTCATGTAATTGCAGCAGGAACATGTGCACCGCATTAATTACCATATATAATTTGAAATATGGAGGGACATACTGTACAAAAAGAGGCATGTCTTGGAAGGGCTATTATGTTTTGCTTTTGGGTGAAGCCTGTGGCATTTTGTGGAGGTAGCAAGGCTTCTCTTGGGCAGTTTCTTGCTTGGATGTACATTTGCCCAAGGCCTTGCCAGAAGCACACAATTTAGATTTACCCAGAAGCCTTTTTTCGCTCTTGAGGACTCCGTGGTATCTTCTTTGCTTTGGGTTCATTGACCTGTTGTGAATGCTCAAAGATGGTTTGTGCTGTGGTCTCTCTTTTGTTGCCTATATAAAAGAAAGAAAAAAAAAAAAGAAAAAAGAAAAAGCCGAAAACAAACAAAGAAAGAAAAAACTCATTCTGTCTAATAACTAAACTATAAATAACAGATTTACTTGTATACAATGTGGAGGAAGAGAGAGGGTATCTCAGTGGCGCAAATCATATTATGATTATAAATGACAGCAGGTACACCTGAGAAGGGGACGCAAGCCTTGGGTTGCAAGCAGCACTTGTCATCAGCCACCCAGGTTACAGATATGGACCAGGATAACTGCACATATTTTCAAAAAAGCAGTTTATGGAAAGTCAAAAATGTTGTGCTTTTTGTTACTTTATTTTACCGACATAAAATACATTACTGTGAAGACATTGATTGCAAGGCTTCATTTTCCTCACTCAATAGTTTCATGTGTTTTATGCACCAAACTGTGATCAGTAACATGCTTGCAAAATTCATCACAAGTAAAAAAATGAAACAGATTAAGACAAAAATTGGACTAAATCGACACCAGGAGTATCTCAGAATGACTTGTGTCAGCATTCTTTCATACTGAAACCTTCAGAGACATGTATTCCGCTATTAAAAACCTTTACAATACAAATAAGATTGTGTCACAAGGCGTTTGTATGAAATCTTCTAACTAATGTGGTTAATGGTGAATGCATAGCCAGAGCCCATGTAAATGTAGAAATATATAACAAGGAACGTGAACCCTCTACAAAGGATGTCCCAAGCAAAGAAAGGCAGGCTTTGGGTGCAGGGGAATCCCTGGTATTTGTCAAATGCTTGATAATGGAAGGATCTCACCCAACAAGGTTTTAAACCATAAACACTTCAGTAATCTGTAGTGGTCATGGTGCTTGAAATGTCCCTTTAAACAGATTTGCTATATTTTAAAGGAATCATTGCCAAGGAGATCGAGCTCTTTCTGTCCACATTTCAAACGCACCATTTTTAGAGACATTCGAGCAATACGACAAAAGTATCAAATACCTGGTGGTTTCCGTCTGAGAGAAATCCTCACTAAATCACTCCCGAGACGGTTTGCAAAACGATTCACTCTTTGGTCATAAAACCAATCTCCTGTTGACTTTTTAAGTTCCCTTTAAAAAAAAAAATACACAATACAAAAAAATTAAAAACTTGTATGTGGTCCGTACATGAATAAAGTATCACAAAATTCCAAGTGAGACACCACATGTTCTGGGTGTATAGTGAGACAATGTGAAGTGACAACTTTATTTAGACTTGTGCTGACAAACAATTAGCAGATAATAGCTTATTCTGCCACTGTGAAGATAGCATGGTGAAAAAAAAAACAAAAAAAAAACCACTTTGTTGAGCAGCCACTTCCTGAATTGTAGATAAGAAAGTAAAGTTTCATGATCTAGCACGGGGACCCTTACTATGCAGGGAGACATGTACGAATGATCAATTCAACAAACACCTTGAATGAATATAAAAATGTATGTAGACAAAAATAAAATAAAAAATAGATTTTTCCCATTTTTAAATAATGACTGAGAAAAATCTTCTAGTAAGTATATAAAACTATATATATATATATATAAAATATTCGTAACGGGTAGGTTCCCTCAAAGATTAAAACCAATTGGACATGGTTAGATACAAGAACTCACGCTTCTTTTAAGCAGACATTGCACTTCCAGCTTCCGCTGGCAGAATCCATTCGGCAGTCTTTACAAACCAGGTGGTTGCAGCTCCGACAAACATTGGCCCTGGGGACAGCTCGGGCCACGTTCTGCTGACAGCGGCCACAGGTCCGATCACTATAGCGCTGGCTCCCCCTTTTTGCCCCTTTTCTACGTATATCTTGAAGTTCAACCTTCAAGCGCCTTTTAGAAAGGAAAAACAAAAGTAACCATTTTTAGAGCTCTAATGTTTGAACATGAGAAACATGTGAATAACTCATCATTTAAAAAAAAAAAAAACGGTATGAAAGCACTGATGGCATATGAAAAATCAGCCTTACCTAATTCGTCTCTCTTCTGCTTTTCGGAGTTCCTCATCTCTATGAAGTACCTGCAAAATTAGGTCTCTCTCACTGTCTGACAAAAAAGAGAGGTTGACGATTTCGGTGCTTTGTGTCATGGTCGCTTCACAAAGTCACAACTTGCCACACGCATGTGAAAAAAACCTCTAAAAAAAAAAAAAAAGAGAGAATGTTGAAAATGTTTAAAAAAAAAAAAAAATGAAAATAACACATGATCATTCATATTCAACATATTCAAAGGTAAAGCGTCATTAAAGGACCACTATATACTCATTCTACATACTCGTTTTCCTGGTACTATAGTGCCCTGAGGGTGCCCCCACCCTCAGGGTCCCCCTCCCGCCGGGCTCTTGGGAGAGGAAGGGGTTAAAATCTTAACTTTCTCCAGCGCCGGGCGGGAGCTCTCCTCCACCTCTCCTCCCTCTTCGACTGAATGCGTATGCGCGGCAGGAGCTGCGCGTACGCATTCAGCCAGTCTCATAGGAAAGCATTCATAATCCTATGGACGCTGGCGTCTTCTCACTGTGATTTTTACAGTCAATCAGATAGCCACTAGAGGCTTTAGAGGCCGGATTAACTCATTTATAAACATAGCAGTTTCTCTGAAACTGCTATGTTTATAAAAAATGGGTTAACCCTAGCTGGACCTGGCACCCAGACCCCTTCATTAAGCTTAAGTGGTCTGGGTGCCTAGAGTGGTCCTTTAAAGGCACCAAAACCAGTCCAGCTTAAAGGAATACAAAGCTGTGTTCCTAATACTGTAGTGTACCTCTGCAACCCTGCCTCTGTGGCAATAAAAAGGTTAAAAACCCTTATAAAAACTCACCTTACTCCAGAGCGTTGGTTCCTCTTCCGATGTCAGCAACGAGGGTGAACCTAATGCTCTTGCATGGTGAGTCCATTAGGCCTTTCCCATAGAAAAGCACTCAATCCTTTTCTATGGGGGATTTAAAGCCTCTGGACATCCTCATGCACAGTGTGGTGATGCCCAGCGTTGTTTCTTGGAGTTAAACATGGTGATACAGCAGGAAGCACCTCTAGTGGCTGTCTGGGAGACAACCACTAGAGGCAACCCAACATGTTTTACATTGCAGGGTTATAGGAACAGGACACTGGCCCCAGACCTATTCAATGAGATGAAGTGGTCTGGTTGCCTATACTTTCCCTTTAAGGTAGTGGTTCTGAGACATACAGCATGTCCCTAGAGCAAGATTAAGCTTCCATGGCCCCGGCAGGTTACCAGTTTGGATCTCACACCTTTATTCCTCGCACAGGGATGTTAATGGGGTAAAGAAAATTCATAGTTTTGGGGCCCCTGTCTAACCCCTGGCAATCGCCTAGAGTCGCGTTATTGTTAATCCTGCTTTGACTGTTCAAGACCGAATTTCCTATTAGGTGCTTGAACAGTGGGGTATGTGATTTCAGCACTTCTAATGTGCCTTTTTGAGCTTAAGTGGGCTGGTGGTTTGAGATAAGTACCGGTACCAGGATCATTGGCTAGTGTCCTCTGTAGCCCAGTCAGCCTTAAAGGACCACTATAGTGTCAGGAAAACAAACCCGTTTTCCTGACACTATATAATCCTTAGATCCCCCCCACCATCAGAGCCCCCCTCCCGTTGGGCGGAAGGGGATAAAACCCCATCAGCTACTTACCTTTACCCAAAGCCGGGCTGCCTCGGCGATGGTGACTTCTCCTCCCCCTCCTACATTAGCTCCCGAGTGGAGCCGAAAGCGCATGCGCGGCCAGAGCCACGCACACATTACAAACGCCCATAGGAAAGCATTTCTCAATGCTTTCCTATGGACGTTCTGCGTGCTCAATGCGATTTTCGATTGAGCGTTGGGGAAGCGTCTCTAGCGGCTGTCAGGAAGACAGCCACTAGAGGCTGGATTGACCATACAATGTAAACATAGCAGTTTCTCTGAAACTGCTATGTTTACAGCTGCAGGGTTAATACCTGAGGGGACCTGGCACCCACACCACTTCATTGAACTGAAGTGGTCTGGGTGACTATTGTGGTCCTTTAACAGAGGAGCTGCAGCAACAGTTATAGAAAGTGTAAAAAACTCAGTGCTGTCCCAGCTCCTCCAGGGTCTCTGTCTGTGAGGCTGGACAGGAATAGGAAGAGATCACTTCCCATCTACACACACTAACAGCCTCAAACACAGGTAGTGCCTTGCTGTAGGAGTAGGGGAAGCGCTTAGTGATGCACACTGTATAACCTCTCCTGCAGCTCTATTGTCAATCTGACTGGCCAACAGAAGACATAGGAGAGTGAGTAAGTTGTAAATAACTATTCAACCCCCACAAGGCCTAAATATCCCCTTACCCTAACCCTGAATTTAACCCCTGCCAAAACCTAAACACATTACTTATTCCCAAATTGAAACACTCAAAGCCTAAACCTGAAAATGAACCCTTTACTTTAATCCTATGTTTAACTAAACAGCTCATGTAAATGAATACTCAATTTAATCCACCTGTAGTCCTAAACTCAACAATCCTAAAATACATTATGTATAAATTGGACCCCACTCTAAACGGAAACTCAGAAATCCTAAACAGCCCCTGCATGTCTAAAAAAACTTTTTTTTAAATACAAAAATAAGTACCCCTGCCTCGCGAAAGTAATTTCTATTGATTTAAATTACAAATGAAAGGTGTAGACTGATTAAAAGGTAGTAAAGGATATGTTTTAAATAAATATGACACAATGTGAATATTGTGTATGTAGGGAGGAGTGTGTGAACTCTTAATCTGAGGTATAAAAGTCACAAAATGACAATAAAATACACACATAATAGTTACACACAGAGGACACTGAAACACACACTCACTGATTTGACACATTCACGGACACACACTCTTAGTGGTTTGAAACACACATTCTCTCTCACACACACACACACACACGATATAAACATCCTATGTAATCGAACTCTCATGCTAATCCTTTTCTAACCTTACACCCTCCTTTACCCTAACCACTTCTTCAATATCTTTAACCCTTCATGTATTTACACACTCACTATACTCACAGATTCAAACACAATACAGTACAAGCAGCAATACGCACATCCATACATATGCAGTTGTTTAAACATTAAAAAAAATGTTTTTTAGGCTTGCAGTGTCCAGTTAATATATCCATTATATTTAGTTTATCTACCTTTTTTGAGTTGGGGAGCCAGGTGCTCCTTCGAATTTCGTGCCTACGGGCCCCTGATATGTAAATCTAGCCCTGCAGGCTAAAGCGACCTTTGCCGTCATTCCGACAGTAACTAGAGGAACTTCCTGGATTTGGTCCAGCAAAGATTGTAGGAACAATGCTCACCACCCGTAGAGATGCATTGACTCATGGAAATGTGCTGTGCATGTACACTAACCTCCCAATACTTTGAAGGGGGGAGGGGGGAAAGGGGTTATGTTTATCTCTTCTTTTTTTTAATGCAAATTCTTAAATTATTTTTTTCCAGTAAGACTAATATGACATTCTATTTCCATTCCCCACAGGTCACATATTGGTGAAAATCCTTGAAAACAGTATTCTGGCAAGTACTTTTATTTCTTGTAATAGGAAAACCTAAATTTCCTAATTTTGATGCTTGGATATGCATTTTAAGAAAGCAAATCATCATTGAAATGTCAGGAAAATAACAAAATACCCCTCAACCCACTCACATATATATATATATATTATATACACACACACACACATTCTTCTACATTGCAGATTTGCAATTTGGCACTCAAGGGGTTAATACGAGCTCATACAACAAACATGGAAAAACCGTTCTTTGTTCTTATTTGCATGGAAAATGTAAATGTAACAAGTATTTATTCCCAGGAGATATACAATAAGCTTTAGAGTCGACATCAAACACATAATTTCTTACCCCTCTTTACAAGGGTGTATCTGTGTCTAGTGACACAAAATCCTGAAAATCCAGAGTCTTAGCTATACACCTATTACACAGTGTGCAGTTGTGCTTTGAGGATGCAATATGTATAGATTCTTGCATGGTTATAGAAAAATTTGAGCCACTTACCCCACCCCCTCCCTTTACCAAGATAGCATGCATCAGACCATAAACATTTGTACAACATATACACTACATACCACGCTATCAGGGCCAGTGCAAGGATTTTTGTGTGTCCCCCCCCCAATTTCTTTCTTTTGTGTGAATGCATGGGTGCCTCTGCAATGTTCGTGTGCATGGGTGTATTGGTGTGGAGTCTCAGACCATGGAGAAAGAGCAAATACTGACATTATAAAAGTACAGAAACTATACGTGTTTTTATGGAGAAAATAACTGATGCATTGCAGACATTTTATGAGGATTCTGTTCCGTGCAGTAGGCAAAGTATATAAAAACACAGTACAAAAGTCATAGGCGCTATATAACCAATAACGTGATTGTGATTGCCATAAATACTGTTATAAGAGTAATGGGTGGGTCCAACTCATAAAGGGGTGTCGTCACAACCCCCAGCCTTCAGGAACACGCAGGGAATGCTGCTGAAACACTCACTGCATGGTCCTAGTGCCCGCTGCAATAGAGCAATATGCAATTTCTTTTTTTTATATTTCCCGATTATTTGACTCAAGACTACAAGAATCATAATACATATAGTTCTGAGACGACTTCAGAGGAATACTTCAATAAACTCTTCAATTTACTCAGCTGGATAGTATGTATGGGACTTATGTGTTCAGGTTAAGGTATAACTCAAAAATACCTTATGAAAAGTGCTTACAAACAACTTTCATTATCATGTTTGAGAAAACAAATGGTTGTCATCCCAGCAACCACAACAGCTCACATATGGGAATTTATTAAAGGGGAATTAGCTCAAATGGTAGAGCGCTCGCTTAGCATGTGAGAGGTAGCGGGATCGATGCCCGCATTCTCCAGATTTTTTTTTTTTTTAATGCTTTTAAATTTTTTATTACAGAAAAAATAGGTAACGATACTCTGCAGAAATTTTTCCTGCGGTCAAAAGAGCAGTCTATGTTTGTCAAGTCTTAATGCTTTTGCGTTGCCTTGTACCATGTAGCATGCAAAGTGTTCAATGAAAGCATTTTTGCTTTGGGATTATGCTTTTGTTGAATTGCTTTCCTTTATGCGGTGTGTGCATGTTACATGTTGCAGTATTGCTGCAGAGGTAAGTTAAAAGCAATTGCAAGACAGAAACAGGCGCTACTCTAGGGAAACTGTGCTACACTTTAATGAACATTCTATTAATTTCCATGGTGATTGCCCATAATTTCACACAGTCTCAGAATAGGAATTGTTTTTCCCTTAATAAACTCCTCACCGTAATGTCCCATCTGCACAGAAATTACATTGTTGTACATGCAAGTTATTTCGCAAAAGTGCAGCACAGACAAGCGCCATATTAGTTATTTGGAACTCCAGCAGGGCACTGTAGTGGTTATGGTGCCCTCCCCAACGTAAGGAATCAAACCATTTGAGAACAGTTTGACTGGGGTCTGCCTGGAGCCTCTTGCAGCCTCCACCCCAGCCTAGAGAGAGCTGTCGGAATTAAATCTGGCACTTGAAGGTCTTAACTCATTGGCTGACAGAGAGAGATCAAAAGATTTTTTTCTTTACAGGAATGTGTATTTTCTTCTTTATATTTTCCCATTTAGTTAACTCAAGACTGAAACAATCTGACTGCTTACAGTTCTGAGATGACTTCAGAGTAATAATTTCACATTAGAAAAGGTTTATTTTGTCAGTTTACTGAACTGGATAGTATGTATGGGACTGCGGTAAGTGATTTGTTTAGTTCATTGTATAACACTACATTGTAGCAAAAACTTGCAAAACCTTATAGGGAAGAAAATGCTTACAAGTAACGTTACTGAAGGGACTCTATAAGCACCAAGACCATGTCATTTCAATAGAGTTGTCTGGGAGCAGTGTCCCTGCCCCCTTAAGCCTGTAAAGTAAAACAGTCAATAGAGGCGCTTCCTGCAGTTTCACTTTTGAAGGCCATAAAACAACGCTGGACGTCCTCACACTTTGCAAGAAGCATAGTGTTCCTTTAGCATGGCTGATGGAACATTGGGGCTGTCTGACAGGAAGCACAAATATAGGTTTTCATACCAAGGGGAATTAGCTCAAATGGTAGAGCGCTCGCTTAGCATGTGAGAGGTAGCGGGATCGATGCCCGCATTCTCCAGATGTTTTTTTTTCTCTCTCCCATTTTTACAATTAATGGTTTTATTCAGAGAAAAAATTACATATTTATTACGAGCAACAAATATCACAATATTCTACCCATTTCTAAAGGAATATTATACTCCATCAGAATACTTAAAAACATGGGTGAGACCTTCAGCTTCATACACTAAACTGAAATGAAAACCACATTGCAAAAATGCAGGTTACAAAAGTCATGCTGTTATTATAACAGAGTTGGAAAATGTTCCCAAATCAGCACATTTTAACCACAAGTTTGCAATTTTATATTCCGTGTGCTACAATTCAGTGTTTGGTGAATGATCCTTATTGTGTGAGGCCTGAATGGTAACAGATGGCTCCTCTGTATGTCCCCTGCTGTGGCGAAGCCTTGATGGTTCTTCCTAGAATTCATTATAATCCTGTTAGAGAACTGATAATAGGCCCTACTGACAGTGTGCTGGCAATTTGCTCCATATTACAAACAAGGTTACATAATGCTTCCTTAGCAGAATGAATGAATGAACGAACAAATAAATAAAGACAGGATTTGTAAAAAAATAAATGAAAATAAATAAATACAATTAAAATAAAATAAATAAAAATAAGGGTCTGGTTTCTTAAAGGACCATTATAGTGCCAGGAAAACATACTTGTTTTCCTGGCTCTTTAGGGTCCTCGGGTCCCCCTCACCTTCTGGGTCCCCCTCCCGCCGGGCTCTGGAGTGAGGAAGGGGTTAAATTCCTACCTTTTTCCAGCGCCGGGCTCCCTCGGTGCTGGGGAATCATCTCCTTCTTCTGCCGTCATCGGCTGAATGCGCATGCGCAGCAAGAGCCGCACGCGCATTCAGCCAGACTCATAGGAAAGCATTCTCAATGCTTTCCTATGGACGCTGGCGTCTTCTCACTGTGAAAATCACAGTGATAAGCGCGGAAGCGCCTCTAGCGGCTGTCAATGAGACAGCCACTAGAGGCTGGATTAACCTATTTGTAAACATAGCAGTTTCTCTGAAACCGCTATGTTTACAGCAGGCAGGGTTAATCCTAGATGGAACTGACACCCAGCCCACTTCATTGAGCTGAAGTGGTCTGGGTGCCTATAGTGGTCCTTTAAGAAAGAACAAAGCTTAAATGCTTTTAAAACGAATCTGCTGCCTTTAAAGGCAACACAACAAGCGCCATAACCAGTACAGCTCGCTGTAATAGTTGTCCAATATTGCAAGGAGGTCCTGGGGTCCGCTGCGTGCCACTCCTCATCTCCACTACGGACGACGGAGAGCCAGAAGCTGCTAAGCCAGAATTGCCATTAGCTCTTGTGAGCCAAGCAGGCTAGCTCACCGGCTGAGATCTGAGCGATGCAGGGCTTAATCCAGACACAGATATCAGCTCTCAGTCTGAAATAGTGGAAACTAAAAAAACGAGAGCAAAAGGCTAGGTCAGAAATAGATAAGTCTGGAGACTTACTGACCTAAGCCTTATGGGTATTGGAGCAACCCCAATAAAAAAGTAAAGATTAAAATATAAACTTAATAAAACTTTAACAAAAAATTCCTATATGCAAATACACACAGTAAAAGGAAAAAGGGGGGGAGGAGGAGAAGGTGTGCTAAAAGATACTACTGTTATGTAGTACTAGTACCTATGGCACAGGAGGGGGTGGGGAGGGGTGTAGTAATGAAGTAGTCTCAAACGTCCAGAGAACCAAATGGTAATCAAGTTAGCATATCCCCAACTCCCAACACCCAGTGCCAAAGTAGCATCATATCCCCTTCCCCCTAACGCTAGTAGTTTAGCCGAAACTAACTAATAGCTACATATCCAAACATGATAGAGTGAGTTAAAATATATAGCGAGGTGGCTAATCAGGGAGAATAACTAGCTGCAGCATCATCCCCTGTCAGCCCCTGCCACCCTCTGCTCTAAATATCCCGACGCGCGTTTCGCCGAGTACCGGCTCTTCCAAGGGAATATTATTTTAATCCCTCATTCCCTCCCTTTTTATAGCTAGAGTGCATGCAATTGAAAAGTCTTCTCTATGAGAAGCACTTGATTTGAACATGTAAGGGCAGGAATGACATCAGACGGAGGAGTAGAGCATGGCGCTGGAGTTATTGCCCAACGCTGGATTTCAGGTAAATACTATTCTTCAGGTTTTAAAGAGGGGGGGACCTACTTACAAACCTATTAGAGAATTTAAAATAAAATGTGTTCTATAAAGAGTTAGAGTAACCCTTCAACATTTAAAGGTTAGAGATGACATAGCAGAAGAACGTTAAGGCCAAATAGTGCTCCTGATTAGAATTAAGGATTAGCCCTGCTCCACCTAAACTGCATGGTTGGGAAAGGGAGGCTCCTTAGCAAATCAGCACCACCTGGAGCCAAAGATTGCTCACTATGTTCAGTGACCTCTCCTCTACGGTAAGCAGTGCGTTGCCGAAGTAAACACTTACTTAAGATTTTATTCATAGCAACACAGTACAAGGTTTTCTGAAATAAAAGCGGCCTTCATTTGACACAGAAGTCATTTTAAAGCTACAGCAATACTAGTGCTTATGTATTTCCCAAAATTCTAAATTTTCCTGAATTAAATCCGGATGGCAAAATGAAGGAAAAAATACCCAAGCTGTGACTATGACGGAGTTGGAGTATTTTCCCAGATCAGCTCTTTTTTCCCCATTCAGACCTAACTCAGAGCAGAATTAATCATTAAAGGGACACTCCAGGCACCTAGACCACTTCTGCCAATTGGAGTGGTCTGGGTGCCAACTCTCACTACTCTTAACCCTGCAACTTTTTAATAAACTGCAATAATTACATTGCAGGGTTAACCACCTAGCAGACAGCCACTAGAGGGCACTTCCTGAATCATAGCAAAGATTTTCTTTGCTATAGCGTCGCTGGACATCCTCACGCTGTGTGAGGACCTCCAGCGTCGCTCAATTCCCCATGGGAAAGCATTGAAAATCTTTTTCAATGCTTTCCTATAGGGAGACCTAATGCGCATGCGCAGAATTGCCACGCATGCACATTAGGTTTCCTCAGCCGGCGGGCAGGATCAGTCTCGCCCACTGGTTGACGTAATTACTGGGAGGAGCGACACCGACCCGAAACCACCGCCGAGGGACATCGGCGGGGGTCTCAGGTAAGTGACTGAAGGGGTTTTCACCCCTTCAGCTACCAGGGATGGGAGGTAGGAGGGAGAGGGTACCTGCAGTGCCAGGAAAACGGATTGTTTTCCCGGCACTGGAGTTTTCCTTTAAGCAGCCTAGGGCCCAGGGTAAAGATTAGGTTAATGGCCCTAGAATAACGTGGTTCCATTCATCATTCTTATGTGAGAAATAAAGGGGTGGGCCCAAACAAGTACCTGCCTATGGCTTTCTTGGATTGTCATTGCTCCCTCATTTAATTTGTGAAAGCTGATTGTTTTTCGCCAATATTGATGGTATTTCAGTATAGCAAGGGCATCCTTACTCATGCCCACTGTTTGTAGTTGCAAAATGTATCTGCTTAAAAATGTACCCTGCTGGCTTCAGAAACTAGTTATTTACTAAAGCTAAAGTGCGACACCAGGGAATAAAGTCAGGACTGGACTTCAAAATCAGGACTGTCCTGCAGAGATCGGGACAGTTGGGAGGCATGCAATGCTGCATGGGTTAAGGTAATTAATGCAAGCTTTGTGCTTTTAGGTTATCTTCTTATTCATTATTTATTTCTAGACTTGTGAACAGTTTATTTATTTTTTCCATTTTTTTATTAATTTATTTTTTTTTTAAATCAGGTGGTTCATCCAAATCAAATGCCTTTTAATCCACATTCAAATGAATTGATCCGTCTGGGATTTACCTGTGGAGTCTTATTCACGGACTTGATTTAATTTACTTGACATGTCTGCCTGAGTCTGAGAAGGCAGACAGCCATAAAACTGCTGAGAATTACAAGATAGAAAAGCACAACCAAACCTATTTAGCTAACGAGCTGTGCAAAAATAGCAGTGACACCTCCTCTTCAAATAATAAAGATAAGGTAAGCTTTTAGCACCACTAGGCATTACCTGAACCATTCCATTTTAATATGCTTAGGGGCAATACATGGCATTTTTACACTGTAGCATCTTTATGGAGTTTACATCCTGCATGTGGAAAATTAATTTACTAATTTAAGGATCCATCTCAAAATATCGACCATGTTAGTTATTTGGAACTCCAACAGCACACTGTAGTGATCATGGTGCCATGAGAACCCTGGTACTCTTCAATGATGATTTGACTTCTCACATGAAATCTGCTTGGCACCACTCCCCACCTCTTCTGCAGCCTACAAAGTGCCAGAGGTTCTCAGTCTGAGCCAAGTCTGGCGGTGCAGGTCTTAGCTCATAGACTGAGAGAGTCATCAGGTGACACTCTTAGCAAATGAACTAGCCCCACATGGCATGGCTAAGCCAAAGTGAGCTAACAAAGCTACTTGTTTCTGTTGGATGTAGTGAAGGCATTGAGATGCACCAGGTGGGCTCCAGGTATGAAGTCAAAATGTTCCAAAACTGTTTGACTATTGACAAAGGGTTTAGGATGCCTGGTCACTCCTTGCAGCATAACCATTACAGAGTGCTTTAGTGATTATAGCGCTTGCAGTATTCCTTTAAGTCTACATACAATCTACAAGGCAACACGTTTCATGTAAATAAATAATATATATTTATCTATCACAAACCAAAAATGTTATGGTGGGAGAAAAAGGGATTGTAACCCTATAGAGCAAGCGCAGCTTAGTGGAAAAGGGCCTGACAGAGCTAGAAGGCAGACATAGGGGGAAGGTCCCCTGGGATAGGGAGTTGGAATGTTAAGGGGTTGGCCCTTTATAAATAAGCAGCCATTTTAGGATAAGCCAATTTAATTTGCTTACCTGGCCTAATTTGCCCCTCCCTCCCATGTAAAAGGGTCAGGAGTGTTAGCTAGAGAAAGAAAAGTTAGGGCACCAACAGGCTCTGGGTTAGTTTAAATAGAATAGGCTGCTGGTTAAATTTGGTTCAACTGTTCATTATGAACTTTGGTAGGTTTTGAGCTCAGTGGTGGCTCAGAACCTGGTGGGTGGTAGGGGTATCCGGGTATCAGTGGCAGATCCAGAGCCTGATCTCGGGAGGGGCACTTGTAGATTATTTAAAGAAATAATCCAGACACAATAACCACTACAGCTCAGTGTAGCGGTTATGGTGTCAATAGTGCTGGGACCCCCTCCCAGAGTAAGTAGTCAAACCGTTTAAGAACAGTTTGACAACTTACCTGAGGTCTGCTGGGAAATGGGGCTGTAGTAGGTGTAACGGATCGCCTGGCACCCCGACTGGGTACCTCCGTTGAAGGATGCTCCTAGCGCTTCCTGAGGACTCCAAGCACTGCAGCAGACACCAGAACCACCGAACCATATGAATGCTCTCAAGCATTTGAATGTTGTATACAGCTGAATAGGAAAAACCATGCGAATAGGTTTACACTCCTGGCAGTCAAACTGGAACAGCATACAATAAATCCTCCCCCAATAATGAGATGACACTTCACTTTGAGGGTTAAGCAGGAACTGACTGGACTGGCACATACAGCCTCTTTTATTCCCAATCCACAAACTTAGTACTGCCCACAGGGTTTTACAGAACAACCAATAACACGTACAATACACTCAGACACTCCCACACAAAATCCTCCCCTCTGCCTGTGATACAATTACCTTACACAATGGGTAATCTAATTATCACAGACAGAGAAATACAGTTTCATAAAACACATCACAGGGACCCCAAAACATACAATAACTGCATAAAAAATATATCCTTGGAACCGGGGGATCTGGGTGAACCATATCCAAAATTCACCCAGATCCGTTCAGTACTTTGGAAGATACAGTTTAATGCAGATTTTACAGAACATATGCAGGCTATATGAAAAACAATTACTGTATAAGGTGTCCCCTGTTGTATAGTCCAAAACCACTGCACAATGTCTCTGTGCACCAAATACTGGCGAGATGGTACCGTGTTGAAAAGTCCAAACAGTGTCTGTGAGTTAAAATGGCCGCCATCCATTGTTCTCACCATGTGCTTCATCCATTGTTCTCACCATGTGCCTCTGATACAGGAAATGGTGGCCACCCAGTAACTCCACAGTATGTCCCCAGATGGTTCTTAAAGGGCCAGCAGCAGCACAACACAAATCCATTATGCCCAAATCATGTCTTTAAAGGGCAATACATCCCAGGGGCCATAGTCACATGGCAGGAGGCTGACAATCAGTCTTCTCCAATGCCCAGTGGTGAGATCGGTTTCGCCACAGTAGGGCATATGAGCAGTGGTGTGTGTGAGTGGTGCAATGTGTAAGGGGTGCAGTGTGTGTGTGAGTTAGGGCGGCAGTATGTCAGGGGTGCAGTGTATGTGTGGGTCAGTATTTGTGTGTGTGTGAGGATTGCAGTGTATGTGTGAGTGTGGGGCAATGTGTGTGTATGGAGGGGCAGTGTACGTGTACGGCAATGTGCGTGTATGGGGGTAGTGTGTGTGTATGGGGTGCAGTGTATGCGTATGGGGGGCAGTGTGTGTGTGTGAGATTATAAAAAAGCCCCCTACCCTTCTTAACGCACACATTGCCCCCCCCCCACACACACACACACTGCCCCATACATACATATTAAATAAAAAAAATTAAAAAACACATATTATATGAAAATATTACAAATATTAAAAACACCCCCCTACTCTTCTTATATTTTTTTTAAATTTAAATAAAATAAATATTCTTTATGCCCTCCCTTCTTACCTTTACTGGGAGGAGGGGGGGGACATTTCTCGATCCCTGGTGGTCCAGTGGGGAAGTGAACTCTAGCCTGCGCTCCAGGGCTAGAGTTCACTCTCCAGAGATTTGGAGCGTTGCCGTGGTAACTGCGGCAACGCTCCGTGCTTGCGAGAGTAGGACCCGGAGGAGCTGCAGGTAAGAGCTCCCGGGTCCTATCTCCCTCCCTCCCTCCCTCCCCTGCCGGCTGCCAGCAATGTGCCTGCGGACCGGGGAGGGATATCTCTGATCTCCCCTCCGGTCCTTGAAGGCACATTGCAGGGCTGGCCTGGCACTTGGACAATGCCAGCCCTGCATTAACAAAGTGTGGCACTCATATTATGTTTATGATGTTTGTTATTAAGGTTATTTATGGAAAAATATAGGTCATTGCCTTCTGTTTCGGGGACATATGATGTTATATTGTGGGATGGGGCTGTGCAATGACTTTAATTTTGTTATTACCATTAATAAAGCTATGGACATATTGACCCATACATTAGTGTCAGTGTGTTATTGGGTGTAAGTTTGGGGGGTAATTCCACCTGCCCATATGGTGACTATGTGCCGGTCATGAAAACCCCTTCCATCTTAAGTCAGTGGATAGTTAATACTTTGTTAACCCCTTAAGGACGGAGCCAAATGTACACATTGTGAACAAAACAAAATGTAAACAAAACCTGGCATTTGCGCTACATGTCTGTCCAACCGTAATACACCTCTTTCATAGTAAATGCACCCACCCTTATTATATATCATTTTATTCAGGGGAAACAGGGCTTTCATTTAATATCAAATATTTAGCTATGAAACATAATTTAATATGAAAAAAATGGGAGAAAATACGATTTTTTTTGATTTTTTTAGTTCTAAATTGCATTTTAAAGGTCAGTGTCATAATACTCTTTGATTTTACTGCAATAAAATACACATATTTGTATTTAGTAAAGTCTCACGTGTAAGACAGTACCCCCTATGTACAGGTTTTATGGCGTTTTGGGAAGTTACAGGGTCAAATATAGCACGTTACATTTGAAATTGAAATTCGCCAGATTGGTTACGTTGCCTTTGAGACTGTATAGTAGCCCGGGAATGAAATTTACACCCATAATGGCATACCATTTGCAATAGTAGACAACCCAAGGTATTGCAAATGGGGTATGTCCAGTCTTTTTTAGTAGCCATTTGGTCACAAACACTGGCCAAAGTTAGCGTTAGTATTTGTTTGTGTGTGAAAAATGCAAAAAACGCCAATTTTGGCCAGTGTTTGTGACTAAGTGGCTACTAAAAAAGACTGGACATACCCCGTTTGCAATACCTTGGGTTGTCTACTATTGCAAATGGTATGCCATCATAGGGGTAATTTTCATTCTTGGGCTACCATAGGGTCTCAAAGGCAACGTAACCAATCTGGCGAATTTTAATGTGAAAAACTGAAACGCAAGCCTTATATTTGACGCTGTAACTTTTGAAAACACCATAAAACCTGTACATGAGGGTACTGTTGTACTCGGGAGACTTCGCTGAACACAAATATTTGTGTTTCAAAACAGTAAAAAGTATCACAGCAATAATATTGTCCGTGTAATGCTGTTTGTGCGTGAAAAATGCAAAAAACGTCACTTTTACTGGCGATATCATCGTTGTAATACATTTTATTGTTTTGAAACACTAATATTTGTGTTCAGCGAAGTCTCCCGGAGTAGAACAGTACCCCCCATGTACAGGTTTTATGGTGTCTCGGAAAGTTATAGGGTTAAATATAGTGCTAGCAAATTAAATTCCCTTTACTTTCGGCATGGGTTGTCAGGCAGGTCCTGCTAATTGTAATTAATTAAGATACCTAATTATGTAAAAATATTACATAAATATATATGTAGAATTAATATATGTATATATATACGTATGTGTATATATATGTATATATCTATATAATTTTTTTAAAATATTTTTATTTATATATAGGTATATATATAGTGATATATACGTATATATTTATGTATATAGATATATATATTATTTCGTTCTACATGTATTTTGATATATATATATATATATATTAATTTCACAAAACAGTTAGAACGAAATAACACACATCTATATATTTTTTAATTATGTATTTTTAATTATTTTTTTAATTTTATTTTTTAACGTATTTACATTTTTATTTTTTTTATATTATATATGAATATATATATAACAATAATTATATATATATTTAATCAGTATCAGTCTACGTGTAATTTGATATTAATATATATATATAATTATATATATATTAATAGTAAAATACACCTAGACGGTGTATGTGTGTGTATGTATATGTGTATATATATACTTATATCATATATATATATATATATATATATATATATAATATATACATATGATCTAAGTATATATAATTATTTTTTTTTACACCATTAACTTATTTTTATTTTATTTTCAGCCAGCAGGGGGACCACCTGTCATTACAGGCAGCCCCCCTGCCGGCAATACAGAAGCCAGCTATCCCCGGCCATGTGATTGTGGGGTCCTCGCTAGGACCCCACTCTCACATGGCCGGGGGGCTTCAACGAGGACGGATGTGCCGCGGGGGGCTCCCTGGGAGTCCCCCCCACCGCGATCGCCGGCGTGGGACCGCCGGCGACCGGGTAAGTTAACAAAAACCGGAGGGCGTACAATTACGCCCGGCGGCGTTTAGAGCCGCCTATTAGAGGGCGTAATTGTACGTCCTCCGGTTTTAAGGGGTTAAACACATATCTTCACTCACCAGTCAAGCCACAAGACTTGCTTTTCCCACAGAAAGCACAAATTTGCAGTGATGTTACTACCACAAGGGATTCTGGATGGGCATATGCAAATTGGTTCAACAAAAGGAATCCATGTTAAAAATGGAACAATGAGGCAAAAAGGTGATTCTTTGTCTAACTAATTTGCATCTACATGCATACTTATTAAAAAATAAGTGTTCTAATCTTCGAGCACTACAAGTCATCTGGAGACTATTAGTCTCATGAAAGTGATGCTTTTTGGCGTGACCATCAGGCTAATAAGCTTTTTCAGAAAGCATTACTGATCCTTTCTTGGTCCTCTATAGTGATCTCAGAAATGTTACCCATTAAATACTGGGACATAGTATATAGTTCTCTAGAGAAAAATTACTGATCTATTTGGGGGAAGACAAAATATGAGGAGAACCTTAACTGTCCCATCATGAAAATATATAACTTAATTTGCAGATTACATTTGACAGCTGAGAACTCTATGGTTAAAGTATGGCAAACAGTAACAACAATAATAAAAAATAAAAAAGGCACGCCTGACTACAACACAGAAATGTAAGAAAACAGACACCCTGGAATTAGGGAAGGAAAGTAATTTTACTTAAAAGGAACACTATAGGCACCTAAATGACTTTAGTTAAATAAAGCAGTTTTAGTGAATAGATCATTCCCCTGCAATTTCACTGCTCAATTCACTGTCATTTAGGAGTTAAATCACTTTGTTTCTGTTTATGCAGCCCTAGCCATACCTCCCCATGATTGACAGAACCTGCATGAAAAAACAAACAAACAAAAAACTGGTTTCACTTTCAAACAGATGTAATTTACCTTAATTAATTGTATCTCAATCTCTAAATTTAACTTTAATCACATACAGGAGGCTCTTGCAGGGTCTAGCAAGCTATTAACATAGCAGGGGATAAGAGAATCTTAATAAAACAGAACTTGCATTAAAGAAAGCCTAAATAGGGCTCTCTTTACAGGAAGTGTTTATGGAAGGCTGTGCAAGTCACATGCAGGGAGGTGTGACTAGGGTTCATAAACAAAGGGATTAACTCCTAAATGGCAGAGGATTGAGCAGTGAGGCTGCTGGGGCATATTCTATACACAAAAACTGCTTCATTAAGCTAAAGTTGTTTAGGTGACTATAGTGTCCCTGTAACAGAGGTGGAAGTGTATTTGTAATTTATAGAGACATTAATGGCCAGGTATGAGCCCCATGTTCGAATACATTACAAAGATAATGCATTTAAAAACAAAACAAAAAAGTTACACTTCCATTTCTTATTTTGGTGCAAATCCCTAGTGTACATGTGACGCATATCTCTGTAAATGTAATCAATAAAGCCACCCCCAAGTCCCCCTTGTGATGAATTTGTGCATGTCAGGGGGTGTATACCTGGTACACATTATTATTGCACATCATTAGCAAATAAACTAGATTGTCATGGAGTACTTTCCTCTTTTTGGGCAGTTTTGAAATTTGGGCCTCGTCCTAATCTTCTAATAATGAATTCCAAAATGCAGAGAATACATGTTCCACAGCAGAACACTTACAACAATTTACATTACAAAATTGGCAAAATCATTATGTTATTCCAGAAATAATATTGTTGTCAGCCAGAGAAGATAAAAGCAGAACACAAGGTAATTGACCACGGATCCAACTTTTTAAAAAATATGCACTATTTTCTGTCATCAGCATATTTTACCTTGTAACTATACTACAAGGTATATTGTACTACTAAAATAACTTTTTTTAACATTTTGCAATTGACATCAGAAGCCAGCATATTGGCCAACAGTCCTGATTTCGGGCTCCTGTCCCAAACATTGTGCTTGCTCGATGCAGTAGCCTATGGTCCCTTGCTGCAGCATTCCAGGGATCTGTCCACAGCAAGCACAATGTCTAAAGATGCACTTTCACTGAGCTGAAGTCACTAGGACCATGTAGCGAGCTCCTCCGGAGCACTGTGTGCATGGACTGCTCTCTTTGAGTTTCACTGGCATACCCATTTAGGTTCCTCCACCCCTATCCCAAGTTCCCATTGTTGGTAGGTATTGTTTGAACAGTTAAAACGATAAGTAGAGAAATAGGAGACAAATATTATGTAAATGTAATCAATAAAGCCATCAAAAGAAGTCATATTCTTGTAGTTCCACAATAACAATGATATGAGTTCCCCTTTCCCTTTATATAGAATCTGAATAGAGATCAATAATAATATTATATACTAAGATACCCATTTGCAACTTTTTTTTTTATTTCTATCTTGGCTGGCCAGTGCCAAGTCCTAGCCCATCTTCAAAAAAGTTGCAATAGATACATCAGTGACCTAGCATAGGAAAGTATGGGAATCCTTAAATAAACAACTGTACACAATTAAAATGTGATTGAGCTCAGTGCACAGTGGTAAGGACGTGATTACCAAGTGCTCGATGCTCCAGGCAGTATGGGAGAGGTGTGTTGTGTTGTTTGGGCTGCAGGGCAGGCCTGGTAATTGAATGTTTCAGGTAATGAGTGTTGTATTCAAAGCTCTTGTCTTTGACAGTAACTTTCTGCCTGCGTAGGTTTATAGTAAACAAACCGGTTCCAACAATAGCAGATTCTAAGTCAAGGTACTAATTGGACTGACTCCATATTCCCCGATGAAGGGGGCAAGTAAGCCTATGCTGGCCAATTCTTTTATAGTGAAGGTGTGAATTTCCCAAAATGTTGAAAAATGGAAACAAGAATTAATGAAAGCATTGATCATTTCTAGGCTATAGGTAGCATTGTGTGACCGGGCTCCAGAAGGTGCGTAATGTGGGCAACCTACGATTCACATGTCAAAGTAGGGGTAAAGATAGGGAGAAATGGTTGGAAGGGAGGGTAAAAGAAAACTATTCAATCACTTTAATTGAAGGGTTTAATTTATGGCTAGTTTTTGACCACGATGCACTTCTGGTTCCCAGTGGGACATTTGGGCTACGTATTGACACAATAATGTAAAACGCTATATGCTGAACTAGAAACGATATTGTGTATACAATTATATGTTAGACTTTGACAATGGTTCAAAAACTGGAAATTCAGAAATAATAGACCAGGAAATTCCACATGCTTTCTTAAGGTTCATGATTTTATAATAGGAACAGCATGAGCTACTGTCTTATAAAAACAACACCTGTAATACATAATACTTGGATCTATATACTCAAACACAAAATACACTTCCTCCAAAAATCACTGTAGAATTGGTAAGCGCTCCTCCAGATATGTTCAAATTTGTTTTTATTTTATGCAAATGACAGACCCATGGGCAGCCTTTGTTAGAACACTGTAAAAACACAGGGCTGGTGTGAAATGGTTTTAGCAAATCCAGATAAACTGAAATCTAAATGTTATTACATTACATATGTTTAGAGTGGATTTCTTCCATCTTCCTTAAAAAAAAGGCATTGTTGATTATTATGATTTCATATATCAAAATTTCTGTTTAGAAGGCATAGTCCCTGTTTGCGACAAATTCATCTGTCCCCTTGTTTCTCCTGTCTGCCAAGAAAGTTTTTTTTTCACCCACATATGTTTTAAGGAATACTCCAACCCCCCACCCCCCTCCCCATTTTTACAAAAGTACAGATTTCAATAGCAATCGCCACTTTTATAAAAATGAACCTGGCTGTCAGACAGCTGGCCCGGTTACTTCTTGGTAGTTTAACTCTGTGGAATTAAACGCGAGAGGCAGGAAATTACCCCGAGCACTTTCCTTGGAATGACTTTTCAATCAGCTGTAAGGCAGATTATTGTACAGCCCCTGTGCTGGGGTAGAAGGGCATGGAATTTAACAGAAGCTGCAGATACTAGATCTGCAGCTATTACAAGTCAACATTTCATATATACCTTCTCCCTCAACCAAACAAAAATACACAGAACGAATTCCATGTATATTTTTTGGGGTGGTTTTTCTACTAAATTGCTAAAAAAAAATTTAGGTAGTATTTAAATTATAGTTAACATGTTTCAAATTATTGTTTGTTTAATATAGTATGGCAGATACTTTCTACCAACCAATGACAGCATTCATCTACTAGAGATACCTATGCCAGTAACAGGATTATTCACGCTTCAGGAAAGGGAAATTAATGTGGATGTTTATTTCTGCCAACAAGCTACAAACCCATAATTTAAGTCATCTGATGCCTAATGCCAGGAGTGAGATTTTGATTGCTGAAATTGCACTAATTATTACACATGCTGAGCCTCTTCTAGGAAAGTTTAATGGCAGTAGCACTAGTAAACTATAAATTATGCAATGGGTGCAAACCACTAAATTCCCTATTAAAAAGGTAAACTATAGCGCTCCCCTAGTATAGCTGTAGCTCCCCACAGCGCTCCCCTAGTATAGCTGTAGCTCCCCACAGCGCTCCCCTAGTATAGCTGTAGCTCCCTACAGCGCTCCCCTAGTATAGCTGTAGCTCCCCACAGCGCTCCCCTAGTATAGCTGTAGCTCCCCACAGCGCTCCCCTAGTATAGCTGTAGCTCCCCACAGCGCTCCCCTAGTATAGCTGTAGCTCCCCACAGCGCTCCCCTAGTATAGCTGTAGCTCCCCACAGCGCTCCCCTAGTATAGCTGTAGCTCCCACAGCGCTCCCCTAGTATAGCTGTAGCTCCCTACAGCGCTCCCCTAGTATAGCTGTAGCTCCCCACAGCGCTCCCCTAGTATAGCTGTACAGCGCTCCCCTAGTATAGCTGTAGCTCCCCACAGCGCTCCCCTAGTATAGCTGTAGCTCCCCACAGCGCTCCCCTAGTATAGCTGTAGCTCCCCACAGCGCTCCCCTAGTATAGCTGTAGCTCCCTACAGCGTTCCCCTAGTATAGCTGTAGCTCCCTACAGCATTCCCCTAGTATAGCTGTAGCTTCCTACAGCGTTCCCCTAGTATAGCTGTAGCTCCCTACAGCGCTCTCCTAGTATAGCTGTAGCTCCCTACAGCCATGGCCAGATTAAGAGCCCAGTGGGCCTGGTGCTGACAATTATGACGGGCCTAATTACAGAATCATATCGACCAAAAACAGTAAAACACTCCCAAGCATCATGTATCTGATGGAGATGGTGCTGGAGAGCAAGAAAACAGCAGCTATAAGAAAACATATACCCAAGGCTAATATCTCTCTAATTTATGTTTTCATCTTTTAAGTAAATCCATAACCCCTAACAGCAGTGTCCAGTCAAGCAGGAAGTCAATGGGCATGGTAAAAGGGTGTGCCACTGACACAAATCAAATAACCTGCCAAAAGGGGCGAACATGCCCAAAAAGAGGACATGTCTGCTCAAAGAATTAGAAGGCCAGCCTGGCATGAATGCATGTCAGGCTGCCTGCCAATCATGCAGCTGGCCAACTAAGGGCACTATGCAGACAGCACCCTGAGCTTGGCATAAATGCATCTAATGATGCGCTCACTCAACGCTTTCTAAGGACTGTCCCCTAACATTCGCTGGTCCACTTGTCTCCTTACCTTCTTACTAGCAGGCAGAAGCTCCTGGTATATGGTCTGGGACAGAGAAAAGCTGTATGTAGTGAGTGTAGAAGAAAGGGAACATGCCACAGTGTTAGAGAGACCAAAGTCAGAATTACCTTAAAGGATCACTATAGGGTCAGGAACACAAAAATGAATTCATTACCCTATAGTGTTAACACCACCATCAAGCCCCCCTGGGCCCCTCATGCCTCCATACATATAGCAAAATCCTACTATATTCAAGCCTGAAGCTGTAACTCTGCATGCTGTTAGACTCATAAAAACAAGCAGTCTGCTGATATCATTAGAAGTGGTGGCCTGATCCAATCACAGTGCTTCCCCATAGGATTGGCTGAGACTGACAAAGCAGCAGATCAGGGTCAGAGCCAGCATGATTCAAACACAGCCCTGGCCAATCAGCATCTCCTTATATAGATGAATTTAATTAATGAATCTCTATGAGGAAAGTTCAGTGTCTGCATGCAGAGGGAGGAGACACTGAATGTTTGGATGCATTTTAGGCAGCCATGACCCAGGAAGGATCTCTAACAGTCATCTAAGGAGTGGCCAGTGAAGTTATCACTAGGATGTAATGTAAACACAGCATTTTCTCTGAAAAGACCGTGCTTACAGCAAAAAGCCTGATGGTAATGATTCTACTCACCAGAACAAATTCAATAAGCTGTAGTTGTTCTGGTGACTTAGTGTCCCTTTAACTATATTTATGGTCAGCCAGTCCACACAAGTTTTGTTCCCATACATCCCTCTTAAGTTTCCATACTTAAGTAAGAGTATGTGAAAAGTAGTTAGGGTTGCCACCTTTCTTGGAAAACCATACCGGCCTAACTAATTTGCATAATTAAATATGTGTGCGGGACATCCCATGATGTAAATCACAAGGAGTGACATATGACAAAATGCTGTAAAATCACCAAAAAACTACTTAGTTTAAATCTGCTGTATAGATGGATTCCTCCCAGTGCCCCCATGTCTCCCAGTGCCCTCATGACTCAGTGCCCCCATGTGTCGATTACTCCAGGTCTCAGTGTTCCTATGTATCAGTGTCTCAGTGCCCCATGTCTCCCAGTGTCCCTTAGTGTCGTTTCCCCAGGTCTCCCAGTGATCCTATGTATCAGTGTCTCAATGCCCCATTTCTCCCTGTGTCCCCATGTATCCCAGGGTTCCCATGTCACTAGGACACTAGGAAGACGGGGAGACCTGGGGACACGGAGACACCAGTGACACTGGGAGACTAGGGGACTCTGGCTGGGACACATGGGGACAATGGGAAAATAGGGGACACTTGAAGACATGGGGACACAGACACCAGGGACAAAGATACTGTGTCCCCATGTGTCTGTGCCATAATGTCTCCCAATGTCCCTTAGTGTCTCAGTGTCTGCTATAATGTCTCCCAATGTCCCTTAGTGTCTCAGTGTATGTCTCCTTGCAGCCTTTCCCCCATCCCTTACTTCCCTGAGCTGTAGGCTGTCTCTGCAGTGTGGGAGTTGCTGTCTGGACTCTGTGTAGCTGCACCCCTGCAGATCAGTGAGTATAGATAGGCAGGGAGGGATATGCTGGAACTTCCTATCCCTGCCTGTCTCCACATACAGCGACCCCTACTGGCCAGTGCTGGTATTGCAGAGTAATCTCCATTTATACTGAGAAAAATACCAACATTTGTATTGCCAGTATCACTGCAATATTGGCACCAGCCAGGCAGCCTCAAATACTGGTTGTGCCAATAAAATAAAAGCCAGGTGGAATCCCTAAGAGTAGTATGTGAAACAAAATATATAAAAAAAATATTTTTTTTTTTTTTTTTTTTTTTTTAAATCAATGGGCCTATTCCATGGGCCTGGGCCTGGAGCTGCAGCTCCATCAGCCCCTATGTTAATCCGGCCCTGCCTACAGCGCTCCCCTAGTATAGCTGTAGCTCCCTACTGTGCTCCCCTAGTATAGCTGTAGCTCCCTATAGTGCCTCCCCTAGTATAGCTATAGCTCCCTATAGTGCCTCCCCTAGTATAGCTATAGCTCCCTATAGTGCCTCCCCTAGGATAGCTATAGCTCCCTATAGTGCCTCCCCTAGGATAGCTATAGCTCCCTATAGTGCTCCCCTAGTATAGCTATAGCTCCCTATAGTGCCTCCCCTAGTATAGCTATAGCTCCCTATAGTGCTCCCCTAGTATAGCTATAGCTCCCTATAGTGCCTCCCCTAGTATAGCTATAGCTCCCTATAGTGCCTCCCCTAGTATAGCTATAGCTCCCTATAGTGCCTCCAGCCGATGACAGTCTGCTTTCCTATGGGGTTTCGGGTGACGCTGGATGTCCTCATGCATAGATTGAGGAGGTCCAGCTACAGTTTGGTGACCAAAATTAGGTAGACAGCCACTAGGCGGAGTTAACCCACAAAGGGGTAATTATTGCAGTTTCTTAAAAACTGCAATAATTACCTTTTCAGGGTTAATGAACCTGGGAATATACACCCAGACCACTTCAATGAGCGGAAGTGGTCGGAGCGCCAGTAGTGTCCTTTTAATGGTAGATGGTGGTACATTTTTTTTTGTAGTCTACTCATTCTGTTTGGAACCACTATTTGGTTACTTCAATTTGTCTGGCCTGTTATAGGTACATATATCTCTGTTACATTCTTTTTCTTAACTGGGGTTAAAGCCGGGGGTCCAGTAATATGCCCTTCTTTTTCTCCTATTGTACCTTTATAAGGATCTGGCTACATCTTGCTGAGGATCTAATCTGTTCCTGACAACAGGTCCCCAACAGGATAGCCCACCCCATCCTGATTTTCATTCCTCCCAAATGTATTTTTTTTTTTTACTAAACAAATAACATTACTAGATACAACACCAATAGATTAGATTTTTTTTTATTTTTTATTTTTTTATTCTAACTGGAGTTTCCGTACCTACCCTTATGGCATACTCCCCAACATCGGTGCTGGTGGGTGGAGCAAACGGCCTATGAGGATCATGAGAAATGTAGATCACATTTGTTATTAAATATTGCACCCTCCATCTTTGTGATATTAATTTTCCACAATGGCTAACCAAGCTTATGGCATGGCAGGGCATCACAGTAATAAAAGGCCTGCTTACTGTCCCAAAGTCAGCAGGACAGTCTTGATTTCCATGTTGTGCATTATATCCAACTGACAAGCCAGTGATTTAGATGGATTCTACGCCTTTCTGGGTGGGTCTGACCCCTGTACACCCACCACCTGTGTCCCGCATCTTGGGAAGCCAAAGTTTAGATGGTTTGGAATAGGTTGCAAACATCTTTAAAGATTAGGTCCCAGATGAGACATCTGATGGCTTCTGGTTTTTAAAGTTCATTGAACAAGCTGGAAGTCCTCAAGCCAGATGGCAACTTCAAGATCTTATCAACAGTCAACAGACTGCCATAGTCTATTGAATTATTTCAGAAAAAAAATATCCGGCATCAAAGTACTGCCATAATTTTAAATTGTCATCAGTTAAATTGAATCATTTATTAAGATCTGTGTCTTTTAATATCATTATTCCCTTTTAAAATGAGATGGGACTGAAAGCAGGGGCACAACTACAAGAAGAAGGGCCCAACAATAAATTAGATGAGGATAGCTTTGCAATATTTGGTGGTCTAGTGGGGGCTGGAGGTCATCTCATAAATATCTATGCTTTTGACAGAGCAAGTGCTCTCTCCGCCATCTAGTATTGTGTGGATTATGTCATATAAGGAACAATAAAGAGAGATTAGGGTAACAACTTCCAAATATCCTCCAATTACGATTACACAACTGCCACCTGTGCAAGGTTATTCATCGAATACCAAACTTGAGTGAAATGGCATAAACAGAAATTCTTTTAAGTATTTTAGCCGCAGTTTTGCCATTCTGATTTAATGGACATTTGGAAGTTAGTAAATAGCTCAAGGAGGGAACGTGAGACGCATCTAAAAACTGCACACCCCGAGACACTATGCCAGTGCCTGATATCTTTGACTTGTTATCCCTGCATAATAAATTCATTTAAAAAAAATCCCCAACATCAGAAGGTATAACATCAAAGGTGAGAGGTAGAAAACATGGTCACAGTAGGCCATGCCAGTCATTCAGTTTACATCAATAATGATCTGCTAAGAGCATGTCAATCTGGCACATGCAAATCTTCCAACTAAGATTGAACATGCACAGAAAAGCACTGTAAGCATGTTTCACAATGCTATCATGCTGTATGGAGGTTCTCTCGTGTCCTCAGAAGCAGATAGAGACCGAGGACAGGGATCTTAAATTTGGACTTTCCTACTGGATGTTTGTATCCTTAATTGTGCTACAATAGGGAAAATGAGAGCTTTAGTTTGCACATATTAGTATAAAAAGTCTCAAATATCATAAAGTAAGTGAAAAACATAAAGAGGACCAGTTTTTCCAATTGGCAGCGTCCTACAGGCGCCTTCCCTGACAACCAATATGAATTATATCTTGAGATATATTTTCTATATAAAAAATAAAAATAAAATAATATATAGTATACACACACACACACACACACACACACACGTCTGTAGTGGTTATGATGCCAAGAGTACCCTAGCCCCGCTTGCCCCCTTCCCTTGCCCCACAATGCTCTGATGCTCTCTGGTGGTCTGGTGACATCCCTCCGGGTTGTGCAGAGCTACAGAAGCCAGAAGCTGCAGCTATTGCATCAGCTGACCAATCTTAGCCAATGACTGGCATTCTGTGCAATGAACTTTGCACAGAATGGTCATTAGCCAGCAAAGAACTCTAATACCGCGCTGGCTAATAACAACCCAATGATAAAGCCAGAGGTGGAGTTGCACATCTGGCAGAGATGTTGTTACACATACAGCGTAAAGACAGACTTCAGGCACCATGACCATTTCAAATCACTGAAATGGCCATGATGCTTACAGAGTAACCCATTAAGTGTCCTACAAATCATTGAGCATTCAGTAGAGAACTGGATATTATATTTGGGTGGGGTGTGGGGGTAGGAGTGCTTGATAATATAGTATCTACACGTACTTCAGGTGTAAATCCAAACCTACACATGAATAAGCCAGCTTTAGAATTTGCATCACTGAAAACCTACCCATTCAAGCTCTGATATGCAATGCAAATATTATGCTATGCTAGAAAACCTGTATTTTGGTCAAGGATGGGAATTTCCACCTCCCTCCCAACCGGAGCATATCAGGCTAACTGGATACGCGCTGTTCCTCCTGCTCCAAACCAATAACTAGAATGTAAGTTTGTGAACTGGACCCAGTCTACCGTAGGCACTGGTATGCCACAAATCTGGCAAATCAAGTTTGTAATTCTCTGCAACTACCATATCATGCGATACATAAATCATTGAGGGTAGAGCGCTCTGCCAGAGACCTACGTCTATCCTCTCTCCGTACTCCCACCTCTGATGCTCGCCTCCAAGATTCCTCCAGGGCTGCACCTCTTCCGTGGAACTCCCTTCTCAGTAAGAATTTCACCCAAAACTCACTTCTTCAAGAAAGCATATCAATTTAATGGTTAGCAGGTTTTTATCCCCCACCCCCATGGCTCCTCTCGTGCAACTGTCAAACATTACCTACTAAGCACTCAGTGAATACTTTTCTAACAACCTACTTTGTACCCCTACTTTTACACTTTGTGTCACTATACCCTACTCCCTCTAGAATGTAAGCTCATTGAGCAGGGCTCTCCACCTCTCTTTTCCTGTACGTTCAGTGGTCTGGTTGTCCACCCATTGTACAGCGCTATGGAATCTAATGGCGCTATATAAATAAAATATAAATTATATACATTATGAATAATAAACTTTGTAAGGAAAATGCAAATACCAGATAGAGATGTTCATGCTCTAAGGTTCTAATATACCTGTACTGTCATACGAACAGTCAATACCTCGGTAAATGATACAGAATAGAACATCAGCTAAGGATCATGGGAGATGAAGTGCAGCACAGTGAAGAGCTAATAATGGGTCATTAGTTCACAGGTATTGTGTTTTTAAATAGTCACTAAATTTAAGAAAAAGAGCATCAACTGTCTGAATAAAGAAAAGAAATGCCTTCAGGGATAGGCAGGGGTCAATAGAAAACTACTTATTTTCTGTTTACGATCCTTAATCTAAATAAAAGGATTTTTTCCTATAAATTGCCTTAAAGCACAATCTCTTTGTTCTAATCTGCTGTAATATGTGTCCGAAACAAAATCACTTGAAAAACTATTAAAAAGATGATGTGATATATGATTTGCACTAACGGGGTTAAAATAAAGTACAAGATAAAACCTTTTAAAAGTTAGATTTTTTCCCCCAAAATTATTTCTGACTATAGATCACCATGTACTTGCACTAAGGCTCATTCTTTCAGATTGTTTATTTTGTGTTGTCATTTACTACCAGTGCGGGACTCAACGAGGAAAGACATTACACACAGATACCAATAAATTCCATTTGCATGTTAGGTTCTAAGGCAGTCGGACAGTTATAATGGTCTGTATTCTACAGTTCCTGGAAAGGGCATGTAAAAACCACTGACTGATCATTTCACTTGCAAAATCAGTTCAAATTTATTTTTCCCCCTCCAATGAATAAATGAAAAATTAATACACAACACACATAGATACATAGCTCATATACAAGTAGTAATAAACGGAGATTCATACAGATTTATAGTCTTGTTAATTCTTGCATAAAAAGTTTTGGGAGAAGGATTGGCTAGTGATACAAGCCGGTTCCTAGTCTGAGTAAGAATGCAGTGCAGCAGGATAATGTCATTAAACTTCATGAGAAATGTAAAAAAAATGCTAATATTTAATTGCATGCGTTTATAGGTTCTCTGTGTAATACGTTACTAAAGTGTGCTAAATCTATCCATAATTTCTTTCAGTGCCAATTTTGTTGATTTTGTTTTTTGGTAATTCAAAGTGAACTTTCCGTTTTAGCATAAACTTGCTAAACTAAAAAAACAGATTGCTTTTGTGAATAGCCTTAAAGTAAATTGAAATCAGTTCACAAATTTTAGTTCAAAAACAGCCAAACTAGAAATACTACCCAAGTCAGCTACAATTTCAGCTCGATTACTTTAAATTCCAGACAATTCACTCTTGAGTTAATTATCCTATGTATGTGTGATGTGTTAGCATTTTATGTCTGCAGAGAGAGTCACTCTTTGCATTGTGTGTGTTATGACTGTCTATTCATGTTGCATAATTACAGTGTAAGATGATATACAAAAAATAAATTAATCAAAATAATATATTTAGGGTCAAAACAAAGCAATATATCAAATCAGCATTGAGGGAATTTGTGTTTATATTATGTACCGAACAGGAAGTGGAGTTAAAGAATAAATTATGTAAGTTTAAGAATACATCAAGTAAGGAAAAAACACAAAACACATACACCCTCTCGCACTCTCTCAAACATCAAATGCAAACACAAAGCGTACTGTGTACAGGAACTGGGAGATCAGCGAGAGAATTTGCAGGTCATTTCACATAGGGGAAGAAATGTGTCATTTATGCTATTCTGTTTTAGTTGAGATAAAATTAGTTGCCAGTGGAAAGAGATCCTATTAAAAAAAAAAAATCATGGCGAAACAAGATTAAACAAAATAACAATGCATATAAATTACACGCAATCATATATACACACACACACACACACAAAAATCTCTTTAAAAAAATCTTTATACAACAGATGAAATACTTAAAGTGTCACTGTCACCACCTTGAGACTTCACCGAATTTGCAATGTCCCCTAGCGGTGCCATCGCCGCTGGAGGCCGGGAGGGGGCAGTTAAAGGTGAGATTACTTACCTAAACCTGTGCCTTGCAGGCGCTGCCATCTTGGTTGCGCTGCTCCTCTTCGAAGCACCAGAAGCCAATGTCACTGCCGTACTCTTGAGCATGTGCGAGAGTAGAGCATTGAGATCTATGGGGAATCCCAACTATTTTACCTAAAGTTTTAAATCCACTTACAGGATTTTAAATTATTCTTGTTTACACAGCGCCAACAAATTCCGCAGCTCTGTACAATGGTGTATTGACTAAAGTGACAATTAAAAATTAATTTCAAATTTATAGCCATGAGTTTATAAACAGAAAGAATAGCTGACTTTTAAAATGTTTCTAGTTTGGCTATTTTGACCAAGAAATTTTAAATTCGCCTTGAATTTTTAATTGAAATGAATAACCGTGTTAATGATTTTCCAATTTTAGGCAATATAGCTGACTTTGTCAGTTTGGCCATGGTTCTGACAAACCATACTTGTTTAGTAAATAGCTTTGTCTGTGTTTCTACAAAAGGTTATGAAAAACAGTGGCATCATTTACATTTATTATTTTGTTTAAACATTTTGCTAAAAAAAAAAACAAAACAAAAAAAACACAGCATCACATTGAGATCTATAGTAAAATCACTCCCTTTCAAAAACAAAACATGCCCCAATTAGGTCACTGAATATAGTGACAGAAAATGCAATAAACATGATTTAGCATTACAGGTTGAAGGTTGAATTACAAAGATATACAGTATGGCCATTGTTAAGGGAGAGTGTAAGCAATATGTGGGCCAAATGGAATGTACAATATATTGTCTAATCAAAGTAATGCAAGAATCAATGCTGTGATATAGTCATTATATAAAATATTTTTTTTCCAGCTGACTTGTTTAGTGTAAATCACATAACGAACTACCAGAAGCCAAGCCAACTAGTTTACAAACAGCACTTGTAGCCATAACTACTAGAAAATAAATCCAACCACATTTACTGTAAAAACAAATCAGTGTTGAGTTGATACATATTCTAAGATCCAGAGGGCAAACCGTGTATTGGCACTGATAACCAAACAACATAGCAACAATCGACAATCTGATATTTGTTTTAAGAATGACCCACTCCCACACTAATCCTTATAAATCTAGCAAATCACCAATATGCTGCCTCCAATAACAGATGGGGGCAGATTCTAATTTGGCAAGTTGCACACACCACTACAACTCTCACTTGCTCAGCCAGTCACAGGGCATGGTGAGATTTGCAGTCTAACTGTAAAACAAAGGAGACAGCCTCTGTGTTTGGTACAAATAGTTAATTCAGTAGTTAGAGTGAGCTGTTTCTAAACTGCTTTTCTGAAGCCTTTAGTTTTAATCCTTTAAATGTCACAGGTGGATCACACCCTCCCAGCACTCTGATGGTTACAAAGTTTCATTTACTGTGGGAATACATGGAACTCCAAAACAACTGTGAGCCTTGTACATGTAGGTAGTGTGGATGTAGCTTTGTATGTGGATACGTGTGTGATACTGGCTGGGGACATGCACCAGGTACTCCTTATTTAAAGACTGACATATATGCCAGTTTTCAGATCTAGGTGTTACATCCATTGTTTATTGCCCAGCAGTTATGTGAAGGCTTACTTACCTGACCCTGGAACAGCAGGGTGATAGCTGTAATAAAGGTGATCTCCACAAACCTGTTCACACAAGCGGAAAAGGGAGAGTGAGACAGAACAGGCACAGAGAGAGAGAGAGATCTGAAGTTTCACAGGAACAGTAAGGATAGGAGGGGAGAGGCTAACAAAGAGCTCTTAAAGGGACCGCAGCTCCTCTGCAGGTCTGACAAGGAAGAGGAACGAACAGGTTCATGTTACTGGGTACAAAAAACATTCTCTTTGACTAACGAAAGGAAAGACGACAGGTGATAAAATAACAAGGGGTATCTGGTATTATCTCTCCCCAGTATGCAAAGTAATATTACAAATTTCTTGAGAATTATTAACTTTAAAAAGGAGCCTGCCACGTATTACACTGTAGAAAGCCATTTACTTAATGCAACTCATTTCAGTTGTTCATGGTGGCAGCTTAGTATAAAGCTTTGCAATCCTGATAAAAAAGGGTTATAGAACCAAAAACGGGTTCTGGTGCTTACAGGGTTATTCACTACACTTGGCATTATAACAATTTAAGTTCTGAACAACAACCAAAAAAAAAAAATAGGCAAAAAATAATGACCTTGAAAAAAATCTCCAAGTCAGTCATACCAACCCTATCAGTTTATCTTTTCTGATTTGCTCAGTAATGCCTTGATTCCAGTTAATGTGGAGCGCACATAGCAAAGTCTTTAACCCTTTGCTGTAGCCTTATAGCTGCATTTGGGTGAAGGATATGTATCTTATGTATCTTAATGACTGTGTCCCTTTAATAACAACCATACCTGGGGACCTTGTACGGTGACCAACTGGCTAATTTCTTCACCATACAAAATACCACTGCTCCCAACAGTCCCACTTTGGCATGATAGTGCCAGTTGGCATATCTATTCACCATTCAAAGGTGGCCATGTCCTATTCAGTGGGCAGGCATGCCCATTATGGATGTCACCAGTGAAGCAAGTTGCACTGATGATGGTCCCTAGAAGGCCTACCCAACCGTCCCTATTGCACACCTACCAATGTTGAGAGGTATGCAATAGTGTTGCCAACTTTACTACACATACCAGGATAGCTATGAGCTAATATGAATACAACATGTTCCTGGGTAGCACTATTCATGTATCACCTGGGTACCACTGGATGCTGGCACTGAACTTGCTGTATTTGGTCTTCTCCAGTATGTGAAGCATAGAGCTGAGCAGGACAATGCTCATTGGCTTAGACTAGTGTTCAGCTGATTGGTAACATCTGGCTTCTCCTGCCAAAACGGTCGACATCCTAATGTGGGACCGTGCCAGAGCACTCCTGGTGTGCTGTAGTTGTTATGGTGCTTATAATGTTATTTTAATTGGGAACCTGGAGACAAGAATGAAACACTTGAACCAACCCATGTCCAGAAGTTAAAATGCAAATAACCAGAGACAATCCAGGACCTGTTGTCTGATTGACAGTCGCTGAGGTGTTTCTTAATCTGTTTATAAATGTGCTGAATTCTCAAAGAAATAGGCACCTTTGGAAGCTGCAGCTAAAATCGCATACTCCTTGTATGTAAAGCACTTCATGTGTGTGTGGAGTGGTCCTTTAATGTATTAAACCTACTTTTAAAGTTCATAATACTTTACTAATTAATTGTTATTTTATCCATTTACCTGGTAGCTACTTGCGCTACCAATGGGCAAATTTTGATTTCTGTAGGTTTGCCTGCACAGAGCAGGCACATTTATTTAGTGAATTTGCCTTCTATTGGATTTGTTCAGGATTAATGCAGTCAAAGCGTTTTGTTTAAATATGCAAGTTCTATATTATATTTGGAAATTACATCTGAGAATGACTGATTTTAAAGCAATTAGTTGAAATTATCAATTTTAACCAGATTTGCCTTTAGTAAAGATGAGAAGTGCAAAACCACCATGGTACACTGCAGAGATTGTAGTGTTTGGAGTATTCCTTTAAAGAACTCTGAGCTTCACCACAATTCACCTCAATAAAGGTACTTACCATTCTCACACAATTTTCTCAATGGTATGCTTGCATTAGGCCAGCATAGGCTACATTCGGCACTCCAGATGTGTTGGACTACACCTCCCATGATTCGTGCCTGCATTATAGGTGTAAGAGCATCATGGGGGATGTAGTCAACAACCTCTGGAGTGCTGAAGGTTGCCTATCCCGGCATTAGGCGTTCAAATTGAAGCTTTGGGGTTAAACTGTTCATAAACTGTTTAACAACTTAAGGTAAGATGATGCCCAGGATCTCCAGGCACCATAACAACTTAACTGATATGAAGTTGTTATTGTGTCCAGAGTGTCCCTTTTAATATTTTTAATTGTCCAATTAATATATTTTGTAATTGAATACTAAGTTAACTTGTAACTAGCAACGGAACTAGCTAGGTAGTGTTATGAATCTTCTAAGGGTTAAAGCAGCATTTTAGTCCATTATGTTACTTTGCAATAGTAATTGGCCTTATGGCTCTCTAAATATTTATTAGCCCATCTAATTAAGCTCGCTGATGCATGTATTTATAGCTTAGTAATGACTAATTCTGCTCCTGGATACGAATGAAAAGCTAGTAGGTATGAGATGCAATGAGAAATGAATTTACAGGTGCTGTCGTTAATTGCCACTCCAAGTATGCTTCCTGTTTAATTATTGTGACGGCAGACATCTTCAGCTCAGGACATAAATACATGCAGCATTGACGAAAGTCACTCCAAAGATTTATAGTATTAGCTAAGTGGAGATGTATCAATATAAACCATAATTCCCCCTTTACCTGTTACAGAACTGTTCAAAATTAACTCTTTAGTGCTGGTTTAACTAGTTGCAAAGCCCACTGCATCTGTTTCTGTGTATGAAATACTTTTTACTCCTTTACTTTATCTACATATTGTTTGTCTCTGTATTATAATTGCTAAATGTTAAGGGACATTGTAGGCACCCAGACCACTTCAGCTTCATTGAGGTGGTCTGCGTGCATTGTCCCATGTCCCTTAATCTTACAGTGGCAGCTATTCTGAGAAACTGCAATAATTACCTCTGAGTGTTCCTTCCGGAATTGAAATGGACGATTGGTCCATTATCTGATGCTGGAAATCCTCACGCTCTGCACCTCCAGCGTCAGATTTTTACCCATAGGAAAGCATCGAATAATGCTTTCCTATGGAGAAATTCTAATGCGTGTGTGTCCATTGCCACGCATGCGCATTAGGTCTCCCCCGCCAGCTGACGTCAGCGTGGGAGGAGCGTAGGCGGGGCCTGACCCAGCGCAAATGTCATCGGGACAGCGGTGCTGGATTCAGGTAAGTGACCAAAGTGGTTTGTTTTCCTGGCACTATAGAATCCCTTTAATTATCCTTGTAGTGTACACAGTATTTTGTTAAAGGCCCCCTCGATTGTTGATGTCGTATCTGTCATGCATGTGTAAATGGATTACAGAGGTGAGCAGCCAGTCACACATGTAGCAAATCCAGCGCAATAAAGTAATGAAGAGCTGGACTTGAATTGCAGTGTGTCAGTGAAACAATGTGAATATTTGTGTGTGTCTCACTGACAATGAGAAAGGGTTTGTGTGTATGTCTGTGTGGTTTCCATGCCCACAAAATTCAGTTAACTGGACATTTATTCACCTAAAGGAACACTATAGTCACCAGAACAACTACAGCTTTTGTTGTATTTGTTCTGGTGAGTATAAACATTCTGTTCAGGATTTTTGCAGTAAACACTGTATTTTCAGAGAAAATGCAATGTTTACATTGCAGCCTAGGGATACCTCTACTGGCCACTCTTTAGATGGCTGCTAGAGGTGCTTTCTGGGGCAGTGCTTCACAGTGTGCACAATCAGTGTCTCCACCCTCTGCATGGATACACTGAACTTTTCTCAAATACATGTCTATGAGGAGATGCTGATTGGCCAGGGCTGTGTTTGACTTGTGCTGACTCTGCCTCTGATCTGCCCCCTTGACAGTCTCAGCCAATCCTATGGGGAAGCATTGTGATTGGTTCACATAATCACCAAGCAGGAAGATCGGGGCAGAGGCAGCAGCTGCAGACTTGAACACAAGTAAGATGTTACTATATTTAGGGAGGCTGGGGGGGGTGGCAGGTGGGCTACATGTTGTTTTTAACACTATAAGGTCAGGAATACATATTTGTGTACCTGATCCTATAGTTTTCCATTCAATTTTGTAGGATTTTTCACAGAAAAACTAACCTGCTGTATATATGCAGAGGTTCTGTGAAGGAGAAGCAGGAGCTTTTGCTCATCAAAAATGAAATACCTATTCAGCTGCCAGGCAAGAAATGTTTGGAAGAAAGAACAAAATGTTATTCATATGCATACATACCTTACTTACATCTTCTTTCTTAAAGGAACACTAAAGTGTTCGAATTCCAAACCTGTAGTACTAACGCTATAGTGATGCCAGGATCGTGTCTATCTTACCTGGTTCCCCAGTGTTCTGCGCAATGCTGCACTCTCGGTGGCCGCATGGTTTTATGGGCATTGGGTTGGAATGGTGAATTCGGCATACAATTATTACGTTGATAAACATTCTAATAAGGTTGTCGTTTAGGTTCCTACACGATCCTGAAAAGTGACCCCCATTCACCATAAAATGATTATATATTATTTTCTATCCTTTTTTTTTTACTTACCTTTTTTCCAGTACCACTACTCACTTCTCCTCCTCTAGCGATGACATCGAGGAAGCATGGATTCTTCTGGCGATGGTCCAATCCAAAGCTTTGCATAGGTGAGCATTGCGACCTGATGGACATGTGCCGCCAATGCATCCAAGCTTTGATAATGTTTTACAATGAACGCCTCTAGTAGCTTTCAGCTTGACAGCCAATAAAGGTATGTTTAACTCTTTCAGAAACAGCAATGTTTAACTTTAAATCTGCAATGTTTTAACTTTAAGGGTTACCGTGTCATGACCACTGCACCCAGGATATTTCATTTAGATTAAGTGGCTCACTTTAGTGGTTTTTTAATTGTTGAGGTGTATTCTTTGAATCTATGCCTAAAAGTGGATGGTGCTTGTTAAGTGATATAGCAGTGCTTCTCAGATATTTGCCTCATAACACTTCAGTTACTTTTATGGCTTTTCTGTGGCAAAACAGTTTATGCTACCTTGAAAGATAATCTGTACTTCAATAATTATAGCTACTGATGCTCAGTGTATTGACTGCGGTGCACGGAACTCTGTCCTTGTCTTCCATCTTCCTGTTCTTTATAACTGCAGAGATTTACAAAAGTTGTCCTGGTATTGGTAGGACCGTGCTGAATTTGGGATATTTTTCCTGTCGTTCTGAGTCCGTTCCTTATCCAAATTTTGGAACATGCTTGTAGTTTGCAGAGTGCTGCCTGATGACTGATTTCATATGCATTGTGCTTCAAAATCAGTGAGGTACCTGTTTAATTTATTTGTTTAATTTTCAATAACAGGACGGTTATTATTATTATTGCCATTTATATAGCGCCAACAGATTCTGTAGCGCTTTATATTATTAGAGGGGGGATTTAACTATAAATAGGACAATTACAAGAAAACTTACAGGAACGATAGGTTGAAGAGGACCCTGCTCAAACCAGCTTACACTCTGTAGGGGGTAAGGTATAAAACACATTAGGACAGGAAATAGCAATCAAATAAGGTGGGAGTGAAGCAGAGCTGGAGGAGAGAGTAGAGTGCTGCTCTTTAGGAGAGATCAAGGGGCAGGTATGTGAGGAAGAGGTTACTCTGGGAGGCCATAAGCTTTCCTAAAGAGATGGGTTTTAAGGCACATCTTAAATGATTGAAGACTAGGGGAGAGTCTGATGGCGGTAGGCAGGCTATTCCATAGGAAGGGAGCTGCCCGTGGCAAGCGCGAGTTGGCCATACGGGTGCGAGCAGCGGACAGGAGAAGGTCACGGGCAGAGCTGAGAGACTGAGTAGGGGCATACCTATGGATCTGTCTAGAGATTTAAGAGGGTCTAGAATTGTTTAATGCTGTACAGGTATGGGTTAGCCCTTTGAATTTACACCTATAGGATACAAGAAGCCAATGTAAGGTGTGACAGGACCAACTAGAGCGAAAAATCAGTCTGGCGGCAGCATTCATTACAGACTGTAACTCCAATATGCAGTGTATGTTTGCACCCATGGATTACCCCTCGACTCCTTTATATTGACATAAAGAAGGTTAAACCAAATTTAATTTTATTGACGAATAGTAGGATAGTCTGAATTTAAGCATAATTGCAAAATACATATTTTATATAAATGGCAGAGGCAAACCCTGCTAAGGAATGTAGAAATGTCTGGTATGTACATACAACTATCTCAATAAAGAATGTAATTTAGGAACACAATATAAGCCAAAACAAATTATCTTTCATTTTATTGTACAATATCTCTTTTTTAAAATAAGGATTGATCATTCCATCATTACTTAATAGGATGAGGAAAATATAAACACCAGCCAACAATGGCAGGTGCAGAAGGCTTTGAACTTAGACAAAGTAGATAATAATTCTGTATGTGCAGCTTCGCACAGGATAAGATGACATTTACTGCTATGAAATAAGCCATGGGAGATTAGGCTTGCTGTGGACATGAAGCTGAGAATAAAGAAATAGTCAGATCCTGTCAGTCTATTTTTACATACACGTATTATTTTTGTATTTTTCAATCTCATGAATATTCTGTGTTTTTAATTACTGTAAAAAGTACATTGTTTAATTTCATAATAAACATTTACAAACATTTTGAAACTTCATATTAGGAAGTTTTATTCTAAAACGAATACATCAACATTAAAGGAGCACTACGGGGTCAGGAACACAAACATGTATTCCTGACCCTATAGGGTAAAAAACACCATCTAGCCCCCCTGGTCCCCTCATGCCTCCAAAATCTTACTTGTATTCAAGTCTGGAGCTGCTAGTTCTGGCTCTGTTTCCTTTAGACCTGCCCACTGCCTGCTGACATTAGCAGAAGTGGTAGCCTGATCCAATCACAATGCTTCTCCATAGGATTGGTTGAGACTGACAAAGATGCAGATCAGGGGCTGACCCAGCATGATTCAAACACAGCCCTGGCCAATCAGCATATCCTCATAGAGATGAATTGAATCAATGAATCTCTATGAGGAAAGTTCAGTGTCTGCATGCAGAGGGAGGAGATACTGAATGTTTGGAAACATTTTAGGCAGCCATGACACAGGAAGGATCTCTAACGGCTATCTGAGGAGTGGCCAGTGAAGTTATCACTAGGCTGTAATTTAAACAGTGCATTTTCTCTGAAAAGACAGTGTTTACAGCAAAAAGCCTGAAGGTAATGATTCTACTCACCAGAACAAATTCAATAAGCTGTAGTTGTTCTGGTGACTATAGTTTCCCTTTAAAGCCATTGCCAAAAACAAAACTGAGGGCTGTACAACGAAGGTGGTCTATTCACATACAATGCTAATTTTTGACTGTGACTTATTGGGAAGTCAAAGTGGATTTCAAATGTTAAGCCAGCACCATAGAATGGAATGCATATCAGGGCAGAGTTAAAGGGGGCAGGCCAGTCATGTGGATTGCGTCACTGACGCCGTCCAAAGTAGGCAGACCCACCTGGATTGGGGCCTGACAGGCCAGCTACCCGTGAATGAACACTAGACTACCTGCCAATCGCACAGGACCATGCAGGGAGTACTTTTTAATTGCACTCTGTAGGATCTTTATTAATTTGTAAATTATTTTACCAGGAAGAATACATTGAGATTTCTCTTGTTTTCAAATATGTCCTGGGTGTAATGCCCTTGAGCACATCTAATAATCTGATTGTGCTATGCTTTCTGGGGCCAGTTCCCTGGTGTCCCCAAACTCAGGACTTCAGGGAACAAAGTTAGGACAGGCAGATTTTAGGGTTCTGTCCTGCCAAAATCGGAATGTCTTTAAGGCCTGTAGCTGAGAGAGAGAATTTTTCTTTTGCTTTTTTTGGGGGCAAAGACCACACAAGGTGATATCTGGTTTTGTGGTGGTGGCCAAGGGGAGATGTGACACGTGTGAAATCTGTATGTCATTCTCTATTAAATAGTTACTCCAAGCATCATAACCACTACAGTCCCTTCCAAGCTGGCAGTTCTCAGCCAATGAATGCAACTCAGTGGAGTGGATAGAGGGTAGGGAAGGCGGAGGACAGACCAGCACAGTATGGGTTCCTCTAACCAAAACCAGTTGTTCCTTTTTTTTTTTTTAAAGAATTTTTATGAAAGTTTTTTTTTTGGTTAAAGTAACCTTTAAGATTTTCTTGAAAACTTTGCAACAATTTACTAAAAAGAGAATTATTGGCAAATAAGATTGAACTCACTGAGAATTCAAAGTGAATTTAAAATTTAAGGTAAAAATAAACAAACGGGAAAAATTAAACTATGCTGTTAGTTCGCTACTCTGGACTTAAAGGGACATGCATCACTTGACAATTATTATAAACCATCAAGAAAAGACGTTTAAACAAATATATAAACCAAAATAAAGCAAGGAAAATGTTGAGAAGTATGTAATAAACGTCAATAAACTTACTATAAACTTGGTCAGATTACATTATTGGGTGCACCTAGCAGGTAGGGGAGTTTCTTGAGCCCCCCCCCCTCACCTACCTGTCTGACTTTCAGACCAATCCAATAATGACAGACATAGGGCATCATTGTGCAGCAATACACAGTTGTATTCGGAACACTATAGGGCTCCTTTAAATTTGAAATTCACTTTGAACTCTCACTTGAGTGAATATCCCTGGAAGTGAATTTCAAATGTAAGGCCAAAATAGCTCAATTTGAAAGATTCTCCAAGTTGCATATGCTTACAGTTGACATATTTGGTATAAAATTTTATATTCTCTTTAAATCTTGACAATAACCCTGTTAGTGTTGCTATATTCATAGCAATAAACTCATTGCATGATGTGTCAGGGAAGTGCAAAAACACTGATCAGGAGACGTAGGCTCTAACAAACAATAGACTTTGTAACCCAGGTGTTAATTCCCATGCTAGAATGTACACTGTCTGGCAAGAAAAAATATCCTTACGTTACATAAAAGAAGCAAAGCCTTATGGGAAACTGCATGCTATGATGCATTTAAGTGTGCTGGTTTATTTGCATAGCTCCGTTGTGTTAAGAATGGGCCAAGGGGCCACACCCATGGTACTGCGTCAGATGTCTTTGTTTGTGTAACTTCGGTCTCAGCATTGCTTGATGACTCCATCCAACCTCTTTCATGGGGTTTATTAACTAATTCTGAACTAAATTTAATTGTAAACAGAATTGTAAAAGCTAGGCAAAAGTAGCTAATTTATATAAATTTCCCAACTCTGTCACAATCACTGAAAGGATGTTCTAGCCTGGATTTTGCAGATTACTTTATTCTGCTCTGCAATTTGGTGCTTAGTGAATAAGCCCCCACGTGCTCAATGGGATTTAGTAAACAGAAAATGATACCAATTAATAACATTTGGGAAACACATTGCAATCTGCCTCTTAATTTGAGCTTGTCATGCTTCGTGAGAATTCCACTTTCTTTTTCTATATATATATATATATATATATATATATATATATATATATATATATATATATATATATATATATATACTTTGTGTATATATCAAAGTGTGATGTTCATACACCCTTTAAAGTCACATTATAGTCACCAGAACAACTACAACTTAATGAGTGAGTATAGTCTGTCCCTGCAGCCATTTTAATGTAAACACTGTCTTTTCAGGGAAAAGGCAGTGTTTACATTCCTGCCTAGGGACTACTGTAGTGGCAGTCACTGGCGTTCAGCATCTCCACGATCTGTATGGAGGCGCTGAACGTTCTCCCTAGAAATGCATTGATTGATTTAATGCATCTCTATGAGGAGATGATGATGATGGCGCAGGATGGCATTGTGGCGTGAATGCGCGATAGCCTCCCACTGGTTTACCTATAGGAAAGCATTCAATTGGCTGAGATCATTAATAGTGCTGTTCTCAGCCAAGGAGACCGGACCCGCGCAGTGCTGGAAAAGCATTTTTTATACCTTTTTAGCAGACAATTAAGGCAACCATAGCTATTTTAGCATTAAATTTGAAATTCCTGAAAATGCTCAGTAGATAACCATGTCAAGATTTTTCACATAAGTGAGAAATCAAAGTGAATTGAAAATTTATGGTCAAATTAGCAAAACTCGAAAAGTCATCTGTGCTTTCGGTTTGACTACTCTGGCCTTAACGTTAAAATTCACTTTGAATTCTCACTTTTGTAAATAACCCTGTGCATGTCTATGATCTACTGGGAAAAGAGCTAGCTATTCTGCTCCTTATCCAGCACCAAGTATAGACACACATTACATCATACGATGTAATGTGTGTCTATACTTGGTCTGTAGCAGTGACAAGAACATTCCATGATTAAGTGATCTGTGCTGGGCAGGTAGGTTTTGTCCCCTCTGCCTATTCCACTGCAGCTCTTCTTCCAGGCAGGTATTCACCTCTGCCTGCTCTTGCCTTTACAAAGGCACTTGCAGCTTTCAGGCCTAGCTCTCCTATTTTTCCAAGAGCTAAAAGGATTGTGCAACAAGCCAACAGGACTCTTTTACTGGGAGCTCTAAATATCCACACATGACACAAAGTTCCAATAAGAACTAATAACAAAGCTTTATTTTTTATTTGGGACTAGCCCATATGATCATTACATAAAGCTTACGGTGACGCACTCAAATTAAATGCATAAAGCCAAATCATGTGAAGGAACATACAAGCACTCATAATAACACATACATATATTAATAAAGGGGTGGGGAAGACAATAACTAACATGAAATATCTATCCTGCCTACAGAAACCAACATATGCAAATCTACCTGAATATGCAAATTAACAAGCTTTTCTATTCAGGTAGTGCATATTGCTGCTAATAGGTGGCGCAGTACAGGCTCCACAGCCAAATCCACCTACTTGGTAGCAAGCATCAGCAGGACAGGAGAGCACACAAAACATATAACAATAAAACAACAATACACACCCTGCACCTATAATGGCTATAGGGTGGCTTTGACACAGGTGTAGTCCAGGGTCCTATATAAAGTGTCCGTATGAAACCCACGTGATGGTGACTACAGTCACACTCAACATGCCATGTTTTGGCTTTAAAACAATAGTTTACTCCTTGCAATATTTGTTTTATAACTTTAAAAAAAAATTATTGAAATCCTAGACATATTGAATCAGGATGAATTAGTGAATCAATTTTTAGTAACTTTTCTTTAGTTGCACTCAGTGTGTAGAAATTAATAAATATAAAAATTAGGGGGGAAAAGTGTTGTTTTTTTCATTCCTCCGCCCCATTTTAAAAATATTTTATTCCTGTTTATTATTGTGCAATGTATACATATACGGTATAAAAAGATTTGCAGATCCTTGGTGATTTCCCAACAATATATGGTGTAGCAAGTAACCCCATCATGCAGAAATGTCACATGAATTACGGGCATTAATGAGTTCAATAGGCATTAGCAGTTACCCTGACTTTCTTCCTTTTGCATGAATCACATATGGCTAATTCTACTCTTAGTACGTTAACATTTTATTTTGCATCTGGGGTTAAGACTTTCAGCATGAGTGTAAAAATACACCTGTTACTGAAGTAGCTAACTAGTGGAAAAACAAACAGCGACTGATATAAGAAAAGATAAAAAATAAATAAATTAAAAAAAAATTAAAAAATCAAGAGGCTAAAAATGGCAAGTCCAGATTACAAACACACAAAAAGTTTATTAGAGGTTCAAAGCTTTCTGAAAATATATAAACACGGGAATGAGTAATCCTTTAAGAAATTACAACTTACTACATTTCCTATAGATACATGAATGTGAACTTGTGAAAAAATTTACTTGCCTGAAATTGCTCCTATATACGTTGAATACGCCGCAAATCACTGATACATGATGTATTCAATATAAAATATAGAGATTGACTCACCTTTTAATCCGTTCTAGCGCCGTTATCTTCAAGCTTCGCGGGTGTTACTCTTCATGTATCATCCACCTCCAGGTTGGCCTCTGCTCCTCTTCCTCCTCTCCTTCTGCTGTCTTTGCCGATTTTCCCTGCTTGGGAACGCATTCCACCTCCTGTGGGAGGTCTTTTCTGTTTCCCCTTGTCAATCAATGCCTCGGCATTGACTAACAGCTGGCGTAAAAGCCTATTTTTAAATAGGTTTTTCTCTTAATCTATACCTTTGCTGACAAAACTGCTAGCACAATGTATACATAGAATTTTACGCTCTGTCTGTTGGGCATTAGTTGTTTGAGGCGTTACATGTCTCCTTTAATTTGTGATCATACATGGTGAAAAAAAACAAACCTTCCATGTATTCTTGAAAATATATTAATGAAAGAAAACAAAAAAGAAGTTTAATGTAAAAAAAAAAAAAAACCCAACAAACAAACAAACAAACAAACAATTAAGCATGAATATAATCAAGAATGAACAAACAAAACATTCTATCCCTTTCACTCCGATAGCCCTAAACAGATGCAGCACAGGATGTCTTCGCTATCCTGACCCCACAAATAACTTGTTAGTTTAATACTGCCAAATACAGCATATTCTTTTTTAGAACCTGATGTCACTTCTGAAAAACCAATGTGATTGGCTGATCTCTTTCAGCCGGCCAATCACATACGCCACATTAGTTTCTCATTGATTGCTGTGTGGTTGGCTATACTTTGTATTTCATCTGCAGATTTAGAGCTTTGTAAATAACTGGTGAGGTCTACTCAAACATTCCATTAGGAACAGAACAACTGGTTCTTGGAGCTCCCCCTTCTGGTGAGCATGAGTTATATCTTATGGAAATCATGGACAGACATATACATGCATTTACCATACTGTGCACAGTGACGTCATAATTAACCTGCCCAATATCCTTATACCTTAGTCAGGGCCGGATTAACATAGGTGCGGCTCATCCTGCTGTGATAAGACTGACACTACTGGCTGACCTGTCAATCTTGTGGCTGGCTTCTCCCTCTTCTGATTGAGGTCTGAGTGAGCTGCAGACTAGGGTTAGCCCTCTGATGTCACCAGGAGGATGTCATTGCAGTCTGCAGCCAATCAGAGCACTTGTAGGAATGAGGCTGGTGTGAGCATGCTACTGGAGGCTGCAGGGAGGACAAGGACACAGCTACCTCATGGTAAGTTAGGAAAAAAAACATTACATATTTATACACTGAAGCTACATGCCCCTCCACTTTAAGGCTCCACTGTTGTGACCTACAGCTGTCATCATGCTGAGCCTAAGGCTGGCTGAGGGAGTTGCAAGTCAAAGGAGCTGTGTTGGCTGACAAGCTGAGACAAACTCATCATAATATGCATTTGTAGAGCAGTGGGAGACTGAGTTATAAATAGTAATGGGAAGGTAGTGTGGGCTGCTATGTGCATTGTGCCCCCGGTAATGTGCAGTGTTTAATGGGATATTACAGATCCCCCAGTAATGTGCCGTGTGTACTGGGATATTACAGATGCCCCAGTAATGTGCAGTGTGTACTGCGATATTACGCAGCCCACTGTAATGTGCAGTGTTTAATAGGATATTACAGATCCCCCAGTAATGTGCAGTGTGTACTGGGATATTACAGATGCCCCAGTAATGTGCAGTGTGTACTGGGATATTACGCAGCCCACTGTAATGTGCAGTGTTTAATGGGATATTACAGATCCCCCAGTAATGTGCCGTGTGTACTGGGATATTACAGATGCCCCAGTAATGTTCAGTGTGTACTGGGATATTACGCAGCCCACTATAATGTGCAGTGTTTAATGGGATATTACAGATCCCCCAGTAATGTGCCGTGTGTACTGGAATATTACAGATGCCCCAGTAATGTGCAGTGTGTACTGGGATATTACAGAGCCTCCAGTAATGTGCAGTGTGTACTGTGATACAGAGCCCCCAGTAATGTGCAGTGTGTAGTGGTATATTACAGAGCCCCCAGTAATGTGCAGTGTGTCCTGGGATATTACAGAGCCTCCACTAATGTGCAGTGTGCCCTGTTATCTCCCAGTACACAACGCACATTACTGGGGACTCTGTAATCTCTACACACTGTATTCATTTGATAAAATATGGGGGTGGACAAGATCAAGAGGACATAAGAAGAGAAAAGGTTTTAAGGATGCCAGTAACTGACTTATCACTGTCCAATTGTCTCTACCCAGTGGAAACAATAGACCAAATATACTGCTCAGATCAGAGTGCCATCTGCTGTTGCAAAGCCTGGAACAGGCTTTGCAACAGCAACTCTTCCCACCACTAGGGGCCAGTGGCGCAATGGATAACGCGTCTGACTACGGATCAGAAGATTGTAGGTTCGACTCCTACCTGGCTCGCTGACTCTTTTTTTTGTATTTAAATTATGTATATATAGTTAGATAGAAATTTTATATAATTATGTATTTATGTATAAGTGTAAACACATGTATTTAAATGTAATGAAAAATCTTTTTTTAAAATATAAAATATTTGCTGTTCCAAAATCAGGCCCCATGTGTTTAAAAACATAATTATATAAAATTTCTATCTAACTATAGTGATGTCCCGAACGGTTCGCCGAACGGTTCGCCGAACGGTTCGCCGCGGACTCATCATTGAGTAAACTTTGACCCTGTACCTCACAGTCAGCAGACATATTCCAGTCAATCAGCAGCAGACCCTCCCTCCCAGACCCTCCCACCTCCTGGACAGCTCACTAAGAATGCAACTTCACAATGAATGTAAAATGGATGCTGTCCAGGAGGTGGGAGGGTCTGCTGCTGATTGGCTGGAATGTGTCTGCTGACTGTGAGGTACAGGGTCAAAGTTTACTCAATGATGAGTCTGCGGCGAACTGTTCGGGACATCACTATCTAACTATCTATGTCCCTGTCCTATTGTGTTTTACACCCCACCTCCTATAGAATGTAAGCTCGTTTGAGCATTGTCCTCTTCAACCTATTGTTCCTGTAAGTTTTTTTTGTAATTGTCTTATTTATAGTTAAATCCCCCCTCTTATAATATTGTAAAGCGCTACGGAATCTGTTGGCGCTATATAAATGGCAATAATAATAGATACATAATTTAAATACAAAAAAAAGTCAGCGAGCCAGGTAGGAGTCGAACCTACAATCTTCTGATCCGTAGTCAGACGCGTTATCCATTGCGCCACTGGCCCCTAGTGGTGGGCAAAGTTGCAAGTCCTGTTCCAGGCTTTGTAACAGCAGATGGCAATCTGACCTGAGCAGTGCATTGGTCTATTGTCTCCACTGGGTAGAGACAATTAGACAGTGATAAGTCAGTTACTGACATCCTTAAAACCTTTTCTTATCTTCTGTCCTCTTGATCTTGTCCACCCCCTTATTTTATCAAATGAATACACCTCTGGATGAGGCGTGGTAATCCACAGGGTATATCTCTAATGATATTGAAGGGTGCATGGTGCTTGCTTGGGGCCAGAATTTAATTCTAAGTGAGTCCCCATCTGTCCTAGCAGAGACCCCCTGGGGCAGAAGTATTTACTTTGAAGAGCTGAGTGAGTAATTAGGACTTTCTGTTATTTTATCCCTTTTGTTTTTATCTGTTGTTGGTGTAAATAATTTTGATTGTCATCTATAGTTTTGTTTGCACTGTGACTATTTTTTGCTCATAATAAATATCCCTCTATTAAGTTCTACCTTTGTCTGGTAAAGAATCACTTTACCTTAAGAAACTAATTAGTATTTTGCAATTACACAATTCTGGGTCGAAACCAAAAATTCAGGATGCCCTTGGCTTAAAACCGAAACTGAAAATGACTTTCCCCCCCCCAAATGATTTTAAAAGTTTTTTTTCTATTATTTTATTATTAGACTTTTTTAATTAATCTTATTGAAAAACTAAAAGCCAATAAAATAAAACACAAAACAGAACCCTTCAATGATTTGTCCCACTACCCTTAACCCTGCAACTGTAAATATTGCAGTTTTCATAAACTGCAATATTTACATTGCAGGGTTAACTCCTCCTCTAGTGGCTGTCTGCTAGACAGCCACTAGAGGGCACTTCCTCGTTTATAACACAGGTTTTCTGTGCTATAGTGTTGCTGGACGTCCTCACGCTATGTGAGGACCTCCAGCGTCGCTAAAATCCCCATAGGAAAGCATTGAAAGCATTGCCGCGCATGCGCATTAGGTCTCATCCCGCCGGGATGGGCGGTCGGCGGTGGTCTCAGGTAAGTCACTGTTTTCACCCCTTCAGCAACATAGGATGGGGGTGGGAGGGAGAGGGGACCTGATCGTTTTCCTGGCACTGGAGTGTCCCTTTAACTGTTTAATGTCAAAGACAGAAACCATAAACTTGGCACAAATGGGACCGAGTCTCATGGCAAATTGAAACATTTGGGACTGGCCTATACAGGTGTCTCTGTGGCGCAATCGGTTAGCGCGTTCGGCTGTTAACCGAAAGGTTGGTGGTTCAAGCCCACCCAGGGACGTCATATTTGCTTTCTGCCAAAGTGTAGTCTTTCATCATATCAAACCTTTGATTTCTATTAAGACTTTTCTCTGTTTGTTAGCTGGCTCAACCAAGTAACATTCAAAAGTATTCTTTCAAAGTTTTGGATCAAAGTGGAAATGTTAGCAGTTATTTCTCCATATCATCTTTTCTACCTTTTATTTATTTTTATTTTTTATTTTTTTAAATTCTTTATTTTTGTTCGTGCATTGATGAGACAAATAACATTTAGTCTAGCAATGCCACAACAGCTGTTGCCAGAGTTTTCAGAGACAGAGAATTACAATTGCATGGCATGAGTAACTGTGTACATTTTTGAAGCAAAAGACGAGAAACAGTAGTGTGTTGTAAGTCATTGCATGTGCATGAATGGTTATGTGGCTTAACAACTGACTGTGCTATGGAAGGTGTATTACGATTGACTGACGCTTCCCAATTCTAGCATATGATAGAACAGGCTGATGGTAAGTGTTGGGTAACATGCTCATATTAAACATGTGGTATTATCATGCTTAACTGGTTAGTGTAAGTA